CCCCTCTCCCCGTCACCCCCCCCCCCCCCCCCTCTTCCCCCCGCCTATACGAGTGCAGTGGTGCGGGAGGTGAAGGGGCCATACAACGAGCCGTCGCACCCGTACCTGTACGACGAGGATGACATGTGGCAGGCGCCGGGGTTCATCCACGAGTTCCACGCCGTGCCCGCCGTGTGGCGCAAGTATGCTGACGAGGTGGACGGCGAGCGCCAGCTGTGGCTCAACTCCTTCAAGAAGGCGCCCCTGCGCCTCCCCTCGCCCTCCGAGCTCTCCTACCTCTGGGACCAGAGTGAGTGCCAGTACTTAGGAGACGAGTTTGAGTGGGGGTCCCACGTGGCACCTGGCCCTCCTCCTTGGCCTTGGCACTGCATTGCCATGGCTGCCTCATGCCTACCCAAGGACATGCTGCTGTTGTTTCAGTGAGTGCCACAAGCTACGTGGTATGTGACGATCCCCCTCTTCTGCAACCCATCCCCGTAACGGCTTAGCCCACCTTGCTCTCACATCTCCCTCCCTCGCCTTACTCCCTGCCCCCCGCCTCATTCACAGAGGAAGAGTTTGTGGTGCTGCGCAACTCGCCGCGACTGCCGGAGCGGGCGGGGGAGAGTGCGGAGGAGGCTGAGATGAGGCGGGCGGACATGCAGGGGCAGGTGCTGGTGCACGTGCCGTCACGGCAGATCATCAACTGGACCACGGACGAGGAGGGCAAGCTGCGCCTCTTTGTGCAGCCCTTCACCAAGTGAGCCTCCTCTCATGGCCGTGGGTAGGGCATGGCATGGCATGGCCAGGCATAGCCGGTCCCATATGTCTCTGTCTCCCCAATTTCCCCCTCATGCATGCGCACATGCACTCGTACACTTTGCCTCGTGTGTCCTCACCATCTTCTTCCACTCCTCCTTACCCCGGTTTCCTACCCATCCCCCCCCCACCGTACCCCAGGGATGGCAAGGTGGATCCATCGAAGGCGCGCCCGCTGCCGCTGGGCTTCGATGAATTCATCAAGGGCGAGGAGATGGAGCAGGAGGAGGAGGAGGAGGAGGAGCAGGAGGAGAGCGAGGAGGCGCGGCGCCTCAAGACCCCCGAACAGCTGCAGCGCGACGCGCAGCGCCGGCGCGCCAAGGCCGCAGAGGCCAGGCGGCGCCGCGTGGCGCGGTGGGAGCGGGCGCTGCGCAACCAGGTGGCGTGGCGGCGCGAGCAGCGCGAGGAGGAGTGGGCGCGGCAGGACGCGGAGGAGGAGGAGCTGCGGCGGCTGGAGGAGGAGGAGTGGCAGCGCGAGGGCGACCTCATGGATGCCGAGTTTGAGGCCCGGCTTGACGCTGCTGAGGGCATCCTGCCTGCTGGGGACGATGAGGAGGAGGAGGAGGAGGGGGCGCAGCAGGGACAGGAGGAGGACGCGGCTGGCAAGGGGGCTGTGAAGGGCGGTGCTGCAACTGGGAAGGCTGCTGCTGGTGGCTCTGGGGCGGGAGAGGAGGAGGAGGGGTCGGAGAGCGAGAGTGAGGGTGAGAGTGATGACGAGGATGAGGATGAGGACGAGAGGAAGCCGCGGAGCTTTGGAACGGTGGCCATGGCGGTGGGAGGGGGTGAGGGCAGGGAGGAGGGCAGCGCAGGGGAGGGGTGGCTAAGGGGGCCAGCTGTAGCGGGCAGCACCACGGTCTTTGCCTCCATCTCTCTCTCCTCTCAGGTAGATGCACCTGCTTGTCCTTCTGAGCTGACTTACAAGTCTCCTTGTCTCTGCTCTCACCTCACCACCCTTCTACCCACTCTCCTAAGTTGGAGTACACGCTCAGAGCCTCAAGCGTATCGCGTTTATACGCTTGCGTTTAAACGCTATACGCTATATGCTAGGGAATACGCAATACGCAGTCAGGTTTGTTTAGGGCTGCCCGAAAAAAAAAACGGTGCGGATTTCCTTGGTGAGCATTTCGCGGAAGTCGAAATGCCAATCGGTGGTCTAGGCAAGCGGAAATGTGACTTCGAAGTTTGCAGGCGTGTCTGGAAATCAAAATGTTGAATCTCGGATTAGTACCGCACTGAAACCCATCCCATCTACGAACCCCAACCAGCCCAAAACCACCCCTCCAACAAACCCCACGCCCACGGTGCCTACCAGCCAGCCCAGCTGGTAACTCGACATTTGTAAATTTCATTTCATCTCGATCTTGCCGACCTCATTCTTATAGACGAATATGACTAGACTGTGGGCACCATCTTCGCGCTTTGCACCTCGCCCATCCCCCGCTCTAAACCTAACAAACTGCCCGACAAATTTTTTTTATGTGCCCGGGCCTGCGTATTCACTGCGTACCGGACCCCTCTCGAGAAGCGTTCAACACATATATTCCAACTAAGCCACTCTCACCACCCATCATCTCTCTTACCTCTCCTCTCTCCCCCACCCACACCCCTCCCACCAGGTGGCACTGCAGCAAGCCCTCCATCACGCCGCACGCTCTATCTCCTCTCTCCGCCGCCTCCTCCCTTCACCCTCCCCTTCCACCCCCACTGCGTCTCTCTCGCCTGCCACCACCCCCTTAGCCTCCCCCTCCCTGCCTACTGCACTGGCACTAACAGTGCGCATGCCTGCGGTGCTGCCTCTCACGCCGTGCCTGCGTGCGTCAGCCCTGTCCTCTGCTGCACGCCGCGCACCCGTTGCTAGGAGCAGCTCACGTGGCGCTGCTAGAGCGAGCCAGGCCCGCCAGCAGCAGCACTCCCAGGAGGTTGCGGTGGGGGGCATTCTCTCCCTTGCCCTGCCGCTGCCTGCCACTCCCTCCCTTGCCTAGTCTGTGTGAGCTGCTGCTGAGAAGGTGACACGATACTAGCGCAACTGTGCGCCTCTAGACCTGGAATACTCTTGCCAGATTATGGGTTCTGAGGGATCTACAGTAATTAATAAACATCTTATGCAAGTTGTTGGATCGGACCACAAAGCAATGGATCGTAATGTAACATTGTTCAGAAAAAGGCTATCACAAGGAGCTTGGTTGTTTTTTATTCTAAGGTATCTTTCTGTTGCGCCTTGAACTCTACCCTGGCCATGAATGGTACCGTATCACTACAGCCAGAGAAGCAATGGGTCACAAGCAGTGAGGGTTATGGGTTGCAAGAGGTCCACTATGTGATGTTTTCTACCGCCTGTGTGGAATTTGTGACAGATACCCTAATTTACTGGAAGAGTGAGAATAAAATGCTAAAACACTATTTATTGGAATCAAGTGCTCTGCATGAGATCTGTTACCCAACTAAGCATACATACGTACATCAAGACTTTATTCCTGCACGCATGCCTTCACCATGTGCGATCGCCTCTACCCATCAACTACCAGCACGCCCCTTCCACCCGACCAGTCAGGTCTATCCACCCCTCCACCACCGCCCTCCTCCGTAAACAAGCCCCCGCCCTGCACGTAACCACGTGCTGGGACCAACCGCATGCGTGTGAGAGAGAGCACCCAGCAGCCGGCAGCAGCGAGTGGTTCAGGCATCTAGTAGACGGGCTTCTGTTTCTCGAACGCCCACGAGCGCCAGTTGTCGCCGTGGTAGGGCGGCTCGGGGTTCCAGTTCCAGGGGCGGCCGTTGACCTTGCCGTCGGGCGGCAGGTACCCGTTGCCCACGAACAGCTCCTTGCTGCGGCTGATGATGTTCGGGATGGCGCAGCGCCGCAGCATAGCGTCTGGCCGCCACGGCTGCCGCGCGCAGCGCATGAGCTCGTCGATCCAGTGGTTGTACCCCACAGATTCCAGCCACTTGTTGCCGAACGCCATGCGCCCCAAGGCCGCCTCGTTGGGGCCCGGGCACGTCATGCCCAACGCCATGTCGGTGGCCGCTGACCAGTAGTAGCCCGACTCGAGATCGCTCATGCCCAGGCACACGCACGCGTACGTGTACCACAAGCCGTAGTTGCTGTTCTTGTCGCATTGGAACGGCTTCGTCAAGTCTCTGCTGGCGATCGCCTCCGCGCCCAGCTTCCCCCCGCCCAGCCCGCCGGAGCTGAGCACTACCACCACCGCGCACAGCAGCGCCACGCGCACCGAGAGGTGTCCCATGATTCGTGGCCAATTAGCTAGGAGATCGCTCAAACGGAGTGAATGCACAGAAGAATTGTGATCTCGTCCAGAAGAGGTGTTGTGTTCCCACTGATAAGTCTAGCCCTAAGCAAGCCTTCTTATGCATCCTTGGGCTCAGTGGAGTCGCCGAATCGTTCTGAGACGCGGCTCGCTGAGACCAAGAAGGAAGATGCGAATTCATGTGAAATGGCGACTCGTGAGGGTTGCAAGAGGAGCAAGCGGAGGTTGCGGCAGAAAGGGACGGTTGATCTCCTGCAGGAGGTTGCCAACCGCTGTTCCGCATAAAAGTTGGTTTCGAGTTTCGGCGGGGTACACTAAGTATCGTGAAGAAATATGTGTTAGTAAAATGTGGTATGAGTTTAGATTTTTCTTTTTCTGTGTGGCAGAAATGCTTTCGATGCCTGCGTGGCATGATGTATGGTAACCAGCAAAAGAGACTCTCGTAGCGACATTCGTCAAAGAGCCCACTCCAGATGGCAAGATCTCAGCGCTGGTTTCTTCTTACGTGGCTTGGTGGCGGATAGGGCTCCGCGTTCCGCCCACCACCCTCCGCCACAAACGGTTCTTCCAAACGCCTTCCAGCTGGTGGCTTTCGGCAACTTCAGGGGCTTCAGCGCGTTCTCCGCGCATTGCACTTCCGCTTTCCCGACTTCTCGCGTGTCACCTTTCTGTCCACCCCGCATCTTCGATCCCGCCCACCACCCCCACCAGCCCACAGCGCCTCTGCCTCCCTGGCGATCTCCTTTCCCCCCATCGGTCGTACCCTGCCTTCCCTTCCCTCCCACCACCACCACCACCACCGCTACTGCTGCTGCTGCTGCTGCTGCTGCTCTCTCCTCAACCTTCTCTTGCTGTAGTCCCGCAGGAATAGCTCTTTGCTCCTAGTCTCCACGTCTGACTAGGTGATTCGCTGCAATGGCTGCCGTCGCTTCCACCATGGCCACCAGCCTCTCCGCGAGGAGCCTCAGCACCTCCTTTGTCGGCGGAAAGAGCCTTCGCTCGGCTGCGAAGCTGCCGTCAGTCGTGAGCGCCGCTAGGTTGGTCGCGGAGGCCAGGCAGGAGAAGGCCGTCAGCAGCTCGTCCGTCGCGTCCGCCGCGTCGTCCGTCGTCGAGGGTATCTTCGGCGAGAAGGCGACGAGGCAGATGCACCACGCTGCGATCATTGCGATGAATGCGATGATCGCCATGCCAGCGTTCGCCGAGGAGGAGAAGGGAAAGATCTTCGACTTCAACCTGACCCTCCCCATCATCGTCGTCCAGTTCCTCCTCCTTATGGTTGCCCTCGATAACATCTGGTTCAAGCCGGTTTCCACGGTCATGGATTCCCGCGACGAGGAGATCAGGAAGAAGCTCATCGGCGTGAGGGACAACTCGGGCGAGATCAAGGACCTGCAGAGCCAGGCCGAGGCGCTCATCAAGGCGGCTCGCGCGGAGGCGTCGGGGCAAATGAACGCGATGAAGAAGGAGGTGGCGGCGGAGCTGGACGCGAAGCTGCAGGCGTACCGGGCGCGCATCGAGAAGGAGCTCGAGTCGTCGCTCGCCAACCTCGAGACGCAGAAGGTGGCGACGCTCAAGAGCCTCGACTCGCAGGTGTCTGCACTCAGTGACGAGATCGTGAACAAGGTCATTCCCTTCAAGGCGTGATCCGTGTCGCACCATTGTACTTGAGTTAACCTATTATAAAGCCCACATTGTTTAAAACCCCATTGTTTGTTGGTTTGCAACACTGGGATGTGAGGGCCAGGCATGGCACGCCGGGCTGTGGGAACAGCAGATTGCTGTCAGCACAGGCGGCTCTGCACAGGCATCCCTGCTTCCGAGATCTTAACGTTCACTCACCCCCTCACCATCACACTCACTCTCTGACTCTCTCACACACTCATGGACCTTGTACACTCGCTCGCACACTCGCTCAGTCAAGCCAAGCTATGAGCAGCAGGGTGCTGTCAGCGCTGGCATCTCTATGCATGCACCCTGTGGACCAGCTTAGGGTAGGCCTCACAGATGGAAGAACAAAAGAGCCCGGCTCTTGAAAGGAATGCCCCAGTATGCCTTGGTCTTTGCCATGTGCAACAGCCAAATGGGAAGGCATGTGGAATGGTATTGTATATGCATTGATAATTTCTAGTCAAGGGTTACAGAACCTTGCTCCAGCACATCTGCCTGAAACAAGGCATCTCTCTGCTCTGCACTCCCTGATACGGGTACCATCTTACAAGATGGAAGAACAAAAATGCGTGAATTGAAAATACCGCTCCAGTATGGAGCTCAGTTTAGTCCAGGTTGTGTGCATTTGAATGATTGGATGCCACATTCATCAGGCCAATGTTTACAAAATTTGGCCTGGTAGTACGGTACTGCCAATGCACCAATCGGAAGCATGTGTGTGTGCATCACCTACAGCTCATCCTTCACCTCCTGTGACGACCCTGCTACCTCCCCACCGTCTCCCTCCAAGTCCCTTCTGAGCTCGTCCTCCTCTGCTCTCGCAGTCGCATCTTCCCCCACCACATTCCCTCCAGTCGCTGCACCAGCCTCCCCGTTAGCAGCTGTCTCAGCAGCACCCCCTTGCTTCCTCTCCGCCGCCCCTCTCTCCCCCTCCACCGCCTCACCCCCCTCCCCCTCTCGCACCACACACGCATCCCACGAGGCGCGGCCGGCGCTCTCAGCGTCCTTGCGGGCGGTCTGCCACGTGGCGTGCACGGCCATCTTGTGGGGCGGCTTGGAGTACGATGCTATCAGCTGCAGCTCCTCCTTGCCATCATTCACAATCTGCGGACCACGAAGGGGGGGGTGCGCGGGTGTGGGGGGAAGGTGGGGAATGAGGGAAGGGGTTGGGGGGGGGGGAGGAGGAGTGCACGGCCATCTTGTGGGGCGGGTTGGAGTAGGACGCTATCAGCTGCAGCTCCTCCGTGGCGTCATTCACAATCTGAGGACCACATGGGCGGGGGAGTGTTGGGGGAGTGTGGAATGAAGAAAGGGGAGGGGGGGAGGAGGGGTGTGAGGGTGGGAAGGCAGCAGACGGATGCAGGTTGTGGCAGGTGAGGATTTACAGGAGGGGGAGCTCAACGGGGATGGCAGCAGTGAATGGGGCTTGTAGGAAGCACAGTGGCCAGCTCACCAGCACAGAGACTTGTCTCACACGACTTCACCTGGCGGGCGCACAGCGGTCAGCGTACCTGGTGCAGGGCCTTGGGTTGGAAGGTAACGGTGGTGTTGCGCTTGACTGCATGCGCGGACGGCTCTGTCTTCTTCTCCTCCACCACCCACACCTTGCCCTCTCCGCGCGTGATCACCACCACCTCCTCCTGCCACCCCCACGCCACCAACAAGCACCCCAACACAAGCAGCCCAACACAAGCACCCCAACACAAGCAGCCCAACACAAGCACCCCAACACAAGCAGCCCAACACAAGCACCCCAACACAAGCAGCCCAACACAAGCACCCCAACACAAGCAGCCCAACACAAGCAGCCCAACACAAGCAGCCCAACACAAGCAGCCCAACACAAGCACCCCAACACAAGCACCCCAACACAAGCAGCCCAACACAAGCAGCCCAACACAAGCAGCCCAACACAAGCAGCCCAACACAAGCAGCCCAACACAAGCAGCCCAACACAAGCAGCCCAACACAAGCAGCCCAACACAAGCAGCCCAACACAAGCAGCCCAACACAAGCAGCCCAACACAAGCAGCACAACACAAGCAGCCCAACACAAGCAGCCCAACACAAGCAGCCCAACACAAGCAGCACAACACAAGCAGCCCAACACAAGCAGCACAACAGCAGACAATGAGCGGCGCGCAGGATGCAATGGGCGGCGCACACCACACAACCAAGGCGTGCTTGCAAGAGAGGAATTGAAACGTGGCGGATCAATCCGCACGGAACGACGAACGTCTGCACTGGTGACTGTGTGAGTATATGGGTGTGAGCGTATGGGGGCCGCCATGCCTCACCTGCGGGTGCGAGTGAATGGGCGTCTTGGCACCGGGCGCGAACGTCATCATGAACACCTCCACGTGTTTCAGCCCGTGCTGCACCTTGCCGCCCAGCGTGATCACCGCCACGCCCTCCATGCCGTAGCTGTCCTGATACAGTGTTCTAATCTCGCGCACCAACGGGCCGCGCGACAGGTCCTCGCAGTACGGCTCGGGATCCGCCGCCACTGCCGCTTCCGACGCCGCTACTGTTGGTGTTTCTGCAGCTGCGCCGGTTGCGCCTGCTGCCGCCGCTTCCGCTGTTTCCGCAGGTGAATGCTGTGTCCCGTCAGCCGCTGACGCGTCAGCAGTGACCATGATAGGCGACGCAGCGAGCGAAAGAAGCAGCGCGACGACGAGAAATTGTCGCACGGCAAGGCAAATGAAGTCGTGGGCGACGATCGCAGCCATGACGCCGCACACCAACGCTCAAACGAGGCGAGGCGAGTCGATAAGGACCGCGGTGCTGAATGTTTTGGGCAGAGCCTACGCTGCGTTGATACGTCGATAGAGTCCCAGAGTTGTCTGGAACGGGAAATGGGAATGGCGGGCAATCGGCTTGCTTGACGCTGGCTGGAAGCTTCAAGAATTCCTCCACAAGTACCAGTTTGGATTATTTATCGGTTGAGAGAAAAACGTGGGAATACCGAGCACTAAGATAAAACAGCTTTGTAGCTAGTTAGTAACAAAGAAAGAAAAGATGTTGCTGAACAATGAAGCAACCGCATGCCTAGCTTTCGATCACATGCCATACGACTGAGCATGCAAGAGGAAAAGCGGATCACACCACAGCACATCATTCTCCCGACACACCCCCTTTCCATGTCTCTCCCGGGCACCAGCATTCTCAACAGCTGCAGCATTAGCCCGCATCACTTCTGAGAGTACACTCTGCAGGATGGGATTCACAGGCATCTCCTGCAGCTTCCTCGCAGCTGCCTTGACCAGCTTCCTTGTCCTCTGCACATCCTCGGCTGTTGCTTGCGACACACTCGTTGCTGCCATGCACTCACTCCCATCCCCACTGCTGCTCTCAGAGCACTGCTTTTCACACTCCACTCTGCTCTTATTTCTCCAACCCAGAGAGAGACACTCAACATGCCCAGCTCCTGCAAACGACACTTTGCTAAGCGCCCACAACCCCAGCAGCGGCCGGATCAGAGCAGAAAACGAGTCCTGGTGAAACGTCGGCCCGCCCACCCATTTCATCGACTTACATAGCCGGGCAGCTTGGGCAGCCTCGGTGAAAAACCTTTTCGCAAAGACCAGTTTCCAGGTGGTGATTGTTTTGAAGAGCGCAGGGGAAGGCGGGCAGTGCTGCAGCGCTTGGTGCAGGTGCAGGCAACAGAGGTGTGCAAGCAGCAAGGGCTCCTCATGGTGATTATCCACCTCTCGGTCAAACAACCTCCTCACAAACCCCGGCACCGCCCGCACTGCTGCCGCTGCTCCTCCTGCTCCTTCTCCTCCTCCTCCTGCTGCTGCTGCTGCTTCTGCACTCGCTCTCGTTTCCCCATCTCTCCTCTCACTCTCCGCTGCACTCTCCTCCTCATGCTCCGCCATTTCATCCTCCTCACCCACCAGCTCATCTCCCAGGCGGTCCAAGGGAGTGAGGTGCTGAAAGCCCGAGGGGGAGACAAAGTCCGGGTGAAGCACCCAGGCCGCCAGGTGTGCGGGCAGCAGCGCGGGCGGGCAGGCGTGCAGGCACAGCGACACGTGTGCCAGTGCTGCCTCCACTGCCCGCTCCACCTGCGCTGGCACAAAGGAAGAGGACACTGCTGCTGTAGTGGGTGGTGCGTGTGGGTGTGCGGCGTCAGCAGCGGCAGTGGTGGTGATGGTGAGGACGGCAGTGGCGAGGGACTTGCGGAGCGGCTCGTCTTCATCCTCCATCACGCGAATCACTGTCAGCCATGCCCGCACCACCACCCTCGCATACTCCATCACTGCACCCTCCCCTCCTTCCTCTCCCTCCCCACCCTCCTCTCCCTCCTCTCCCTTCCCTCCCTGTGCTTCACAGCGCAGCACGTGCCCCATTCTACCCGCCTCCAGCAGCAGTCCTGATGACACCACCGCCTCTGCTGCTGCCCGTCGCACACTCACCGGCTGGTGCGCTGCGCTCTGCTCGCCAATCAGCTGCAGCCACGTGGCAGCCAGCTGCAGCAGGTTCCCCGTGCCCCGGCCCTGGCCCAGGGAGAAGTCTCGTGAAGTGAACACCCCCTCCATTGACTGCTTCGTGCCCTGCTGCCGCTGCTGTCGTTGTGGCTGCAAGTGCTCCTGCTGCTGCCGCTGCTGTCGTTGTGGCTGCAAGTGCTCCTGCTGCTGCTCCCCTGCACACCCGGACCCGGGCAGGCGGCCATGCTGGGCGAGCAGCAGGCGGAAGCAGTGCCCCAGGCACCTCAGCGCCGCCTCCCTCGTTTTCAGCACGCGTGCAGTCTCAAACACCTCCAGCACCACCGCCCACAGCGCTGCACCCCCACTCCTATCGCTGCTAGCTGCAGCGCTGTCAGGCTCGTGGGAGGGGCCGCCAGGTTGCCTCGGCTCTGCTGTCCCTGCCAGTGGTGCTTCCTCGGGATGCAGAGCTTGAGGCAGCAGGGACATCAGGAGGGGCTGCAGGGAGGGCAGGGAGAGGGCGGGCAGCAGCACCTTGAGCAGCCGCCGGCACCTCATCTCGTCCCGCCCCTTCACACGCCTCTCCTGCTGCACCCCCTGCACCACCGCCACCAGCACTGCACCCACTCCGCCCTCGCTGCTGCTGCGGTGTGGCGCGGTCTGGAGCGGTGGCAGCAGCGGCGCGAGCAAGCGAGGGGAGGCGAGGAGGTGGGAGAGGGAGCGGAGAGCCGACAGCTGCACATCCCGACAGGCGTCTTGCACTGCCGACAGCGCCACCTTCCAGAACGCCCCCGCACTGCTGCACGCCCCACTCTCTCCCACCCCTTCTTCTCCCCTCGTATCCGCCTCCACCGCACCCAGCCCCTCCCACAGGCCTCGGCCCGCCAGGCACACAGCTTCTGGGGAGAGCAGCAGGGAGGCGGCGGTTTGCCTGAGAGCGAGCGCTGTGGGGTCTAGAATGGCGAAGCGGAGAGGCGGGTGGAAGGAGAAGGCCCGCAGGGCGAGCGGGATGAATGTGACTGCTGTGGCGTGTACCATGGGGGTGAGGGGCGGTGCAGAAGGGTGAGGGGCGGTGGGGAGAGGGGTGGAGAGGGGAGGGGAGGACAGGGAGGTGGAGTGGAGGGCGGAGGAGAGGAGGGCGGAGAGGGGAGGGCAGGAGTGGAGCGCGGAGGAGAGGAGGAGGTGGGAGACGGTGAGGTACTCTGCAACCACGGAGGGGCAGCAGCAGGCATGGGGATCGCCCAGCCACCGCCGCTGCTGCAATGCCTGCAGCACCTCTTGCACGCCTGCTGCCCTGCTGCTCCCCTCCCCTCCCCCCTGCTGCTGCTGCTGCTGCTGCGCCTGGCCTGTGGTGCCTGCAATCCAGTAGGCGGAGAGCAGGTGGCGCATCTGCAGCAGCACACCATGCACTGCATTGTACCCCATTGCTTCATTCGCCCTCCCACCCTCATCTTCACCTCCCCTCTCACATTCCTCCTCCTTGTCCTCCTCACTTCTTCTCTCGACAATTCCAATCATCCCACCCCTCCTTCCCCACTCCTCAGGGAGGCTGCAAGCCAGCTTCAGCAGCATCCCAGAAACTTCCGTGGAGGCCACGATGGGAACAAGCGCGCGGGCGGCGAGCTCTCGGACGTGCATGCGGGGGTGGGCGGCGCACAGCGAGACGGCGGGCACAAAGGCGGAGGGGGAGAGGAAGGAGGAGGGCGAGGGGGAGGTGAGGGTGGAGGGCTTGAGGCGCGAGAGCAGGATGAGCGCAGGGGCCAGGGCGGGGTGCAGCGGTTGGGAGGAGGCGGGGGGAGAGGAGGCGGTGACACTGGAAGTGGCGTTGGAGGAGGGGGAATTGTCAACAGGGGGGTGGAGAAGATCACCAGGGGGGTGCTGAGCAGGTGGAAGGAAAGCGAGTGCAGCCTCACGGAGGTGGCGGAGGAAGAAGGCGTGCAGATCAGGGTAGCGCAGGAAGAACTCCACGGCTGTCATGCTCTGCCGTGCCGTCTGCTTGCACACCACCTGCTCCCGCGCCCACGGCCGCCCCGCCCGCGGCACGTTCTTAAAGCCCAGCATGCGGTGCAGCAGCGCCACCAGGCACAGCCCACCCGCATTGCGCACCTCCCAGTGGGGCGAGCGCGCGGCGGTGACGGCGGCTTGCAGGGCGGGCGAGCAGAAGGCGGAGGTGTCGGTGGCAAGGTGCGTGTCATGGAAGGCCAGGCGCAGCACGTTCCATGCATGCACCGCTGCTACCACACCCTCCTCGCGTGCTTTGAGGGATAGCGCAGGTGCTGTTGCTGCTGCTTGCACCCCTTGTGCTGCTGTTGCTGGTCCTGGCACCAGCGCTTCCACTGCCTGCTCTGCACGCCCACCTTTCCACTCTTCCCCTCCTGCCCATCCTTCCACTTCTGCACCATTCCCCCGACCCTCCGCGTCTCTCCCCACCCCACCCCCTCTCTCCGCCCCCCGCACCACCTCCAACAACCACGCCACAGCGCGGGGCAGCAGCACTTTCGGCGCCCCTTGCGGCTCGCCCAGAAACAGCCCCAGGAACGCAGCAGGCAGGCCAGCAGAGCGGCGGATGAGGTCGGTGAGGGTCTGGTGGGGCGCTGTCAGGCGGCGCTGTAGCGTGGTGAGCCAGGCGCGCGGGAGGGCGTTGAGGGCGGGCGAGGGGCAGCGCAGCAGGCGGTCTGTGAGCGCTATGAAGCCGGCCCGAGTCTTGTCGACCGCTCCGTTGTGCTTCATGGCTAGGAGGAGGGAGACGAAGTGATCTCCCACTTGCTGCGATGGGGGAGAAGAGGGGGGTGAGAAGGGGGTGAGAGGGGGGTGAGGGCTATGAAGCCCGCCCGTGTCTTGTCTACCGCTCATACACTGCACCGCACGCTCATACGCTGCACTGCACGCTCATACGCTGCACCGCACGCAATTACGCTGCACCTCCCGCTCATACGACGCACACACACTGCACCGCAAGCACATACGCTCCATTCCAAGTGCAGGCAGGCACATACCTTGAGCTGCGCAGCATCCAGCAGTTCTCCCCCTCCCTCCACTTCCCCTCCCTCTCCCCTCCTCCCCGTCTCCCGCCCTCCCTCCTCCCCATCCGCCTCCTCCTCGCCTGCCCCCGCACAAGCCTGCAGCGGCACGGAGCGGGCGAGCGTGCCGAGGAGCAGAGAGACCTCCTTCATGGAGAGCCAGCACGCCACCATCACCATCTGCTCCACGGGCGCCAGCTGCTGCCCACTGCCATCGCCTGCACCTGCTCCCATGCCATCATCGTCAGCAGCAGCATAATCAGCAGCATCAGCATCACTGAGACCACCATCGGCATCGCTGCCCTCTACCTCCCCATATTTGCCTTCCTCCTCCCCCTCATTCTCCTCCTCTTGCCCCTCACGGCACGCCGCACTGGTCCCCTGTGCATCCTTGTCACTCACGCGCAACCTGCCCCCCTCCCCCACGTCCACACGCAACCCATCTGCTGCCACCACCCACAGCGCCAGCCCCGTCACCCGCAGCACCAGCGCCAGCACCCGCCGCAGCACCCCCCTCATGCCCCCTGCTGCATCAGCATCACCACCACCACCAACATGAGCAGCAGCAGCATGATGCAGGGATGGTTGGGTCCAGTCAACCTCTTCAAGCGTGTATCGGAGAAGCAGCAGCACGCCGTGCACGAGGCTGTGGCGGCACGCGCCTATCATGTCCCTCTCGCCCTCCTCCACCACCGCTGCCAGCCACTCGCTCAGCGACTCAAGGTACTCCACCACTGCCCCTTGCCCCCCGCTGTTGCTGCCCCCTGACTCAATAGCACAGTCAGCAGCAGCTGCAGGAGCAGGAGGAGGAGGAGGTGGAGTGACAGTAACGGTAGGAAACACCCTCACTTGCCACCCCAGCCCCACGACATACTTCTTGAACACCAGCTTCAGCACCAGCGCGCCCGCGTCACTCTCCCTCACCCTCGGGCTCATCACAAGCCCACACGCCCACTCCACCACCTCCGCCACCTGCCCTACGCTCTCTAACCCCGGCAGCGGAGCAGGGTATTTGAGCAGCACCCCCAGCGCCGCCTCTCTCAGGCGGTCCCAGCTGTCCACCGCTGCTGCCAGCAGGAGGTGCGTGGTGCCGGGGGCCAGTGCACCGGGTGGGTAGGGAGAGAAGGTTGGGAGGTGTGGGGTGGTGTGAGGGGGCGGTGTAGCGGCAGTGTGGGGCGGGAGGAAGTCATGCGGGCTCCACACGTCCATGAGCGCGGAGAGCGTGTCCAGCGCCATGCTCTTGCGCTCGTAGGGCGCTGAGGGGTACAGCGACGAGAAGAGCAGCGCCGTCAGCCACTGCATGAACGCCTGCACCTCGCCCACGCTCGCCCCCTCCTCCCTCTCCTCCCCCTCCTCCCCCTCCTCCCCCTCCTCACCTCCTCCCAGAGCATTACCTCCGTTCCCTGCTCCACCTCCACCCAGAGCAACCGTTCTCTGGCGGCGAGTGACGGCAGCCATCCTCTCCTGCCGCTCCACGGCAGCGCGAACGCGGGAGAAGAAGCGGCGCACGATGGAGCAGCAGCGCATGCGCAGGTTGGGCGAGGAGCAGCGCAGGTTGAGGGGGAAGGCGAGTCCCAGCAGGCGCAGCTCGGGGGGGGACGGCATGGCCGTGGTGCGGAACGAGATGCACAGCAGCTCCGCCACGTCCACCCGCACCGCCTCGTCAGCGTGCCACGTCGCCCGCTCCAGCATCCACGTCAGCACGGTCTGCGGCCCACCGGACCAGTCACTCCTCCCCGCCTCCTCTCCATCCGCCCTCCCTTTCTCCCCATCCCCACTCTCTTCCTCCTCCTCCTCTCCCTTATCCTCTGAACGCGCCCTCTGCGCCCTCATATCCCTCCTGCCACTACCAGCAGCCTCCAGGGGTCCATCCAGCACGCCCATGCCTCGCCCCATGCGCAGCAGCGCCACCACCGCCCCCACCCGCGCGTCCACACTCGCCCCCCACGGGTATTCCCCATGCGGCCCGCCCCTCACATCCGCCAGCTCCGGCCACTGCTCCCACACTGCCACCGCGCTGCCCAATCTATCCTCAACACCTGTTCCTCCGTCGCTGTGTGGGGGCAGCGCGGTGAGGAAGGAGAGGAGGGGCCAGAGCGAGGGGGGGTCGAGGGAGAGCAGCACGGGGAGGGCGTAGGTGGCCACGTTGGTGCGCTGCAGTGATGGCCCCGCCACCAGCCCGCACAGCACTGCCGGCATCCACACCCGCCGCCACGCCACGTCGCCTCCCCCCTCCCCTCCGCCCTCCTGTCCCTCCCCTCCGCCCTCCTGTCCCTCCCCTCCGCCCTCCTGTCCCTCCCCTCCGCCCTCCTGTCCCTCCCCTCCGCCCTCCTGTCCCTCCCCTCCGCCCTCCTGTCCCTCCCCTCCGCCCTCCTGTCCCTCCCCTCCGCCCTCCTGTCCCTCCCCTCCTCCCACCCCTCCTGCTGTACCAGCCCAGCACTCCTCGCGGAGGCGAGAGAGGAAGGGGGAGAGGAAGGATGCGACAGCGCAGCACACGCCCTCATCGCCCATGGCTGCTAGCGCATCCCCCAACACACCCACAGGGAATCGCACGCCCCCTGCTTCTCCATCCATACCCACTGCAGCGCCCTCCCTCTCACCCCTCTCACGCCCCTCCGCCGTCCCGCCCTCCTCGCCCCCTGTGCGCCCCTGCTTGCTCAAGAGTAGCAGGCGGGCAGCACCGAGGCGCAGGGCAAGGGACGCCAGGGGCACGTACCGCCCCTTCCTGTGCGGCCCCGTCGCCAGCACCTCCTGAGCAAGCTGCTTTGCAAATTGCCGAAACTCGCCGCCCACACAGGACGCACCCGCCCCAGAAGCCACCTCCTCGTCCGTCCCTTCCCCTGCTGCTGCGTCAGGGAGGGTTGCTCCTGAAGCCACCCCTCCCGGTGCAGCAACCGGGTCCGCCTCTGCTGTCCCATTTGCCTCCTGCTCTCGCCCCTCCTCTGCCCCTCCTTCCTGCTCTTCCTCCATCATAAACCCCAACCCCTCCACAACATCATCCTCCTCCTCCTCTTCCCCCCTCCCTCTCTCCTCCCCATCTTTCACACCATCACCTACCAAACCAGCAGCATCTTTTCCCCTCATATCCTCTCCACTGCTCGTCTCATCCTCCATAACCCCCACGTCCCTCTCCCCACCCCCCCCTTTCTCCCCGCACCCCCTTTTCTCCACGCACTCCACCACGTCCAGCAGCAGGTCCAGTGCCACGTGGGCCTGCCTCGCCGTCTGAGTCAGCGGATCCTCCCAGTGGCCCCACACAGCGCCCAGGATCCTATCCACACTGCCACGTGGCATCTCCTCATACGCCGGCACACCGCCATCCTCCATCAACTTGTCCACCAATTGGCTAAGAGGAAATATGTCAGCTTCCTGGATTCCTCTCACTGCTGCTGATGCTGCTAACACCTCCGCTCCGCAAATCCCAGACTGCCACGCGGCACGAATTCGAGCCACCTGGCGGGTGAACAGTGCACGGGAGGCAGCGCAGGTGCCGTCCAACAGGCTTGTCTTGATCTGGTGGAGGCAGATCTGGAGGGCGGTGAGCGCATGGAACTTGGTGTGTGCGTCGGAGGAAGCTTCACAGAAGGAGAGGACGCGGGGCAGCAGCCCGTGAAAGAGCAGCGACCAGCAGCGCACCTCCACTGCCTGGGGGGTCGCTGCCTCCCCTGCTGCACCTGCTGATGCTGGTGATACTAAACCTGCTGCTGTACCTGCTGCTTCAAGCGGCTGTGCAGGCACGGCCACAGGCGTGGGCAGCAGCAGCAGGAGGTGAGTGAGGGCTTGGCGGGGAACAGCAGTGAGCATGCCTCGGATGCAGCACAGCTGGCTGAACAGAGGAAACCTCCCCATGTTCACCAACCATGCATGCGACTGCCCTGCTGCTCGCCCCTGCCTCGTTTTAAACGCCTCCAGTGCTGTCAATGGGTCCACAAACTCGCTAGCAGCCGCTGCTACACCGGTTGCTGGCGCTGCAGGCACAGCAGGGGTAGGACTCGCGACAGCAGCTGATGGCAGCATGGCAGGGGCGGAAGGGGAGGAAGAGGAGGCAGGGGAGGCAAAGAAGGAGCGTGCTAGAGCCACAGCCAGCCGCCCTTCCCTCCGCTCCTCCTCCTCCTGTTCGACCTTCTCTTCTCCTGCTGTTGCACCAGAGCTTGTTTCTGATTGGATGAGAGGCAGCAGGGCGCAGAGAGCGACAGCCGCTGCTACAGTGGCGTCTCTGGAAAGCACCCCCGTTTGTAGCACTCTCACCACAGCGCCGTGCACTGACAGCAGCTCCTCACACACGCCCTTGCTCTCAACACTCCCATCAGCCTCACTGCTCTCCCTGCGCCCATTCCTCTCACAGCCTTGAATGCTTCGCGAGCCTTGTCCCTGGCTGCTGGGAGGGTGCAAGGCGAAGCCGTCGTGAGTGAGGTCGGTGGGAGGGTGCGCGGCGAACTGGTGGGGGTAGCGCTGCAGCAGGTAGTAGAGCGTTGACAGGGCCTCCTGACATAGCTCCATCGTTGCTGGTACCACGTGCCCGCCCCCTTCCGAACCTGCTCCCGAACCTGCTCCGATTCGTACTCCCAAACCTGAGGCTTCTTCTGCACCTGTGCTCCTGCCCTCATCCGAGACAGGAGCATCAGTGCCCCCCTCGATGTTGTCACATTTGCTCCTCTCGCTCCCCACTACCAGCCTGTCCTTGCTACTGCCACTTGGCTGCATGTGGTTCACCACTTCTGCCACGTCTGCACTCAGCACGTGCGCCAGCTGTCGCGCCACGAGGCGAGCAGAGCTGTCAAAGGGTGCCTGGAAGGAAGGGAATGGGGACGGCGGTGCATGGGGGCGGATGGCACGAGTGGCTAGCATACGAGATGGTGTGGCATGGAGGGTGAGGGACGCCGTGGGTTGAAAGCAAGCGAGGCGGAGACACGGCATGCAGTGAAACAGAGACTGCAGTCACCCAGGGGGGGAGGAAGGGAGTGGGGGTGGTGGTGGGGGTGAAGGTTTAGGGCGCGGGAGGATAAGGGAGGAGAGCGGAGGAATTGCGGGGGAGAGGAACGAGTAGACTGCCATGAATGTGAGCAGGAGTGAGAGGGAGAGAGGCGGAGGGGCGGCAAGCACAGACCTGGAACTGGGCGGCAAGCACAGACCTGGAACTGGGCGGCAAGCACAGACCTGGAATTGGGCGGCAGTGATGGACGCTCCTGCTGCAGCTGCAGCGAACTGCCGCCTCTTAGAACCACCAACGCCGTACTCGTTACAGCACAACGCGATAACAATCTCCACTATCGCCCTCGCTCTCCCTGCAACACTCTCCCCATCAGCCTTTCCGTATCCCCTCCTCACTCCTCCGCCTCCAAACCCCCTCTCTGCCTGGCTATCCCCCGCACCTGTCTCTCTCTCGGCTCGCTCGCCCCTTTGTTTCTTTCCCTTCCCCTCTTTTTTCCCCTTCCGCCCTCCCCCTCCGGCTCCGCCCTTCCCCCTGTCCCGCCCGGCTGCGCCATCCCCATGGAGCGCGAAGATACGCACGAGCGCGGAGAGCAGCGCGCGGTGCAGCGGGCGGGAGTTCTCGAAGAATAGAATCTCCAGGTACACGCGGGTGGCTGGAACGGCGGTGGGGGGAAGGACGAGGGGAGACGAAGAAAAGAAATGGTGTGAGACTGGGAGAAAGAAAGCGGGAAACAGGGAGGCTAACTGGCATGGGGGCGAAACGGGTAAGGCGCAGAACGCTGGGGGTTTAACGGGGTGAAGCGAAGCAGAGAACGGGTTCTAGCGGGGGACAAAGGAGGTTCTAGCAGAAAGCAGGCTGATCTCTTCCCACTCTAGTCCGCTAACAGCCAGACCCAATCAGTGTGCGGAGAACCCGCACAGAAATCGACCTACCGCATCGCGCCTCCACCTGCTCGTCACATTCCCACCTGCTATGAGCTCCCGCTCCTCTGAGCCGTCGCTGCTGGCGGAACCAGTCGCGACGCCACTGATCGCATCACGCCAGCGGACGAATAATGCATCTAGGGAATCGGAGAGCTCCTTAATATGCGGAATCTCGGCGAATGTCGATCTGAACCTGGTCAGCTGCAGCAGCGCGCTGCCGAACCGCCTTAGCTCCGCCGATCCGGGTATTGCACTCGGAGGAACTACATCTGAATCTCGCCGCAATGCTACCCCGCCGGCATTTCTAAGCGAGTCAGCTTGTAGCGAATACAATCTATTATAAAGCTCCGGCTCGTCTGGCACTTCTCCAAGCGAAAGAGCTGCGGCTCGCGAGGCGTAACTTGGCGGAAATGCCGTTCCCGCGTCGGACCATCGCTTCCGCTGCTGCTGGCGACGGAACTTAGACGCCATTGCCTACGACGAGCGCAAGGCGACGCATGCGATTCGGAACGACTAGAATTGATAGCAGCAGAGTGAACAAGTCAACAGGTCTTCAGACCGGCATTCCAGAATCTGATTACTGATCCGTGGGCTGCTGACTGAAACTGATGTGGGTGGGTCGAGTCGTTAATATAAAACTTGATGCTGATAGTACACACAGTTTACAAGTTCATTAGGCTGCACCTACATATATTCCAATAAAAACAAATCAATGTCATATAAGTTATCAGCTGCCCCACCCACCCCCCAATACAGCCTCAAGTTTGAGAGAGTGATGCTCTACAACCACGAATAAATTATTCCCCCAGGAAAACAAAAAAGCCTAAATGTCAGAAAGGTGGCTTGACAGCACTATCCCTTAGCACCAGATGGGCTGCCCCTGATTGGGCTTTCATAACCCTTGATGTTCTTCTTGGCATCCGCATGTGAGGCCACAAATTGCCGGCCGCCAAGATCGCATGCCGTGATACCCTTGTTCAGAGGACCTTTGTGGTACACAATGTTCTTAATATTCGTCTCAGCTTCCTTCTCCTGGAAAAACTTCTTCGACTGCAGCACAGTGAATTTCAAGGACAAGAGTGGGAAAAAGCAGGTGAGCAGGGCACTCAGCTGAGGTAACCCCAGAAGGTACATGAACAGAGCAGGGATAATAGTCCAGCAAAGCGTAACAAAACCTGTAGAGGCGTCAGTACCGAAATTGCAGTGTGTGATGGGAGGAGGGACTACAGGCAAGTTAAACAGAATCACAGTGTCTCTAAAGTACCGTACCAAGGACTTGTAGCTGTCGGAGTTGCCGGCCTGCACGCCCATGCGGATGTTGCCCATGTCATAGTTAGCGCCGCCCGCCATCTTCAGCGTGTCATCAATATCCTTCTGCAGGCCCGCCAGGGCCTCCCTCTCATATAACTGCTTCTCAATGTGGAAACCCTGTCCGTGGGGGAGATAGCGCATGAAGAGGGGTTGCCAGTGAGTGGGAGTGTCGATGAATAGTTTATTCAAATTGAGGAGAAAACATGAGGTACTTTGATGGAGAAACTGCAATTTTCTGGTACGCATTCGCAATTTCTGACGTTGCAGCTCCGCCTGAGGTTCTCTGAGGTGAATTGTAAGATGGTTCACATCAGTTTTGGAATGTTTGTGGAGAAAATGTCGAACGGCATGCTTAAACAGCGTGCGTAATATGGCATGTGTCAGCGTGTGCCAGAGGCGCGTGTCAGTAGCGTATGTCAAATGACATGTGTGAGTAGTGTGTGTCAGAGACATGTGTCAGCAGTAGCGTGTATCAGTAACGTATGTTGAGCCATGTGTGTGATGACAGCTGCGATGGCATGGCCGCATGAGCCCGCATTCAACGACAATCTACATAATGATGCCGCAATGTTCAGCATGAGTCACGGGTGGGGAAACGCCGTGAGATCGCACAGCCCTCAATTGAGACCTGGTCAAACGACTGTCCTTTATCCGCGTCAAGCTTACCTTATCAGCCGTTCAGAACGGTCACTGGACCAAAATGTTTGCTTCACACGCCTTATCGATACCGGAACAAGCGCCAAGCGCCAACTCTTTAGAGTATGCGCCCTCTGATGTGCGAAATCCCCGTAAAGCGCACCTTAAATAGAGTCGCGCAGTCCTTCTTGTGAAGAGCGACCTTCCCCTTCTTGAGCGGCGACGCGCTCTCGCCGACCCACGTGATGAAGACGAACTTCACGCGCTTCGAGTCGCCGCCGTCGTCCATCTTGACCAATCGTAGCAAACCGTACAGAATGTTGTTGTCCTCGCACTGCGTATGCACAATGCGCGCCGATCGAGGAAAACAGGGATAATCAAATGAAAAAAAAAAAATATTCCTCGAGTGAGCTAATTCCTGGAATGTTCAGGACGATGGCAAGGCCACGGGATGCCAGAAACGGCGATGTCTGGAAAGAAATTAAGGTGAGAGAGACAATGCAGGAGCCTTGCCACGAATATAAACCGTCTGACGAAATCAAAGGTCGAGCTTTAAAGATGTGAACATCAATTTCACCTTTGTAACCATGTCGTTGACGTCGCCAGTGCCGGTCCCCGCCGGGACAAGGGAGTTGCCTTCGTAGCCTAGCCAGCACCATGTTTCAGGTGTGTCATCTGAAAACACGGCAAGATATGCCTCCGTGCATCCCGGCTTGAACAACGACGCCATCAACCGAAGGAGGTCAGCAGATGAGGGAGAAGCGCGATGAGGTCAGCAGCTCTTCTGCTCGTTCAGAGTTGCAATTTCCAGTTGATTCGTGCAGGGTTGCAGGTGAATGATCAGGGAGTCCTAGAAAATGATAGTTCGACAGAACCAGCTTGTGGGGGGGAGTGAATGAGAGGTGGATTCAGTGAGTTTGTAGATAGTTGAATGAATAAGCGCCATGGCTGGCGCAGCTTCTCATACCACCAGCTGGACCGCTGGAGGGAACATGGGGGAAGAGGATGAGATGAGATGAGACGAATTCCGGGTGGCACGGAGCGGAAACGAGAGGTGCGGAAACCTCGAGAGCGCCCACGCGCGGCCCTTGGGGGAGGTGCGGTCAGCCTGTGATTGGATGGGGCGATTGGAGAGGCGCAGAAGGTCCCCAAAACGAGAATGGGACTGGTTGTTGGGATTGGAGAGGTGGTTGGGCAAATGTTGGAACTTTTGGCAAGCACGTAGCGACGGCCTTACAGCGAATTCAATATTTCAGCCTCCTGTAAGGAAATTCCCTTTTCCTTACTTCGCATCCCTCCTCAACGCGTACATCACTGTAGCACCTCAGTCAGCACCGTTACCACTCGCGACCATCGCATCATTCATCATCCCGCCAATTTCGCACATCGCATCCCGACCTCACGGCTCGGCTGGTAACCCGCGCTCCGGACCTACGCTTCGACACTTTCCCAACCTCAGTCCTAGGCTCGTCGCGCGACCATTACCGTTACCACTGTAGTTTCGCTATATAATGTTCGCTCATGCCTTCGCTCATTTGTATTCTTGCTTCGATAGTGCAATTCTCGTTCGTTCACTCAATTGCACTCGTAACACTTGGTATCAGAGCCTACGATCTCATCTCGGACCGCATCCACACCTTCGCTTCCCACTATCTCAATTTTTGGGGGGGGTAGACGTCTCTCAGCGACACAGCACCGCCGCTCGTAGTGCTCTCTCGAAAGCACGCACGGCCACGACCGAGGCTCTCGCTGAGCTTGCCCGACACCCCCGCCATGGCCGATTTCAATCTCGCCACGTTGACGCAGGAGCAACTCGATCGTCTCGTGCGTCAATTGGAGGATTCGGCGCTCGAAATCGCGACTCTCACGGCGGAACGTGACTCCGCCCGTCAACAGTCAACGGTGAACGCACCGACGACATCACACGCACCAACCAATGCATCTGCACATTCGGAGGAGCCCATCGTCATCTCATCCGGCACACCAACGCAACACAACAGCACGGGACAGCGCTCAGGCGCAGCCAGTGACGGCGCAGCCCAACCGATGCCCGGCATGGGAGGGAACAGGAGCGCATTAAGCCCACGGGAGCCCCGAGAAGCCCGTCGGCACGTGGAGTTTGCGGCGACAAGTGGCGAGAACGCCATGATGGCCCCAATGCCACTCAAGCCGCAACGCCCGCCCTGCTTCGACCCAAGCCAACGCGGCGGCCCGACAGTTCAATCGCGGGTCTTCACGATGAATGTGTTTTTCGACGCCAACTACGTCGAGTCGGACGCCGCCAAGATCCGGTATGCGGTTTCACTACTCAGGGGCCCCGCCATGGACTGGTGGCGAGTCATTGTGACGTCGCCGCGCGCCTACGAGCCACCGTCGCACGAGGAAGGGCCCTCGGGTCCAGCTGTTACCTGGAGTTCGTTCTGCGAAACCGCCCAATACAGCACGTGGGATGCGTGGTGCGCAGGGCTTCGGGCGCGCTTTGAGCCGATCGCGGCCTCGATTTCGGCGCGTCAGAAACTGCGCACTTGGCGCCAGCTCGGGTCAGTTCAAGACTACACCAGCGGGTTTCTCGCACTTTGCGAACAGGTCGGCTACATGCACGAGGCGGAGCGGGTGGACCGTTACGTCGGAGGGCTGAAGCCGGACATCTCGCACGAGATAATGCTACGCGGGCTCTCGAATTTCAACGAGATCCTCGCGCTCGACGAGAAAATCGATATCCTACGCCGACCGAGACCGGGGTCCTATTACGGACATCGTCCTCGGGGACCGACCGAGCACGCCACGGTACATGCCGTCGCAGCGAATGCAGCTGCCGCGCCGTTTAGAGGGCGCTGCTTTGCTTGCAACCGGCCGGGCCATCGCAAGAGCGAATGTCCAGAGGAGCTGAGGCGTCGAGGAGCAGAGCAGGGGAGGGAGTCTCAGAGGCAGGGAAACGCCAGCAGTCAGTAGAAGTTGGGCCAACTACTGACTGTCAAACATTATATATGTTCTGCTTGTGTAGGCTACAGTGGGTTAGCCTATAGGGGGTACACAATTCTAGGGTTTCCTACTTGTACTCATTTCACTGCTAGTTCATTCATTCCTGTTCGCTTATTCTCACATGGTATAGAGCGGGTCCTTCTACGGACCGTTTTTTTTTTGGGCCCACCGAAGCGCCCCCCGAGGCGCGATTTTTTTTAGCGACCCCTCGGGTCGTCATTTTCCCTGCGGCCCCGCCGCTTTCACTGACGCGGCCCCGCCGCCCTCTCTGACGGGGCCCCGCCGCCGGCCCTTACGCGGCCCCGTCGCCGGCTCTCACGCGGCCCCGCAGCAGGCTCTGTTGCGGCCCCGCCCCGGCCTTTACGCGGCCCCGCCGCCTGCTCTCACGCGGCCCCGCCCCGGCTCCTTCGCGGCCCCGCCGCCTGCTCTCGCGCGGCCCCGCCCCGGCTTCTACGCGGCCCCGCCCCGGCTTTCACGCGGCCCCGCCGACGGCTTTGTCGCGGCCCCGCCCAGGCCCTTACGCGGCCCCGCCGCCTGCTCTGACGCGGCCCCGCCGCCTGCTCTCACGCGGCCCCGCCCCGGCTCCTTCGCGGCCCCGCCGCCTGCTCTCGCGCGGCCCCGCCCCGGCTTCTACGCGGCCCCGCCCCGGCTTTCACGCGGCCCCGCCGACGGCTCTGTCGCGGCCCCGCCCAGGCCCTTACGCGGCCCCGCCGCCTGCCCCCGTCGCGGCCCGGTCGCCTCCTGACGGCCCCGCCGTCCCTTCGTGACGGCCCCGCCGTCCCTTCCTGACGGCCCCGCCGTCCCCTCCTGACGGCTCCTGCCGTCCCCTTCTACCGGCCCCGCAACTGCACCTGCTGGCCCCGCCGCTGCACCTACCGGCCCCCACCACCCACCCCCCCTTTTCCCGTCGCCTGTCGAGGCGACCTGAGGGGGCCGCTAGCAGAGGGGTGGCAGGTGTGTGGCCTCCCCTGCTTCTCCTCCTCCTTCATCGCTCACCTGCAGCAGCCGAGCCGCCCCACCGCCGAGCCGCCCTGCACCCGAGCCGCCCAGCAGCCGAGCCGCCCTGCCGCCGAGCCGCCGGGTCGCTGAGCTGCTGAGCTGCAGTTGCTGCCGAGCCGCCTTGCCGCCGAGCCGCCCGAGTCGCCCGAGCCGCCGAGCCGCCGAGCTGCCGAGCCGCTGAGTCGCCGAGCCTACTCTTCCCACCACTGGTGAGCTCTTGCCCTGCTAGCACGCTCACGTCGCCTGCTTGCCTGCCTGCCTGCCTTTTGGCTTGCCTGGCTGCCTGCCTTCCTGCTGCTAGTCCTGCTCCTGCTTCTACTTGCGGAGCCAGATGCAGCCCCAGCGACGCCTGCGTGAGTCCCTCACGCCCCAGCAGCTGCGTGAGTTGTACGCTGGTTGGGGCTGTAGGGGTGGCGACGCTACTCCTACTTCCACTCCTGCTGCTTCTACTCGTGGTGGCGGCCGGATGCAGCTCCCGCGACCCTCTCGCGTGTCTCTCACGCCTCGCCAGCTTCGTGAGTGGTACGCTCAGAGTGGAGGGTCTCTCAGTGCTGTTCGCTGCTCTTACGTGATTCGCACTGGTCCTCGGACTGGTCAGCCTTGTGGGACACGTAGTCATACACAGTCCCGCTGCTTCGCCCGTCTGAGCGACGCCTGGCGTACCGTGTTTGGCGACGAGGCTGAGCTCCCCGACTGGGTGGAGTTGCTTAGGCAGAGGGTAGATATATATGCTCTTGACTATGATGCTATTCTCACTGCCATGTATGCATTGCCTACTAGTGCTGACTGTGCCGGTCACCTGTGCGTCCCGCCTGACCCAGGTATAGGACCTGCTGCTCTAGCTACTGGTGAGGCTGCTGCTCTGGGTGCTAGTGAGTCTCCTGCTCCAGGTACAGGTGCGGCTGCTGCTCTAGGTGCTAGTGAGTCTGCTTCCTCAGGTGCGGGTGAGGCTGCGCTCTCAGGTACCGCGTTGGCTTCGGCCTCCCTCACCTTTACACTTGACTCTGGGGCTTCTCGCTCCTTCTTTCGGGACCGCACCACACTCACGCCGCTTGGTCGGCCGGTTGCTGTCTCCCTGGCTGACCCCTCTGGGGGTCCTGTCCTCGCTCACTTCTCCACTGTCCTCCCGTGTCCGGCTGCCCCCTCGGGCACCCTGTCTGGCCTGTACCTCCCCTCGTTCTCGACGAACTTGGTGAGTGGTGCAGACCTACAGGATGCGGGGGTTCACCAGTTCACTCCTGCGAGTCAGCGGGTGACCCACTGCACGGACGCACGCACAGGCCGGCACCTGGCCACGTTCTCGCGTCGGCCGGGGTCGAGCCTCTACACCCTGACCACTGAGTCTCCTCCTGTCCCCGCGTCCGGTCAGGTAGCAGCGTCGGGTCAGGTGTTTGCTGCTGCGTCCAGGTCTGGTCCTGAGTCTGCCCCCTGTTCGTGTCGCCTCCTGTCTCACGAGACTCTTCTCTGGCACCACCGTCTAGGCCACCCCTCCTTGCCCCGTCTTCGGGGCATGGCTTCCCGTGTCCTTGTCTCTGGTCTTCCCCAGTCTCTCCCTCCCCTTCCTTCGGGACCAGGACCTTCCTGTGTCCCCTGTGTCGAGGGGCGCCTCAGGGCTGCTCCTCACTCCTCCCAGTTTCCCCCGACAGAGGCTCCTCTGCAGACGCTTCACATGGACGTGTGGGGCCCGGCCCCCGTCCGTGGGCAGGGTCACGAGCGCTACTTCCTGTTGGTGGTTGACGACTACTCGCGTTACACCTCAGTCTTCCCCTTGCGCACCAAGGGTGCTGTCACTGAGGTGCTGATCGACTGGATCCGCGAGGCTCGTCTCCAGCTCAGGAGGAGCTTCGGCTCGGACTTTCCTGTTCTGCGTCTGCACTCTGACCGAGGTGGGGAGTTCTCCTCTCGCCTTCTGCGAGACTACTGTCGTGCACAGGGGATCCGCCAGACCTTTACGCTTCCGGACTCTCCACAGCAAAATGGGATTGCTGAGCGCCGCATTGGCATGGTCATGGATGTCGCTCGTACGTCCATGATGCATGCGGCTGCCCCCCATTTTCTGTGGCCGTTTGCGGTTCGGTACGCGGCGCATCAGCTCAACCTTCACCCCAGGGTCTCTCGGCCTGCGATGTCCCCAGTGTTACTGTGGACGGGGAAGGTCGGCGATGCGTCTGCGTTCCGTGTCTGGGGATCTCGGGCGTTTGTCCGCGACTTGTCTGCGGACAAGCTGTCCCCCCGTGCTGCTCCCTGTGTCTTCCTTGGCTTCCCCCCCTGACGCTCCAGGGTGGCAGTTCTACCACCCCTCCTCTCGTCGTGTTCTGTCCTCCCAGGACGTCACGTTCGACGAGTCAGTCCCCTTCTACCGCCTCTTCCCCTACCGTACTCCTTCCCTCCCCCCCCCACCGGACTTCCTGGTACCAGTTCCCCCCCCGGTAGACCCCCTCCCCCCTCAGGTTCCTGCCCCTTCAGGTGTGTCCCAGGTAGACACGGTCGAGCCAGTCGAGGTTGCTGCTGAGTCTGGTCCTGCTGCGGGTGCTGAGCCTGGGGGTGCTGAGCCTGGGGGTGCGAGGCCGGGGGGTGCTGAGTCTGGGGGTGCTGAGCCGGGGGGTGCTGAGCCGGAGGGTGCTACGTCAGGAGCTGCTGAGCCTGGGGGTGCTGGGCCTGGAGGTGCGGAGCCTGCGCCTGCTGGACCTGGGGGCTCTCCGGTTCTTCCGTCTCGGCGGGAGCCGCTCTCTCCACAGGAGCTGCGCGAGTGGTTTGCTCGCCGCTGGAGGCGTGCTGCTGGAGCTGGAGCTTCTTCGCCTGCTGAGGGTGCTGCCGGTCCCGGAGCTGCTGGGCCTGCGAGTCCTACTGGAGCTGGAGCTACTGAGTCTGGGGGTGCTGAGTCTGGAGCTGCTGAGCCTGGAGGTGCTGAGTCTGGAGCTGCTGAGCCTGGGGGTGCTACGTCTGGAGGTGATGTGCCTGGGGGTGCTGAGTCTGGAGCTGCTGAGCCTGGGGTTTCTCCTGCTGCTGCGTCTCGCCGGGAGCCCCTCTCTCCACAGGAGCTGCGCGAGTGGTTTGCTCGCCGCTGGAGGAGTGCTGCTGGAGCTGGAGCTTCGTCGACCGTCGAGGGTGCTGGTGCTGCCGGTCCCGGAGCTGCTGGGCCTGCGGGTCCTACTGGAGCTGGAGCTGCTGAGGGTGTTGGTGCTGAGACTACTGCTGTCTGTCCTGGCGGTGGTTCTGCTGCTGGTGCTGCTGGAGGTCCTGCCGCTGGAGGTGTTGGTGGCGCTGGTGCTGTCGCTGAGGGTGCTGGTGCTGTCCCTGCTGAGTCTGGAGCTGCCGCGCGGCCTCGGCCGTACTTCGTTCCGCTCCTACAGCAGGTTCTTGGTCTTTCTCCTTCGGTAGAGTGTCCACAGCCTGTCCAGTCGCAGTCACTGTTGGAGCCTTCCTCTCCTCTGCCTGCTCCCTCTCCTTACACTGGTCCTACTGGAGGTCTTGCTGAGCGTCGTGAGCCTGCGTCTCGTCCCGCGTCGCCGGTTCGTGCTGCTCGCACTAGTGGTCGCGGTTTGCGTCAGCGTCCTCCTCCTGTCCCTGGCACGCACCGGATGTCTCTGCGTCCGTCCACTGCTCCTCTGCGTGCCCCTTTGCCTTCTCCTCCTGAGTCCTCTCTTCCTGCGCTTGCCGACCCTGAGTCGGACTCTCTTCGCGCTGCCAGTCCTACTGTCACGCGTCTGCTTGCTACTGTCGTCACTGACCCCTCTTTTGAGTCCACTGCTGCGTCTGCTCTAGTCGCTGAGCTCGTTGACTTTGCTGCTCGCTGTCGTCTCGACTACGCTGCTAGTCTTGTTGCTGAGTCTGCGTCTGTCTGTCCTCCGTCCGTCGGGGGTGAGTGTGCTCTTGGCACGGACGTCCTAGAGGACAGGCAGGAGGAGTTACAGTGTCTAGCGGCTGCTTCACCTCATCTCGCGTCTGTACTGCTTGCCCCTGAGGGAGACCCGGATGCATTAGACATCCCGACTCCGCGTTCTTACGCGGAGGCTGTAGAGGGTCCCTACTCCTCTCAGTGGCAGGCAGCTATGGATGCAGAGATGGCTTCCTGGAAGTCCACAGGCACCTACGTTGACGCGGTTCCCCCTCCTGGGGCGAACATCGTCAGTGGCATGTGGATCTTCAGGGTGAAGCGGCCGCCGGGCTCTCCACCTGTCTTCAAGGCACGGTACGTTGCTCGTGGCTTCAGTCAGCGGCAGGGAGTTGACTACTTTCAGACCTTCTCTCCCACCCCGAAGATGACCACTCTTCGGGTGCTGCTGCACATAGCCGCTCAGCGCGACTACGAGCTTCACTCTCTCGACTTCAGCACTACGTTCCTGCAGGGTAGCCTGCACGAGGAGATCTGGCTGCGCCGTCCACCTGGCTTCACTGGGACTTTCCCTCCTGGCACCCAGTGGAGCCTCCGACGGCCAGTCTACGGTCTCCGCCAGGCACCGCGTGAGTGGCACGACACACTGAGGACTACGCTTGCGGCTCTTGGGTTTGCTCCTTCTACTGCTGACCCGTCGCTGTTTCTGCGCAACGACACTTCACTGCCGCCGTTCTACATCCTCGTGTACGTCGACGACTTGGTCTTTGCCACAGCGGACACTGCTGGACTCGCCTACGTGAAGTCCGAACTGCTGAAGAGACACACGTGCACACACCTGGGTGAACTGCGCAGCTACCTTGGCTTGCAGATCACTCGGGACAGAGCACGCCGCACCATTACCTTGACTCAGTCACACATGGTGCAGCAGGTCCTTCAGCGCTTTGGCTTCACGTACTCCTCGCCTCAGGCCACTCCTCTGCCTACTCGCCACTCACTCTCAGCTCTGCCTTCGGATGAGTCCGTAGAGTCGAGTGGTCCGTATGCAGAGCTTGTTGGCTGCCTCATGTACCTGATGACCTGCACACGACCTGACCTTGCATACCCTCTGAGCATTCTTGCACGCTATGTTGCTCCTGGGAGACACAGACCAGAGCACATGGCTGCAGCGAAGAGGGTATTGCGCTACCTGTGCAGTACGTCGGGCATGGGGCTAGTGCTTGGAGGGCGGAGTCCAGTGGTCCTTACCGGCCACGCGGACGCTTCTTGGGCTGACGACCAGGCTACGCAGCGGTCGTCACAGGGTTACACCTTCAGCCTTGGTTCCGGCTCTGTCTCGTGGCGGTCTACTCGTTCGTCTTCGGTTCTCGGCTCCAGTTGTGAGGCTGAGATCTACGCCGGGGCCATGGCTGCACAGGAGCTTCGCTGGCTCACCTACCTGCTGACTGACCTTGGAGAGCCGCCTCGTTCTCCTCCAGTGCTGTACGTAGACAACAAGGCCATGCTGGCCTTGTGTCGAGAGCAGCGCTTGGAGCACAGAACGAAGCACATTGCTCTCCGCTACTTCCTTGCTCGTGAGCTGCAGCAGCGTGGTCAGTTGCGACTTGCGTACGTGGCCTCTGAGGCCAACACTGCTGATGTGTTCACCAAGGCACTCGCGCCTTGTGACCATCAGCGCTTTTGCACCCAGCTGGGTCTTGTACCTGTCTTGCCTCACTTGCTCTCCTCTTGACTTCTCGTGTACTGTGACATATATATACCTGCTCTTGCTTGTCTAGTTTTATATATATGTCTGTACTCCTGCATGTGAACTGGCCTCTGGCCCTGCTCTTGTGCTCGGACTGTGTGGTGACTTTGTGATCCACCCTGAGCTTGCTTTGCTTTGCTTGACTGGTCTTGTGACCCCTTGTTCTCCCCCACTTTGCCTATGGGGGTGTGTCAAACATTATATATGTTCTGCTTGTGTAGGCTACAGTGGGTTAGCCTATAGGGGGTACACAATTCTAGGGTTTCCTACTTGTACTCATTTCACTGCTAGTTCATTCATTCCTGTTCGCTTATTCTCACACTGACGAGACTGCCTGCTCGCCCAACCACACCGACCCTCACCGAGTCACAGTACCGATTCACGCCATCGATCGGGCTCGGATGAATAAGGAGGGTACAGCGACGGATTGCCCGGTACTGATCTACGGGAAAATACAGGGAGCAGCAGTGAAGATCTTCATTGACGGAGGAGCAAGCCACAGCTTAGTTAATACCGCAACCGCACGAAAATTACAGTTAACGCTTAACCGATGTTTACCTGAGATAGATGCACGCTTAGTCGACGGCACGCCCCTGGCCATACGGGAAAAGGTGGAGCGCGTAAAAGTCCGCTGCGGGGGGAACTTCGGGTTTACACAGGAAATGCTCGCGACGACACTGGATGGGCACGACATTTTATTGGGACGTGATTGGCTGCGACGGTACAACCCACGGATCGACTGGACGACGGGGAGCTGCACAGTGCGAAGTAGTGGTAACTGGGTCGTCCTACCTCGATGGCAGCCACCTGAATCTTCGACGGTCCAGGTCAACGCCATCACGATGAAACGGGCTGTCGCTGCTGGAGCTGACGTGTACGCAGTGGATATCGCACTCGTAGAAAAAGATGAGCAGCCGAGTGATTTGGAGAAACTGCTGGCAACTGTACCGACCGAACTACAGGCACTACTGAAACAGTTCCCGGGGATATTTCCGGATGATTTACCACAGGGACTGCCACCTCAGCGGGCGCACGACCATAGGATCGAGTTAGAACCGGGGGCACAGCCAACTGTACAGCGGCAATTTCGACTGACAGAGCCCGAGCTCGACGAGTTAAGGAAGCAGTTAGATTACCTGTTAGAGAAGCAGTTTATCCGACCGAGCTCGTCACCGTTCGCCGCACCGATACTGTTCACACCGAAAAAAGACGGAGGGTTCCGCATGTGCATCGACTACCGAGCGCTTAACATGGTAACAGTCAAATCGCGATACCCCATCCCCCGCGCCGACGAACTGATCGACCAACTGCGAACAGCACGAGTCTTCTCGAAAATAGATTTACGGGGAGGTTACCATCAGATTCGGGTCGAACCATCGGACTGCGCCAAGACAGCATTTAGGACTAGTTACGGGTCATTCGAGTATACAGTAATGCCATTCGGGCTGACGAACGCGCCTGCGACATTTCAGATGACCATGAACGAGGCGTTTAGACCACTTTTAGATAAATGCGTGATAGTTTACCTGGACGATATTCTAGTTTACAGCCGGGATAAGCAGCAGCACTTAGTGGATCTTGAAGCGGTTTTTAAGGTTTTGGAGGAACATCGGCTACTCACCAAGGGCTCCAAGTGCGAGTTTTTTCGGGACAGGCTAGAGTTTTTGGGTCACGTCATTTCGGAGGCTGGGGTTGAGATTGGCCCAAAGAAGCTGGATACGGTAAAAGCGTGGCGCCCCCCGACGAACATCACGGAACTGCAGAGTTTTTTAGGTTTTGTTAATTACGTTCGCCGGTTCGTGCCCGACATGGCACGTTTAACAGCCCCACTCACTGATTTACTGCGTAAGGGGGTCGCTTTTACGTGGGGGGAGAAAGAGCATGCTGCCTTCTCTGCCCTGAAAAACGTTCTCTGTTCACCACCCGTTCTACGCATCGCTGATCCCCACCGCCCTTTCGAAGTGGTTACCGGCGCAAGTGACATCGCCATCGGAGCTGTACTGCTACAGGACTTCGGCGACGGCCTCCAACCCATCGCCTACGAATCACGCAAACTACATCCGCCTGAGCGAAATTACCCGATACACGACCGCGAAATGCTTGCGATCGTGCACGCATTCAAAGTGTGGCGCTGCTACTTGACCGGCGCAGACGTGACAGTACGGACAGACCATCGATCTCTACAGTACCTCCGCGCACAGCCCCACCTCAACCCACGACAGATTCGATGGCTCGATTTCCTCGAGTCGAATTTTCACTATACGGTCACATACAAAAAAGGAGCCTCGAATATCGCCGACGCACTGACCCGCCCCACTGCCCAGATCCACGCGATACTACTCGCCCAGACCAGCCCGCTACTGACAGGCCTATTTACCCACGGATATCAAACAGACCCGTTCTTTACAGGAGGCAACTCACAGCAATTCGCAGCGGCAAAAGGAGTCTATTACGTAAAAGCTGGAACCGACCGCATCTGGGTACCAGGATACACGCTACTGCGGGAACTACTGTTACAGGAAGCACACGACGGAGTTACCTCGGGACATTTCGGGGTAGAAAAAACACGGCAGCAGCTGCAGCGGTACTACTACTGGCCAGAAATGTTGACCGATGTGCAACGACACGTGGCATCGTGCCCCACTTGCCAGCTCATGAAGTCAAGCAGGAAGCGGCCGGCGGGACAATTACAACCCATCCCGCCCCCAGAGCGTGCTTGGCAGCAGGTGACGATGGATTTCGTCACGGGGTTACCAGCTGGGGCGAGTGGGAATGACGCGATCCTGGTCGTCGTCGATCGACTAACGAAGATGGCTCATTTCGCAGCATGCAGGAAATCAATCACAGCCGAGGAAACCGCCCGACTCTTCATCGCCACCGTCGTTCAACTGCACGGGATACCCGCATCGATCATCAGCGACAGGGACACGAAATTTACAAGCAAAATCTGGCGGAACCTGTGGCAGCAGTTCGGCACACGCTTACAGTTCAGTTCATCCTATCACCCCGAAACCGACGGACAGACGGAACGGACAAATCAGACCATGGAGCAGTTGATTCGAGCCACGTGCGACGATCCGAATACGTAGGAACAGCAGCTGCCACTCATCGAGTTCGCATACAATAACGCACCATCAGCCACGACGCAACAGTCGCCGTTTTACTTGAATTACGGACAGGACCCAACAGTACCCATGACACCGAATCCCAACAACCCCGTCCCACGAGCACAACAGTTCGCCGAGATTCTGCAAGCAGCACGGACCAGGGCAGCAGAAGCAATAAAAAAATCAAACATCATCGCTAAACGCAACGCCGATCGCCATCGCAGACCCGTTACTTATCAGCCCGACGACCTCGTTTTACTCGACACTCAGAACCTCCGCCTGCCCATCACTCCAAAACTCCGCCCTCGATACTGTGGGCCATTTCGAATCAGTCACATGGTCACGCCAGTCACCACGCACCTCCTCCTCCCTGCTGACTGGTACGTCAGCCCCTCGTTCCACGTCAGCTTACTTCGCCCTTACGTGCCATCCACCAGCCAACTCCCACGACATCGACCCACCAGCATGACACGACCACCAACCGAACCAGTCATCACCCCCGACAAGATCCTGAGCCACAGAGTTCGCGACCCTCGAGGAGCCCGAAGAGTGGAGTTCCTGATCCGCTGGAAAGATCGTACCCCCACCGAGGACAATTGGGTTCCCCTGGAGAAAGTTGAAACTCACCCCGTCGTCACCGACTACCTGCGTAGCCGCAATTTCCGAGACATCCACGCGCTTTCATAAGGAGGACCTCCTTAGGAGGGGGGGTAGTGTAAGGAAATTCCCTTTTCCTTACTTCGCGTCCCTGCTCAACGCGTACATCACTGTAGCACCTCAGTCAGCACCGTTACCACTCGCGACCATCGCATCATTCATCATCCCGCCCTTTTTCGCACATCGCATCCCGACCTCACGGCTCGGCTGGTAACCCGCGCTCCGGACCTACGCTTCGACACTTTCCCAACCTCAGTCCCAGGCTCGTCGCGCGACCATTACCGTTACCACTGTAGTTTCGCTATATAATGTTCGCTCATGCCTTCGCTCATTTGTATTCTTGCTTCGATAGTGCAATTCTCGTTCGTTCACTCAATTGCACTGTAACATCTCCAAAAACGTTACAGAGCCATCTACTTTTGAGGTTAACGGGAAGAAGAATGTTGAGGGGAGGAAGAAATGCTACTAGAATGTTGTGGAGAATTTTCGCGACTGGTAACCAATCCGAGTCGTAACCTCACACAATGCCGTCTGTGCTGATGTCATCACGCTGCCTGTTGCCACGTGTGCTGACGTCGTTGGCGCGGAGGGTGCTGCTGAGGTCATCGCCTCTTTGAGCACTGTGTGTGCTGAAGCTGGCCTTGCTGATGGTATGTGTGGGTATGGAAAAGCCTGCCGGTGCAAGGGAAAAAGAGAGAGAGCAGATAAAGGAGGTGTGTCGATTTGATGATACTTAAGGTGAATCTGAAATTAATCTGTTGGCTATGTGCTCACCAGAGTGCCCCCCTTTATAGTCACGGTGACCATGTCGATCGTCTTAGTGTAATACCGCACATCAGCCCGCACACATCGCGCCTCCCGCTTCTCCAGATCGAGGGAAGTCACCAGGAAGGTTCGCCCCTGCTGCAGGTACTCTGCACCCTCGTACAGCTGGGCATGGGGAGATGAGGGTAAAGGAATAAACAACTTGTTAGGCACGGCACCGCACGGCTACGAACTGCATGACTGAATCCGCGTGACCGAACTCGCGAATACGTACCGCAGAGAATGCCTTGCTCTCTTCGATCTCCTCCGGCACCCTCCCAGTCCTCGCCTCCACCACCGCATACGTGTTCGGGTCAATCGCCCGCACCGGGACAAACTGCGCCAGCCGCTTCCCCGCCCCAATATACCTCCACCCACAGTCCACCTTGGGATTCTCCGGACTCCTCCCGAGCGCACCCCTCCCTGCCAGCTCAGCAATCCTGTCGGCCAATGACGGGCCAAAGAACCTCCCATCCACATCCTCCAGTAGCGGCATCTCCGCTGCATCACCAGGGGATTCTCGCTGCAGCTGCTGCCGCATCACCAGGGGATTCTCCGCGTCCAGCTGGCAGCGCTCGATTGGCCGCGAGAACAGCCTGTCAGGAGCCGCCATGAAGTACTGATCCAGAGGCCCGTCGAAGGCAACATAGATATAGAGAGACGCCTTTTCCCTGTGGCCTGCCCGGCTGGCCTGCTCCCAGAGGATAGCGGTGGAGCGGTGGAAGCCGAGGTGGAGAGTGGCGTCTAGGGTACCCACGTCCACTCGTAGCTCCAATGCGCTTGTTGCTGCCACGGCACGGAGGCGCCCGTGGAAGAGCTCTCTCTCTATGCGCCGCCGGTCCTGATGGGATGGGGGAGTGAGTGGAGCGGGTAGGAGAGGGTGCGGTGAATGGCTCCTGTGAGACGAGCCGCAGGTGCTGGTGGCAGCGGTGCGATGGATGCGCCCTGCCCTGTGGCGTGCCCTGCCCCGAGGGAGGTGGCAGTGGGAGGTGGCAGTGGGAGGTGGCAGTGGGAGGTGGCATGGGAGGCAGGAGCGGGAAGACTTGTCCAGTATGCTTACCAAAGGATGAAGACACTGTGTTTGGCTCACACAAGAGAGGTAAGTGACTCGTCTTAGCAGTGTACTTAGCACGGAAAGGCGTACCAATGCTGCTACGCGCACAGACTGACCTGAACGGTGTACTTAGCACGGCAGCTCCCACACTCCCTGCCACGTCAGCTTCTGTCATATTGCCAGCCCCCAGCATTGTTCCACTGCCCTCGCCTATATCATCTGCCCCATTTTCTTCCCCGTCCCAACCCACCAACGCATGCAGTGCTCGCAGCTGGTCCTGAGCTAGAGCCTTTTGGGTTCAGCGACAGAGAGGGGTGGGCAAAAGAGAGCATAAGAAATGAAAGATTAGGTTGAAGATAGGTGAGGAGACTAGCAAGGAGAATGTTTGAGGGGAACGAAGTAAAAAAGAGAATTACGTGCGGGGGGATGCAAGCGCGGAGTTGCATGCAAGGAGGTTACGTGCAGGGAGTTGCATGCAAGCGGCGTCCCTGGCGCCTCACAGAGGAGCGGCGCCCGCCTAACACCACAGAGGAGTGGCGCCCGAGTCACACCACAGAGGAGTGGCGCCCGAGTCACACCACAGAGGAGTGGCGCCCGAGTCACACCACTGAGGAGTGGCGCCCGAGTCGCACCACAGAGGAGTGGCGCCTGACTCACACCGCAGAGGAGTGGCGCCTGACTCACACCGCAGAGGAGTGGCACCCGAGTCACACCACAGAGGAGTGGCGCCCGAGTCACACCACAGAGGAGTGGCGCCCGAGTTGCACCACAGAGGAGTGGCGCCCGAGTTGCACCACAGAGGAGTGGCGCCCGAGTCACACCACAGAGGAGTGGCGCCCGAGTCCCACCACAGAGGAGTGGCGCCCGAGTCACACCACAGAGGAGTGGCGCCCGAGTCACACCGCAGAGGAGTGGCGCCCGAGTCACACCGCAGAGGAGTGGCGCCCGAGTCACACCGCAGAGGAGTGGCGCCCGAGTCACACCACAGAGGAGTGGCGCCCGAGTCACACCGCAGAGGAGTGGCGCCCGAGTCACACCACAGAGGAGTGGCGCGCGAGTCACACCGCAGAGGAGTGGCGCCCGAGTCACACCGCTGAGGAGTGGCGCCCGAGTCACACCGCAGAGGAGTGGCGCCCGACTCACACCGCAGAGGAGTGGCGCCCGAGTCACACCACAGAGGAGTGGCGCCCGAGTCGCACCGCAGAGGAGTGGCGCCCGAGTCACACGACAGAGGAGTGGCGCCCGAGTCACACGACAGAGGAGTGGCGCCCGAGTCACACCACAGAGGAGTGACGCCCGAGTCACACCACAGAGGAGTGGCACCCGAGTCACACCACAGAGGAGTGGCGCCCGAGTCACACCACAGAGGAGTGGCGCCCGACTCACACCACAGAGGAGTGGCGTCACACCACAGAGGAGTGGCGCCCGAGTCACACCACAGAGGAGTGGCGCCCGAGTCACACCACAGAGGAGTGACGCCCGAGTCACACCACAGAGGAGTGGCGCCCGAGTCACACCACAGAGGAGTGGCACCCGAGTCACACCACAGAGGAGTGGCGCCCGAGTCACACCACAGAGGAGTGGCGCCCGAGTCACACCACAGAGGAGTGGCGCCCGAGTCACACCACAGAGGAGTGGCGCCCGACTCACACCGCAGAGGAGTGGCGCACGAGTCACACCACAGAGGAGTGGCGCCCGAGTCACACCACAGAGAAGTGGCGCCCGACTCACACCACAGAGGAGTGGCGTCACACCAGAGAGGAGTGGCGCCCGAGTCACACCACAGAGGAGTAGCGCCCGAGTCACACCACAGAGGAGTGGCGCCCGAGTCACACCACAGAGGAGTGGCGCCCGAGTCACACCACAGAGGAGTGGCGCCCGAGTCACACCACAGAGGAGTGACGCCCGACTCACACCACAGTGGAGTGGCGCCCGAGTCTCACCACAGAGGAGTGGCGCCCGAGTCACACCACAGAGGAGTGACGCCCGACTCACACCACAGAGGTGTGGTGCCCGAGTCACACCACAGAGGAGTGGCGCCCCACTCACACCACAGAGGAGTGGCGCCCGACTCACACCACAGAGGAGTGGCGTCACACCACAGAGGAGTGGCGCCCGAGTCACACCACAGAGGAGTGACGCCCGACTCACACCATAGACGAGTGGCGCCCGAGTCACACCACAGAGGAGTGGCGCCCGACTCACACCACAGAGGAGTGGCGCCCGAGTCACACCACAGAGGAGTGGCGCCCGAGTCACACCACAGAGGAGTGGCGCCCGAGTCACACCACAGAGGAGTGGCGCCCGACTCACACCACAGAGGAGTGGCGCCCGACTCACACCACAGAGGAGTGGCGCCCGAGTCACACCACAGAGGAGTGGCGCCCGAGTCACACCACAGAGGAGTGGCGCCCGAGTCACACCACAGAGGAGTGACGCCCGACTCACACCGCAGAGGAGTGGCGCCCGAGTCACACCGCAGAGGAGTGGCGCCCGAGTCACACCGCAGAGGAGTGGCGCCCGTGTCACACCGCAGAGGAGTGGCGCCCGAGTCACACCACAGAGGAGTGGCGCCCGAGTCACACCACAGAGGAGTGGCGCCCGACTCACACCACAGAGGAGTGGCGCCCGACTCACACCACAGAGGAGTGGCGCCCGAGTCACACCACAGAGGAGTGGCGCCCGAGTCACACCACAGAGGAGTGGCGCCCGAGTCACACCACAGAGGAGTGACGCCCGACTCACACCGCAGAGGAGTGGCGCCCGAGTCACACCGCAGAGGAGTGGCGCCCGAGTCACACCGCAGAGGAGTGGCGCCCGTGTCACACCGCAGAGGAGTGGCGCCCGAGTCACACCACAGAGGAGTGGCGCCCGAGTCACACCACAGAGGAGTGGCGCCCGAGTCACACCACAGAGGAGTGGCGCCCGAGTCACACCACAGAGGAGTGACGCCCGACTCACACCACAGAGGAGTGGCGCCCGAGTCACACCACAGAGGAGTGGCGCCCGAGTCACACCACAGAGGAGTGGCGCCCGACTCACACCACAGAGGAGTGACGCCCGACTCACACCACAGAGGAGTGGCGCCCGAGTCAAACCACAGAGGAGTGGCGCCCGAGTCACGTCACAGAGGAGTCACACCCGACTCACACCACAGAGGAGTGGCGCCCGAGTTACACCAGAGAGGAGTGGCGCCCGAGTCACACCACAGAGGAGTGGCGCCCGAGTCACACCACAGAGGAGTGGCGCCCGAGTCACACCACAGAGGAGTGGCGCCCGAGTCACACCACAGAGGAGTGGCGCCCGACTCACACCACAGAGGAGTGGCGCCCGAGTCACACCACAGAGGAGTGGCGTCACACCACAGAGGAGTGGCGCCCGAGTCACACCACAGAGGAGTGGCGCCCGAGTCACACCACAGAGGAGTGATGCCCGAGTCACACCACAGAGGAGTGGCGCCCGAGTCACACCACAGAGGAGTGACGCCCGACTCACACCACAGAGGAGTGGCGCCCGAGTCACACCACAGAGGAGTGGCGCCCGACTCACACCACAGAGGAGTGGCGCCCTGTCAGAACTTGAGCTTAGAATCGATACTATAGTAGTGAGCTCAAAGCTCTTTAAGTACATCCGGAATGAGCAAGGTAGGGATGAGGAGGGAATCAGGAGGCAATCCTAGGGAATCAAGGGTAATCCCAATGCAATCTCCAATTGGTGGGTTGGAGATTGCTTGGAGATTACATTTGGGTTTGGTTGGGATATGGGTGTACACCCAACCAAACACAAAGTGCAAACTACACTAAACTAGGATATAAAAGTACAAGTACAAAATGTGAGATTGGGGCCTAACACCAACACCCCCCCTGAGGCGTCAATCGAACTCATGGCGGAGAAGGAGGAGCGCAGAGCCCCATGGCGCCAAGGAGACGATGGTGGGGAACCTTCCCAAGGGGCTTGGTGAACAGGTCAGCCAGGTTGCAGTCAGATGCCACGTATTCCACCTTCAGCTGCTCTTGTTGCACAAGGTGACGAATGAAGAAGTGCCGAAGTTCAATATGCTTGGTGCGGGTGTGATACACAGGGTCTTGAGAGATGTGGATGGTACTCTGGTTGTCACACCAGAGGGTGGGGGCTGACTGAGGGAAGCCAAGCTCCTGGAGTAGGAAGGTGAGCCAACGGGCCTCCTGAGCAGCCATGGTGCCTGCGTAGAGCTCCGCCTCACAGGAGGAGAGGGAGATTGCAGACGACCTGGTGGAGCGCCAACTGACAGTTCCGCTCCCGAGGGTGAAGCAGTACCCCTGAGAGGAGCGTCGGTCGGTCTGGTCATCAGCCCAGGAGGAGTCTGTGTAACCTTCCAGGCGAGGAGGGGAGAGCCCACCGAGTGTGAGAACGTGGGACTTTGTGCCCTTAAGATAGCGCAGCACCCGCTTTGCTGCCTTCCAATGAAGATTAGTGAAGCGACCCGGGGCCACGTAACGAGAGAGAACACTGACTGGGTAGGCCAAGTCCGGTCGGGTGCACATCATGGCGTACATGAGGGACCCAACAAGTTCCGGGTATGGCTCAGAGCAGGCCTCTGGTGTGGGTACAGCAGGAGCTGTAAGGAGGTGTTGCAGCGGCAGCGGGGTGGCAACAGCGGGTCGTCATTCTCAAGGTAATGGTGCGGCGTGCTCTGTCCCGAGTGATCTGCAAGCCAAGGTAGCTGCGCAGTTCACCCAGGTCTGTGCACGTGTGTCTCTTCAGCAGCTCGGACTTCACGTAGGCGAGTCCAGCAGTGTCCGCTGTGGCAAAGACCAAGTCGTCGACGTACACGAGGATGTAGAACGGCGGCAGGGAAGTGTCGGTGCGAAGAAACAGCGACGGGTCAGCAGTAGAAGGAGCAAACCCAAGAGCCGCAAGCGTAGTCCTCAGTGTGTCGTGCCACTCACGCGGTGCCTGGCGGAGACCGTAGACTGGCCGTCGGAGGCTCCACTGGGTGCCAGGAGGGAAAGTCCCAGTGAAGCCAGGTGGACGGCGAAGCCAGATCTCCTCGTGCAGGCTACCCTGCAAGAACGCAGTGCTGAAGTCGAGAGAGTGAAGCTCGTAGTCGCGCTGAGCGGCTATGTGCAGCAGCACCCGAAGAGTAGTCATCTTCGGGGTGGGAGAGAAGGTCTGAAAGTAGTCAACTCCCTGCCGCTGACTGAAGCCACGAGCAACGTACCGTGCCTTGAAGACAAGTGGAGAGCCCGGCGGCCGCTTCACCCTGAAGATCCACATGCCACTGACGATGTTCGCCCCAGGAGGGGGAACCGCGTCAACGTAGGTGCCTGTGGACTTCCAGGAAGCCATCTCTGCATCCATAGCTGCCTGCCACTGAGAGGAGTAGGGACCCTCTACGGCCTCCGCGTAAGAACGCGGAGTCGGGATGTCTAGTGCATCCGGGTCTCCCTCAGGGGCAAGCAGTACAGACGCGAGATGAGGTGAAGCAGCCGCTAGACACTGTAACTCCTCCTGCCTGTCCTCTAGGACGTCCGTGCCAAGAGCACACTCACCCCCAACGGACGGAGGACAGACAGACGCAGACTCAGCAACAAGACTAGCAGCGTAGTCGAGACGACAGCGAGCAGCAAAGTCGACGAGCTCAGCGACTAGAGCAGACGCAGCAGCGGACTCAAAAGAGGGGTCAGTGACGACAGTAGCAAGCAGACGCGTGACAGTAGGACTGGCAGCACGAAGAGAGTCCGACTCAGGGTCGGCAAGCGCAGGAAGAGAGGACTCAGGAGGAGAAGGCAAAGGGGCACGCAGAGGAGCAGTGGACGGACGCAAAGACATCCGGTGCGTGCCAGGGACAGGAGGAGGACGCTGACGCGAACTGCGACCACTAGCGCGAGCAGCACGAACAGGCGACGCGGGACGAGACGCAGGCTCACGACGCTCAGCAAGACCTCCAGTAGGACCAGTGTAAGGAGAGGGAGCAGGCAGTGGAGAGGAAGGCTCCAGCAGGGACTGCGACTGGACAGGCGGTGGACCCTCTACTAGAGGAGAAAGACCAAGAACCTGCTGCAGGAGCGGAACGAAGTACGGCCGAGGTCGCGCGGCAGCTCCAGACTCAGCAGGGACAGCACCACCACCCTCAGCGACAGCACCAGTGCCACCCACAACTCCAGCGGCAGGACCAACAGTAGTAGGCTCAGCACCAACGCCCTCAGCAGCTCTAGCTCCAGGAGGACCCGCAGGTCCAGCAGCTCCGGGACCGGCAGCACCCGCACCCTCGACGGTCGAAGAAGCTCCAGCTCCAGCTCCAGTAGCACCTCCGGACGCAGCAGCACGCCTCCAGCGGCGAGCGAACCACTCGCGCAGCTCCTGTGGAGAGAGGGGCTCCCGGCGAGACGCAGCAGCAGGAGAAACCCCAGGCTCAGCAGCTCCAGACGCAGTACCCCCAGGCTCAGCAGCTCCCAGCACAGCACCCCCAGGCTCAGCAGCTCCCGACCCAGCACCCCCAGAACCAGCACCTCCAGGCACAGCACCCCCCGGCTCAGCACCCCCAGGCTCCGCACCCTCCGCAGTAGCACCCTCAGGCCCAGCACCCCCAGCAGTAGCACCCCCAGGCTCAGCACCCCCGCGCACAGCACCCCCAGAGTCAGCACCCCCAGGCTCAGCACCCGCAGCAGCACCAGAGTCACCAGTAACCTCGACCGGGTCAACGGCGTCTACCTGGGACACACCTGAGGGGGCAGGAACCTGAGGGGGGAGGTGGTCTACCGGGGGGGGAACCGGCACAAGGAAGTCCGGGGGAGGGGGGAGGTAAGGAGTGCGGTAGGGGAAGAGACGGTAGAAGGGGACTGACTCGTCGAACGTGACGTCCTGGGAGGACAGAACACGACGAGAGGAGGGGTGGTAAAACTGCCACCCTGGGGCGTCAGTGGGGAAGCCAAGGAAGACACAGGGAGCAGCACGAGGGGACAGCTTGTCCGCAGACAAGTCGCGGACAAACGCCCGAGATCCCCAGACACGGAACACAGACGCATCGCCAACCTTCCCCGTCCACAGCAAGGCTGGGGACATCGCAGGCCGAGAGACCCGGGGGTGAAGGTTGAGCTGATGCGCCGCGTACCTCACCGCAAACGGCCACAGAAAATGGGGGGCAGCCGCATGCATCATGGACGTACGAGCGACATCCATGACCATGCCAATGCGGCGCTCAGCAATCCCATTTTGCTGTGGTGAGTCCGGAAGCGTGAAGGTCTGGCGGATCCCCCGCGCACGACAGTAGTCCCGCAGAAGGCGAGAAGAGAACTCTCCGCCTCTGTCCGAGTGCAGACGCAGAACAGGAAAGTCCGAGCCGAAGCTCTTCCTGAGCTGGAGACGAGCCTCGCGGATCCAGTCGATCAGCACCTCAGTGACCGCACCCTTGCTGCGCAAGGGGAGGACTGTGGTGTAACGCGAGTAGTCGTCAACCACCAACAGGAAGTAGCGCTCGTATCCCTGCCCACGGACGGGGGCTGGGCCCCACACATCCATGTGAAGCGTCTGCAGGGGAGCCTCTGTCGGGGGGAAGTGGGAGGAGTGAGGAGTAGCCCGGAGGCGACCCTCGACACAGGGGACACAGGAAGGTCCTGGCCCGGAGGGGAGAGGAGGGAGAGACTGGGGAAGACCAGAGACAAGGACACGGGAAGCCATGCTCCGAAGACGGGGCAAGGAGGGGTGGCCAAGACGGTGGTGCCACAGGAGAGTCTCGTGAGACAGGAGGCGACAAGAACAGGGGGCAGACTCAGGACCTGACCGGGACGCAGCAGCAAGCACCTGACCTGACGCAGCTACCTGACCGGACGCAGGGACAGGAGGAGACGAAGTGGTCAGGGTGTAGAGACTCGACCCCGGCCGACGTGAGAAGGTGGCTAGGTGTCGGCCTGTGCGTGCGTCCGTGCAGTGGGTCTCCCGCTGACTCGCAGGAGTGAACTGGTGAACCCCCGCATCCTGGAGGGCTGCACCACTCACCAAGTTCGTAGAGAACGAGGGAAGGTACAGACCAGACAGGGTGCCCGAAGGGGCAGCCGGACACGGGAGGACAGTGGAAAAGTGAGACAGGACAGGACCCCCAGAGGGGTCAGCAAGGGAGACCGCAACCGGCCGGCCGAGCGGCGTAAGGGTAGTGCGGTCTCGAAAGAAGGAGCGAGAAGCGCCGGAGTCAAGTGTGAAAGTGAGGGAGGACGAGGACGACGCAGTACCTGAGAGCGCAGTCTCACCAGTACCTGAGAGCACAGACGCACTGGCACCTAGAGCAGCAGCCTCACAAGCACCTAGCGCAGCAGTACCAATGCCCGGGTCGGGCTGGAAACAACGGTAACCCTCATTCTCCTCACTATAATCCACAACATACATAGCAGCAAGGATAGCATCAAAATCAAGATCAAAGATCGCTACACCAGCCCTGAGAAGCTCATCCCAGCGAGGGATCTCACTAGCCCCAGGGAACTGCTGACGCCAAGCGTCCGTCAGGCGGCCAAAGCAGCGCTGGGTGGCGTGGGCACCCCCACACTGCTCACCCGCGCGGTCGCCGGAACGAAGAACGTAGGTGCAGGGACCAGTACCCCCACCCCTCTGACGCCCAGCGTACCACTCACGAAGCTGCTGAGGCGGAGGGATGTCCCGCGAGCGCTGCTGCTGCTGCCGCTGCGAGCGCTGGCCACCACCACCGCCACTACGCTGCTGGGTACCACCTCAACCAGCTCCACCTCCTCCACCACCACCGCCTCCTCCGCTGCCGCCTCCACCGCCTCCACCTCCGCCGCCTCCACCACCGCCGCTGCCTCCACCACCACCGCTGGCACCACTACCACCGTCTCCGCCACTGCTGCCACCACCACCACCACTCCCGCCACTAGTCCCGCCGCCACCCCCACTCCCTCCGCCGCCACCGCCGCCACCGCCACCGCTCCCTCCAGCTCCACCCGCGCCCTTGCCCCCCTTGCCCTTGCTGGAGCGACGTCTCCCACTAGGGGCAGACGCCGCGCCGACCGACTCAAGACCAAGCAGGTCGGCAGCAGCAGCAGAGGCAACAGAGGGCAGCAAGGGGGAAGGAGAGCACCCCTCAAAGATGGGGGTGCGAGGGTCACCACGAGAAGCACCTACAGCGACTATGCTCTTCTCCGCTGCGAGGAGGGCCTTCTCGAGGAGGTCGACGGTGAGGGTGGTGGGACAGACTGCGAGAAAGTGGTCCCTGACGACGCGAAGGGAGTCAGGGAGGCGCGCGACTACGTAGTAGAGAGCGATGTACATGGGGGGGGGGTTCTTAGCGCAGAACTCAGCAGGAAGGGCGGCGCGGGTAGCGAGTGTCACTAGTGCGGAGGTGCGTAATGAGGTCAGCGACAGTGGGAAAGGCAGAGAGGTCAGGAAAGAGGTAGGGAAGCATGAGACGGCTCAGTGCAGCAGTGGCAGGGGAGGAGTAGCGCGCAACTACAGCGTTGTACAAGGTGTGAGCACTCTTGTACTGACTAAAGTGCGCACGCTCAGAGGTAGGGAGGTGGCGACGCACAGCAAGACGTGCAGCAGCATCGCGGGTGGCCCACTTAGAGCGGACAGTGGGATCAGCATCAGCAGCAGGAGCAGGAGAGGCGCCAGAGGTGAGGTCAATGAGAGAAAGGTCGTCAGCCCTGTCGCACTGTAAGAACAGTTGCAGGTCGTCTAACCAGACCTCAAAATCAATGGCGCGACCCTCAGCGTCAAAAGCTAGGACACTAGGGGTAGCCATGGCGACGACAGCGACGCAGTGCAAGCAGTAGGGAAAGAGCTCACAGTGTCAGTAGGACTGTGCTCACCAGGCAGGGCAGGTCGTGCAGCTATGCAGAAAGGCGGCTCAGCGACCGGGCGGCTCGGGTGCACAGCGGCTCGGCTCCCGGGCGGCTCGGCGGCTGGGCGGCTCGGGCGCAGGGCGGCTCGGCTCCCGGGCGGCTCGGCGGTAGGGCGGCTCGGGTGTAGGGCGGCTCGGCTCCCGGGCGGCTCGGCAGCAGGGCGGCTCGGGTCCCGGGCGGCTCGGCGTTGGGCGGCTCGGCTCCCGGGCGGTTCGGCTGCAGGGGCGGAGCCGTCAGGTGCAGCGGCAGGTCGACCGGTGCAGTGGCGGGCCGGCAGGTGCAGCGGCGGGCCGGCAGGTGTAGCAGCGGACCGGCAGGTGCAGGCGGCGGGCCGTAGGGTGCAGCGGCGGGCCGTAGGGTGCAGCGGCGGGCCGGCAGGTGCAGCGGCGGGGCCGTCAGGTGAAGCGGCGGGCCGCTGGGTGCAGCGGCGGGCCGGCAGGTGCAGCGGCGGGGCCGTCAGAGGCGGCGGGCCGCTGGGTGCAGCGGCGGGCCGGCAGGTGCAGTGGCGGGCCGGCAGGAGCAGCGGCGGGCCGGTAGGAGCAGCGGCGGGGCCGTCAGGTGAGGCGGCGGGCCGGCAGGAGCAGCGGCGGGCCGTAGGGTGCAGCGGCGGGGCCGTCAGAGGCGGCGGGCCGCTGGGTGCAGCGGCGGGCCGGCAGGTGCAGCGGCGGGCCGGCAGGAGCAGCGGCGGGCCGGCAGGAGCAGCGGCGGGGCCGTCAGGTGAGGCGGCGGGCCGGCAGGAGCAGCGGCGGGGCCGTCAGAGGCGGCGGCGGGGCCGCGGCAGTAGAGGCGGGGCCGCGTCAGGGGAGGCGGCGGGGCCGCGTCAGGGGAGGCGGCGGGGCCGCGTCAAGCAGGCGGCGGGGCCGCGAGGGAAAAGGCGACCCGAGGGGTCGCTAAAAAAAAGGCGCGCCTCGGGGCGCGCTTCGGTGGGCCCTAAAAAAAAACGGTCCTAAGGCAGGACCCGCTCTATACCATGTGAAGTAAGGAAAACAGGAATGAAAATGACTAAGGAAAGATTGGGTACAAATACAACCCTAGAAACCCTGTACCCCATATGTGCTACCCCACTATAGCCTACAAACATGCATCAGCTATAATACTTTGACAGTAGGTGCACGGAGGAAAGCGGTTGCGCTGGAAAGGCGCCGAGGCAAGGGCCGCTGCAACACTTGCTGGGGGCATGGGAGCACGGATGGCGTATGCCTTGGCCTGAGCCGTGGAGTCTTTCTCGGCAGAGAGGAGTGCGGTGGAGACCTTAGCAAAGGTGAGGTCTTCCGCTGAGAGCGTGAGGAGCATCTTCCTCATGACTTCATATGCCGAGGAGAGACCAACAAGAAGGGCGGCTGCAGGGGCTTGTTCGGGAAAAACTATACCCAACTCCTTGAGTTCACCATGAATGGTCTGCACCTTGGCGATGTAGTCAGCCATTCCTGAGCAGTCCTCAAGACGGACTTGAAACATGCTGGGGATGAGAATCGCCACTCCGACCGCCGTCTTGTTCAAGAACCGATCCTGGAGATACTTCCAGATGGCGTTGGAGGTAGGGTAGTTGTGGAACGTGTTGACAAGTTCGGGAGGGGTGGAGGCAATGAAGACGCTGATGATGGCAGCATCGGCCTTCTCCCACTTCCGGTACTTCTCAACAGCTTCTTCGTACGCCATCACGTCAGCATCACTTGAAGATTCGGTCGGTTCACGGGGAAGAGTGGGCTGTTTCCCCTTGCCACGGTTGAGGAGGACGTCCTTGAGGTCAAGGCCCTGCACGTCACGGCTCAGAAGGTGCTTGTCAACTCCGTAGCTCCACGCCTTGAAGTTGGAGCTAGAGCCATCGGCTTCAAGGCGGAGCGGGGTGATGGGGTTCGCCATGGTGGAAGACGAGAAAGCCATGGTGGAGACCCCTTAACTTCTCGCGCGGAGCGCCGCTCTTAAGTCACCGATAGGAACTTGAGGTTTGGGGTTTCCAAAGGAGATTTTGAAGAACCGGAGGTTTAGGGTTTACGAAAGAGAATATTGAGGTTTAGGGTTTCTGAAGGAGAATTTGACTGAGACGCCAATTTAGTGTCAACTACCTACTAATCCTATTCCCACACACCCCCCCACACACCACCCTCAGCTTCGCGGCTACGCTGCTGCTCGGCTTCGCCGCTACACGGCTGCTCGGCTACGCGGCTACGCTGCTGCTCGGCTGCGTTTCTGCACCTGTTCAGCTGCGGGAAAGAGGGGGGATGGGGGTAGGAGTGCAGATGCGGGGCGACGGGCGGCAGCCCGAAGATGACGCTGCGGGGCGACGGGCGGCGGCCCGACGAGAAGCTGCAGGGCGACGGGCGGCAGCCCGAAGAGAAGCTGCAGGGCGACGAGCGGCGGCCCGACGAGAAGCTGCAGGGCGACGGGCGGCGGCCCGACGAGGAGAAGAAGTGACGAGAGTGACGAATTGATGAAAACGAGTGTTAGGTTAGAGCGCCGACGATGCGCTTACCAGAGAAGTTTCCGTCGATGGTGACGGGAAGATGTGGCGGGAGAAATTCCGCCGATGAATGTCGCGAATCAACGGTGACGAGATTGGCGATGGCTTCCCCGAGGTTTGCGGGACAAGTATCCGCAGAGATGAGAGGATCACGATCCGCGTATGCGGTTGAGCTGCTCTGATACCATGTAAGAACTTGAGCTTAGAATCGATACTATAGTAGTGAGCTCAAAGCTCTTTAAGTACATCCGGAATGAGCAAGGTAGGGATGAGGAGGGAATCAGGAGGCAATCCTAGGGAATCAAGGGCAATCCCAAGGCAATCTCCAATTGGTGGGTTGGAGATTGCTTGGAGATTACATTTGGGTTTGGTTGGGATGTGGGTGTACACCCAACCAAACACATAGTGCAAACTACACTAAACTAGGATATAAAAGTACAAGTACAAAATGTGAGATTGGGGCCTAACACCAACACGCCCGACTCACACCACAGAGGAGTGGCGTCACACCACAGAGGAGTGGCGCCCGAGTCACACCACAGAAGAGTGGCGCCCGAGTCACACCACAGAGGAGTGGCGCCCGAGTCACACCACAGAGGAGTGGCGCCCGAGTCACACCACAGAGGAGTGGCGCCCGAGTCACACCACAGAGGAGTGGCGCCCGAGTCACACCACAGAGGAGTGGCGTCCGAGTCACACCACAAAGGAGTGGCGCCCGACTCACACCACAGAGGAGTGGCGCCCGACTCACACCACAGAGGAGTGGCGCCCGACTCACACCACAGAGGAGTGGCGCCCGAGTCACACCACAGAGGAGTGGCGCCCGAGTCACACCACCGAGGAGTGGCGCCCGAGTCACACCACAGAGGAGTGGCGCCCGAGTCACACCACAGAGGAGTGGCGCCCGAGTCACACCACAGAGGAGTGGCGCCCGAGTCACACCACAGAGGAGTGGCGCCCGAGTCACACCACAGAGGAGTGGCGCCCGAGTCACACCACAGAGGAGTGGCGTCCGAGTCACAGCACAGAGGAGTGGCGCCCGAGTCACACCACAGAGGAGTGGCGCCCGAGTCACACCACAGAGGAGTGGCGCCCGAGTCACACCGCAGAGGAGTGGCGCCCGAGTCACACCGCAGAGGAGTGGCGCCCGAGTCACACCGCAGAGGAGTGGCGCCCGAGTCACACCACAGAGGAGTGGCGCCCGAGTCACACCACAGAGGAGTGGCGCCCGAGTCACACCACAGAGGAGTGGCGCCCGACTCACACCACAGAGGAGTGGCGCCCGACTCACACCACAGAGGAGTGGCGCCCGACTCACACCACAGAGGAGTGGCGCCCGAGTCACACCACAGAGGAGTGGCGCCCGAGTCACACCACCGAGGAGTGGCGCCCGAGTCACACCACCGAGGAGTGGCGCCCGAGTCACACCACAGAGGAGTGGCGCCCGACTCACACCACAAAGGAGTGGCGCCCGACTCACACCACAGAGGAGTGGCGCCCGACTCACACCACAGAGGAGTGGCGCCCGAGTCACACCACAGAGGAGTGGCGCCCGAGTCACACTACAGAGGAGTGGCGCCCGAGTCACACCACAGAGGAGTGGCGCCCGAGTCACACCACAGAGGAGTGGCGCCCGAGTCACACCACAGAGGAGTGACGCCCGACTCACACCACAGAGGAGTGGCGCCCGAGTCACACCACAGAGGAGTGGCGCCCGACTCACACCACAGAGGAGTGGCGCCCGAGTCACACCACAGAGGAGTGGCGCCCGACTCACACCACAGAGGAGTGGCGCCCGACTCACACCACAGAGGAGTGGCGCCCGAGTCACACCACAGAGGAGTGGCGCCTGACTCAAACCGCAGAGGAGTGACGCCCGAGTCACACCACAGAGGAGTGGCGCCCGAGTCACACCACAGAGGAGTGGCGCCCGACTCACACCACAGAGGAGTGGCGCCCGAGTCACACCACAGAGGAGTGGCTCCCGAGTCACACCACAGAGGAGTGGCGCCCGACTCACAACACAGAGGAGTGGCGCCCGAGTCACACCACAGAGGAGTGGCGCCCGAGTCACACCGCAGAGGAGTGGCGCCCGACTCACACCACAGAGGAGTGGCGCCCGAGTCACACCACAGAGGACTGGCGCCCGAGTCACACCACAGAGGAGTGGCGCCCGAGTCACACCACAGAGGAGTGGCGCCCGAGTCACACCACAGAGGAGTGGCGCCCAAGTCACACCACAGAGGAGTGGCGCCCGAGTCACACCACAGAGGAGTGGCGCCCGAGTCACACCACAGAGGAGTGGCGCCCGACTCACACCACAGAGGAGTGGCGCCCGACTCACACCACAGAGGAGTGGCGCCCGACTCACACCACAGAGGAGTGGCGCCCGAGTCACACCACAGAGGAGTGGCGCCCGACTCACACCACAGAGGAATGGCGCCCGAGTCACACCACAGAGGAGTGGCGCCCGACTCACACCGCAGAGGAGTGGCGCCCGAGTCACACCACAGAGGAGTGGCGCCCGAGTCACACCGCTGAGGAGTGGCGCCCGAGTCACACCGCAGAGGAGTGGCGCCCGAGTCACACCGCAGAGGAGTGGCGCCCGAGTCACACCACAGAGGAGTGGCGCCCGAGTCACACCACAGAGGAGTGGCGCCCGACTCACACCACAGAGGAGTGGCGCCCGACTCACACCACAGAGGAGTGGCGCCCGACTCACACCACAGAGGAGTGGCGCCCGAGTCACACCACAGAGGAGTGGCGCCCGAGTCACACCACCGAGGAGTGGCGCCCGAGTCACACCACCGAGGAGTGGCGCCCGAGTCACACCACAGAGGAGTGGCGCCCGACTCACACCACAGAGGAGTGGCGCCCGACTCACACCACAGAGGAGTGGCGCCCGACTCACACCACAGAGGAGTGGCGCCCGACTCACACCACAGAGGAGTGGCGCCCGAGTCACACCACAGAGGAGTGGCGCCCGACTCAAACCGCAGAGGAGTGACGCCCGAGTCACACCACAGAGGAGTGGCGCCCGAGTCACACCACAGAGGAGTGGCGCCCGACTCACACCACAGAGGAGTGGCGCCCGAGTCACACCACAGAGGAGTGGCTCCCGAGTCACACCACAGAGGAGTGGCGCCCGACTCACAACACAGAGGAGTGGCGCCCGAGTCACACCACAGAGGAGTGGCGCCCGAGTCACACCGCAGAGGAGTGGCGCCCGACTCACACCACAGAGGAGTGGCGCCCGAGTCACACCACAGAGGACTGGCGCCCGAGTCACACCACAGAGGAGTGGCGCCCGAGTCACACCACAGAGGAGTGGCGCCCGAGTCACACCACAGAGGAGTGGCGCCCAAGTCACACCACAGAGGAGTGGCGCCCGAGTCACACCACAGAGGAGTGGCGCCCGAGTCACACCACAGAGGAGTGGCGCCCGAGTCACACCACAGAGGAGTGGCGCCCAAGTCACACCACAGAGGAGTGGCACCCGAGTCACACCACAGAGGAGTGGCGCCCGACTCACACCACAGAGGAGTGGCGCCCAACTCACACCACAGAGGAGTGGCGCCCGAGTCACACCACAGAGGAGTGGCGCCCGAGTCACACCACAGAGGGAGTGGCGCCCGAGTCACACCACAGAGGAGTGGCGCCCGACTCACACCACAGAGGAGTGGCGCCCGAGTCACACCACAGAGGAGTGGCGCCCGAGTCACACCACAGAGGAGTGGCGCCCGACTCACACCACAGAGGAGTGGCGCCCGAGTCACACCACAGAGGAGTGGCGCCCGACTCACACCACAGAGGAGTGGCGCCCGAGTCACACCACAGAGGAGTGGCGCCCGAGTCACACCACAGAGGAGTGACGCCCGACTCACACCACAGAGGAGTGGCGCCCGAGTCACACCACAGAGGAGTGGCGCCCGAGTCACACCACAGAGGAGTGGCGCCCGAGTCACACCACAGAGGAGTGGCGCCCGAGTCACACCACAGAGGAGTGGCGCCCGAGTCACACCACAGAGGAGTGACGCCCGAGTCACACCACAGAGGAGTGACGCCCGACTCACACCACAGAGGAGTGGCGCCCGAGTCACACCACAGAGGAGTGGCGCCCGAGTCACACCACAGAGGAGTGGCGCCCGAGTCACACCACAGAGGAGTGACGCCCGACTCACACCACAGAGGAGTGGCGCCCGAGTCACACCACAGAGGAGTGGCGCCCGAGTCACACCACAGAGGAGTGGCGCCCGAGTCACACCACAGAGGAGTGGCGCCCGAGTCACACCACAGAGGAGTGGCGCCCGACTCACACCACAGAGGAGTGGCGCCCGAGTCACACCACAGAGGAGTGGCGCCCGAGTCACACCACAGAGGAGTGGCGCCCGACTCACACCACAGAGGAGTGGCGCCCGAGTCACACCACAGAGGAGTGGCGCCCGAGTCACACCACAGAGGAGTGGCGCCCGAGTCACACCACAGAGGAGTGGCGCCCGACTCACACCACAGAGGAGTGGCGCCCGAGTGACACCACAGAGGAGTGGCGCCCGAGTCACACCACAGTGGAGTGGCGCCCGAGTCACACCACAGAGGAGTAGCGCCCGAGTCACACCACAGAGGAGTGGCGCCCGAGTCACACCACAGAGGAGTGGCGCCCGAGTCACACCACAGAGGAGTGGCGCCCGAGTCACACCACAGAGGAGTGACGCCCGACTCACACCACAGAGGAGTGGCGCCCGAGTCACACCACAGAGGAGTGGCGCCCGAGTCACACCACAGAGGAGTGGCGCCCGAGTCACACCACAGAGGAGTGGCGCCCGAGTCACACCACAGAGGAGTGACGCCCGAGTCACACCACAGAGGAGTGACGCCCGACTCACACCACAGAGGAGTGGCGCCCGAGTCACACCACAGAGGAGTGGCGCCCGAGTCACACCACAGAGGAGTGGCGCCCGAGTCACACCACAGAGGAGTGACGCCCGACTCACACCACAGAGGAGTGGCGCCCGAGTCACACCACAGATGAGTGGCGCCCGAGTCACACCACAGAGGAGTGGCGCCCGAGTCACACCACAGAGGAGTGGCGCCCGAGTCACACCACAGAGGAGTGGCGCCCGACTCACACCACAGAGGAGTGGCGCCCGAGTCACACCACAGAGGAGTGGCGCCCGAGTCACACCACAGAGGAGTGGCGCCCGAGTCACACCACAGAGGAGTGGCGCCCGAGTCACACCACAGAGGAGTGGCGCCCCGAGTCACACCACAGAGGAGTGACGCCCGAGTCACACCACAGAGGAGTGACGCCCGACTCACACCACAGAGGAGTGGCGCCCGAGTCACACCACAGAGGAGTGACGCCCGACTCACACCACAGAGGAGTGGCGCCCGAGTCACACCACAGAGGCGTGGCGCCCGAGTCACACCACAGAGGAGTGGCGCCCGAGTCACACCGCAGAGAAGTGGCGCCCGAGTCACACCACAGAGGAGTGGCGCCCGAGTCACACCACAGAGGAGTGGCGCCCGAGTCACACCACAGAGGAGTGGCGCCCGAGTCACACCACAGAGGAGTGGCGCCCGAGTCACACCACAGAGGAGTGGCGCCCGAGTCACACCACAGAGGCGTGGCGCCCGAGTCACACCACAGAGGAGTGGCGCCCGAGTCACACCGCAGAGAAGTGGCGCCCGAGTCACACCACAGAGGAGTGGCGCCCGAGTCACACCACAGAGGAGTGGCGCCCGAGTCACACCACAGAGGAGTGGCGCCCGAGTCACACCACAGAGGAGTGGCGCCCGAGTCACACCACAGAGGAGTGGCGCCCGAGTCACACCACAGAGGAGTGGCGCCCGAGTCACACCACAGAGGAGTGGCGCCCGAGTCACACCACAGAGGAGTGGCGCCCGAGTCACACCACAGAGGAGTGGCGCCCGAGTCACACCACAGAGGAGGTGGCGCCCAAGTCACACCACAGAGGAGTGGCGCCCGACTCACACCACAGAGGAGTGGCGCCCGAGTCACACCACAGAGGAGTGGCGCCCGACTCACACCACAGAGGGAGTGGCGCCCGAGTCACACCACAGAGGAGTGGCGCCCGAGTCACACCACAGAGGAGTGGCGCCCGAGTCACACCACAGAGGAGTGGCGACCGAGTCACACCACAGAGGAGTGGCGCCCGAGTCACACCACAGAGGAGTGGCGCCCGAGTCACACCACAGAGGAGTGGCGCCCGAGTCACACCACAGAGGAGTGGCGCCCGAGTCACACCACAGAGGAGTGGCGCCCGAGTCACACCACAGAGGAGTGACGCCCGAGTCACACCACAGAGGAGTGACGCCCGACTCACACCACAGAGGAGTGGCGCCCGAGTCACACCACAGAGGAGTGGCGCCCGAGTCACACCACAGAGGAGTGGCGCCCGAGTCACACCACAGAGGAGTGACGCCCGACTCACACCACAGAGGAGTGGCGCCCGAGTCACACCACAGAGGAGTGGCGCCCGAGTCACACCACAGAGGAGTGGCGCCCGAGTCACACCACAGAGGAGTGGCGCCCGAGTCACACCACAGAGGAGTGGCGCCCGACTCACACCACAGAGGAGTGGCGCCCGAGTCACACCACAGAGGAGTGGCGCCCGAGTCACACCACAGAGGAGTGGCGCCCGACTCACACCACAGAGGAGTGGCGCCCGAGTCACACCACAGAGGAGTGGCGCCCGAGTCACACCACAGAGGAGTGGCGCCCGAGTCACACCACAGAGGAGTGGCGCCCGACTCACACCACAGAGGAGTGGCGCCCGAGTCACACCACAGAGGAGTGGCGCCCGAGTCACACCACAGAGGAGTGGCGCCCGAGTCACACCACAGAGGAGTGGCGCCCGAGTCACACCACAGAGGAGTGGCGCCCGAAGTCACACCACAGAGGAGTGGCGCCCGACTCACACCACAGAGGAGTGGCGCCCGAGTCACACCACAGAGGAGTGGCGCCCGAGCTCACACCACAGAGGAGTGGCGCCCGAGTCACACCACAGAGGAGTGGCGCCCGAGTCACACCACAGAGGAGTGGCGCCCGAGTCACACCACAGAGGAGTGGCGACCGAGTCACACCACAGAGGAGTGGCGCCCGAGTCACACCACAGAGGAGTGGCGCCCGAGTCACACCACAGAGGAGTGGCGCCCGAGTCACACCACAGAGGAGTGGCGCCCGAGTCACACCACAGAGGAGTGGCGCCCGAGTCACACCACAGAGGAGTGACGCCCGAGTCACACCACAGAGGAGTGGACGCCCGACTCACACCACAGAGGAGTGGCGCCCGAGTCACACCACAGAGGAGTGGCGCAGCACCACAGAGGAGTGGCGCCCGAGTCACACCACAGAGGAGTGGCGCCCGAGTCACACCACAGAGGAGTGACGCCCGACTCACACCACAGAGGAGTGGCGCCCGAGTCACACCACAGAGGAGTGGCGCCCGAGTCACACCACAGAGGAGTGGCGCCCGAGTCACACCACAGAGGAGTGGCGCCCGAGTCACACCACAGAGGAGTGGCGCCCGAGTCACACCACAGAGGAGTGGCGCCCGACGTCACACCACAGAGGAGTGGCGCCCGAGTCACACCACAGAGGAGTGGCGCCCGAGTCACACCACAGAGGAGTGGCGCCCGAGTCACACCACAGAGGAGTGGCGCCCGAGCTCACACCACAGAGGAGTGGCGCCCGAGTCACACCACAGAGGAGTGGCGCCCGACTCACACCACAGAGGAGTGGCGCCCGAGTCACACCACAGAGGAGTGGCGCCCGACTCACACCACAGAGGAGTGGCGCCCGAATCACACCACAGAGGAGTGGCGCCCGAGTCACACCACAGAGGAGTGGCGCCCGAGTCACACCACAGAGGAGTGGCGCCCGACTCACACCACAGAGGAGTGGCGCCCGAGTCACACCACAGAGGAGTGGCGCCCGAGTCACACCACAGAGGAGTGACGCCCCGACTCACACCACAGAGGAGTGGCGCCCGAGTCACACCACAGAGGAGTGGCCGCCCGACTCACACCACAGAGGAGTGGCGCCCGAGTCACACCACAGAGGAGTGGCGCCCGACTCACACCACAGAGGAGTGGCGCCCGAGTCACACCACAGAGGAGTGGCGCCCGAGTCACAGCACAGAGGAGTGACGCCCGAGTCACACCACAGAGGAGTGGCGCCCGAGTCACACCACAGAGGAGTGGCGCCCGAGTCACACCACAGAGGAGTGGCGCCCGAGTCACACCACAGAGGAGTGGCGCCCGAGTCACACCACAAAGGAGTGGCGCCCGACTCACACCACAGAGGAGTGGCGCCCGAGTCACACCACAGAGGAGTGGCGCCCGAGTCACACCACAGAGGAGTGGCGCCCGAGTCACACCACAGAGGAGTGGCGCCCGACTCACACCACAGAGGAGTGGCGCCCGAGTCACACCACAGAGGAGTGGCGCCCGACTCACACCACAGAGGAGTGGCGCCCGAGTCACACCACAGAGGAGTGGCGCCCGAGTCACACCACAGAGGAGTGGCGCCCGAGTCACACCACAGAGGAGTGGCGCCCGACTCACACCACAGAGGAGTGGCGCCCGAGTCACACCACAGAGGAGTGGCGCCCGACTCACACCACAGAGGAGTGGCGCCCGACTCACACCACAGAGGAGTGGCGCCCGAGTCACACCAAAGAGGAGTGGCGCCCGAGTCACACCACAGAGGAGTGGCGCCCGACTCACACCACAGAGGAGTGGCGTCCGAGTCACACCACAGAGGAGTGGCGCCCGACTCACACCACAGAGGAGTGGCGCCCGACTCACACCACAGAGGAGTGGCGCCCGAGTCACACCACAGAGGAGTGGCTCCCGAGTCACACCACAGAGGAGTGGCGCCCGACTCACAACACAGAGGAGTGGCGCCCGAGTCACACCACAGAGGAGTGGCGCCCGAGTCACACCGCAGAGGAGTGGCGCCCGACTCACACCACAGAGGAGTGGCGCCCGAGTCACACCACAGAGGACTGGCGCCCGAGTCACACCACAGAGGAGTGGCGCCCGAGTCACACCACAGAGGAGTGGCGCCCGAGTCACACCACAGAGGAGTGGCGCCCAAGTCACACCACAGAGGAGTGGCGCCCGAGTCACACCACAGAGGAGTGGCGCCCGAGTCACACCACAGAGGAGTGGCGCCCGAGTCACACCACAGAGGAGTGGCGCCCAAGTCACACCACAGAGGAGTGGCACCCGAGTCACACCACAGAGGAGTGGCGCCCGACTCACACCACAGAGGAGTGGCGCCCAACTCACACCACAGAGGAGTGGCGCCCGAGTCACACCACAGAGGAGTGGCGCCCGAGTCACACCACAGAGGAGTGGCGCCCGAGTCACACCACAGAGGAGTGGCGCCCGACTCACACCACAGAGGAGTGGCGCCCGAGTCACACCACAGAGGAGTGGCGCCCGAGTCACACCACAGAGGAGTGGCGCCCGACTCACACCACAGAGGAGTGGCGCCCGAGTCACACCACAGAGGAGTGGCGCCCGACTCACACCACAGAGGAGTGGCGCCCGAGTCACACCACAGAGGAGTGGCGCCCGAGTCACACCACAGAGGAGTGACGCCCGACTCACACCACAGAGGAGTGGCGCCCGAGTCACACCACAGAGGAGTGGCGCCCGACTCACACCACAGAGGAGTGGCGCCCGAGTCACACCACAGAGGAGTGGCGTCCGAGTCACACCACAGAGGAGTGGCGCCCGAGTGACACCACAGAGGAGTGGCGCCCGAGTCACACCACAGTGGAGTGGCGCCCGAGTCACACCACAGAGGAGTAGCGCCCGAGTCACACCACAGAGGAGTGGCGCCCGAGTCACACCACAGAGGAGTGGCGCCCGAGTCACACCACAGAGGAGTGGCGCCCGAGTCACACCACAGAGGAGTGACGCCCGACTCACACCACAGAGGAGTGGCGCCCGAGTCACACCACAGAGGAGTGGCGCCCGAGTCACACCACAGAGGAGTGGCGCCCGAGTCACACCACAGAGGAGTGGCGCCCGAGTCACACCACAGAGGAGTGACGCCCGAGTCACACCACAGAGGAGTGACGCCCGACTCACACCACAGAGGAGTGGCGCCCGAGTCACACCACAGAGGAGTGGCGCCCGAGTCACACCACAGAGGAGTGGCGCCCGAGTCACACCACAGAGGAGTGACGCCCGACTCACACCACAGAGGAGTGGCGCCCGAGTCACACCACAGAGGAGTGGCGCCCGAGTCACACCACAGAGGAGTGGCGCCTGAGTCACACCACAGAGGAGTGGCGCCCGAGTCACACCACAGAGGAGTGGCGCCCGACTCACACCACAGAGGAGTGGCGCCCGAGTCACACCACAGAGGAGTGGCGCCCGAGTCACACCACAGAGGAGTGGCGCCCGAGTCACACCACAGAGGAGTGGCGCCCGAGTCACACCACAGAGGAGTGGCGCCCGAGTCACACCACAGAGGAGTGACGCCCGAGTCACACCACAGAGGAGTGACGCCCGACTCACACCACAGAGGAGTGGCGCCCGAGTCACACCACAGAGGAGTGACGCCCGACTCACACCACAGAGGGAGTGGCGCCCGAGTCACACCACAGAGGAGTGGCGCCCGAGTCACACCACAGAGGAGTGGCGCCCGAGTCACACCACAGAGGAGTGGCGCCCGAGTCACACCACAGAGGAGTGGCGCCCGAGTCACACCACAGAGGAGTGACGCCCGAGTCACACCACAGAGGAGTGACGCCCGACTCACACCACAGAGGAGTGGCGCCCGAGTCACACCACAGAGGAGTGACGCCCGACTCACACCACAGAGGAGTGGCGCCCGAGTCACACCACAGAGGCGTGGCGCCCGAGTCACACCACAGAGGAGTGGCGCCCGAGTCACACCACAGAGGAGTGGCGCCCGAGTCACACCACAGAGGAGTAGCGCCCGAGTCACACCACAGAGGAGTGGCGCCCGAGTCACACCACAGAGGAGTGGCGCCCGACTCACACCACAGAGGAGTGGCGCCCGAGTCACACCACAGAGGAGTGGCGCCCGAGTCACACCACAGAGGAGTGGCGCCCGAGTCACACCACAGAGGAGTGGCGCCCGAGTCACACCACAGAGGAGTGACGCCCGAGTCCACACCACAGAGGAGTGACGCCGGACTCACACCACAGAGGAGTGGCGCCCGAGTCACACCACAGAGGAGTGGCGCCCGAGTCACACCACAGAGGAGTGGCGCCCGAGTCACACCACAGAGGAGTGACGCCCGACTCACACCACAGAGGAGTGGCGCCCGAGTCACACCACAGAGGAGTGGCGCCCGAGTCACACCACAGAGGAGTGGCGCCCGAGTCACACCACAGAGGAGTGGCGCCCGAGTCACACCACAGAGGAGTGGCGCCCGACTCACACCACAGAGGAGTGGCGCCCGAGTCACACCACAGAGGAGTGGCGCCCGAGTCACACCACAGAGGAGTGGCGCCCGAGTCACACCACAGAGGAGTGGCGCCCGAGTCACACCACAGAGGAGTGGCGCCCAAGTCACACCACAGAGGAGTGGCGCCCGACTCACACCACAGAGGAGTGGCGCCCGAGTCACACCACAGAGGAGTGGCGCCCGACTCACACCACAGAGGAGTGGCGCCCGACTCACACCACAGAGGAGTGGCGCCCGAGTCACACCACAGAGGAGTGGCGCCCGAGTCACACCACAGAGGAGTGGCGACCGAGTCACACCACAGAGGAGTGGCGCCCGAGTCACACCACAGAGGAGTGGCGCCCGAGTCACACCACAGAGGAGTGGCGCCCGAGTCACACCACAGAGGAGTGGCGCCCGAGTCACACCACAGAGGAGTGGCGCCCGAGTCACACCACAGAGGAGTGACGCCCGAGTCACACCACAGAGGAGTGACGCCCGACTCACACCACAGAGGAGTGGCGCCCGAGTCACACCACAGAGGAGTGGCGCCCGAGTCACACCACAGAGGAGTGGCGCCCGAGTCACACCACAGAGGAGTGACGCCCGACTCACACCACAGAGGAGTGGCGCCCGAGTCACACCACAGAGGAGTGGCGCGCGAGTCACACCACAGAGGAGTGGCGCCCGAGTCACACCACAGAGGAGTGGCGCCCGAGTCACACCACAGAGGAGTGGCGCCCGACTCACACCACAGAGGAGTGGCGCCCGAGTCACACCACAGAGGAGTGGCGCCCGAGTCACACCACAGAGGAGTGGCGCCCGACTCACACCACAGAGGAGTGGCGCCCGAGTCACACCACAGAGGAGTGGCGCCCGAGTCACACCACAGAGGAGTGGCGCCCGAGTCACACCACAGAGGAGTGGCGCCCGACTCACACCACAGAGGAGTGGCGCCCGAGTCACACCACAGAGGAGTGGCGCCCGACTCACACCACAGAGGAGTGGCGCCCGACTCACACCACAGAGGAGTGGCGCCCGAGTCACACCACAGAGGAGTGGCGCCCGAGTCACACCACAGAGGAGTGGCGCCCGAGTCACACCACAGAGGAGTGGCGCCCGAGTCACACCACAGAGGAGTGGCGCCCGAGTCACACCACAGAGGAGTGACGCCCGACTCACACCACAGAGGAGTGGCGCCCGAGTCACACCACAGAGGAGTGGCGCCCGACTCACACCACAGAGAGTGGCGCCCGAGTCACACCACAGAGGAGTGGCGCCCGACTCACACCACAGAGGAGTGGCGCCCGAGTCACACCACAGAGGAGTGGCGCCCGAGTCACAGCACAGAGGAGTGACGCCCGAGTCACACCACAGAGGAGTGGCGCCCGAGTCACACCACAGAGGAGTGGCGCCCGAGTCACACCACAGAGGAGTGGCGCCCGAGTCACACCACAGAGGAGTGGCGCCCGAGTCACACCACAGAGGAGTGGCGCCAGACTCACACCACAGAGGAGTGGCGCCCGAGTCACACCACAGAGGAGTGGCGCCCGAGCTCACACCACAGAGGTAGTGGCGCCCGACTCACACCACAGAGGAAGTGGCGCCCGAGTCACACCACAGAGGAGTGGCGCCCGAGTCACACCACAGAGGAGTGGCGCCCGAGTCACACCACAGAGGAGTGGCGCCCGAGTCACACCACAGAGGAGTGGCGCCCGACTCACACCACAGAGGAGTGGCGCCCGACTCACACCACAGAGGAGTGGCGCCCGACTCACACCACAGAGGAGTGGCGCCCGACTCACACCACAGAGGAGTGGCGCCCGACTCACACCACAGAGGAGTGGCGCCCGAGTCACACCACAGAGGAGTGCGCCCGAGTCACACCACAGAGGTGGCGCCCGACGTCACACCACAGAGGAGTGGCGCCCGAGTCACACCACAGAGGAGTGGCGCCCGACGTCACACCCCAGAGGGAGTGGCGCCCGAGTCACACCAACAGAGGAGTGGCGCCCGAGTCACACCACAGAGGAGTGGCGCCCGAGCTCACACCACAGAGGAGTGGCGCCCGAGTCACACCACAGAGGAGTGTGCGCCCGAGTCCACACCACAGAGGAAGTGCGCCCTGAGTCACACCACAGAGGAGTGCGCCCGACTCAACACCACAGAGCGAGTGGCGCCCGAGTCACACCACAGAGGAGTGGCGCCCGACTCACACCACAGAGGTAGTGAGCGCCCGAGCTCAACACCACAGAGGAGTGGCGCCCGACTCACACCACAGAGGAGTGGCGCCCGAGTCAACACCACAGAGGATTGGCGCCGAGTCACACCATAGAGGAGTGACGCCCGACTCACACCACAGAGGAGTGGCCGCCCTAGTCACACCACAGAGGATGGCGCCCGAGTCCACACCACAGAGGAGTGGCGCCCGAGTCACACCACAGAGGAGTGGACGCCCGACTCACACCACAGAGGAGTGGCGCCGAGTCACACCACAGAGGAGTGGCGCCCGAGTCACACCACAGAGGAGTGGCGCCCGAGTCACACCACAGAGGAGTGGCGCCGACTCACACCACAGAGGAGTGGCGCCCGAGTCACACCCACAGAGGAGTGGCGCCCGAGTCACACACAACAGAGGAGTGGCGCCCGAGTCAGCACCACAGAGGAGTGGACGCCCGACTCACAAAACCACAGAGGAGTGGCGCCCGAGTCACACCACAGGGAGTGGCGCCCGAGTCACACCACAGAGGAGTGGCGCCCGAGGTCACACCACAGAGGAGTGCGCCCGAGTCACACCACAGAGGAGTGGCGCCCGACTTCAGCACCACAGAGGAGTGGCGCCCGAGTCACACCACAGAGGAGTGGCGCTCCGAGTCACACCACAGAGGTGCCGATAACGCTGAGTATGGCGCCCGAGTCACACCAACAGAGAGTGGCGCCCGAGCTCACACCACAGAGGAGTGGCGCCCGAGTCACACCACAGAGGAGTGGCGCCCGAGTCACACCACAGAGGAGTGGCGCCCGAGTCACACCACAGAGGAGTGGCGCCCGAGTCACACCACAGAGGAGTGGCGCCCGACTCACACCACAGAGGAGTGGCGCCCGAGTCACACCACAGAGGAGTGGCGCCCGACTCACACCACAGAGGAGTGGCGCCCGACTCACACCACAGAGGAGTGGCGCCCGAGTCACACCACAGAGGAGTGGCGCCCGAGTCACACCACAGAGGAGTGGCGCCCGACTCACACCACAGAGGAGTGGCGCCCGAGTCACACCACAGAGGAGTGGCGCCCGAGTCACACCACAGAGGAGTGGCGCCCGAGTCACACCACAGAGGAGTGGCGCCCGAGTCACACCACAGAGGAGTGGCGCCCGAGTCACACCACAGAGGAGTGGCGCCCGAGTCACACCACAGAGGAGTGGCGCCCGACTCACACCACAGAGGAGTGGCGCCCGACTCACACCACAGAGGAGTGGCGCCCGAGTCACACCACAGAGGAGTGGCGCCCGAGTCACACCACAGAGGAGTGGCGCCCGACTCACACCACAGAGGAGTGGCGCCCGAGTCACACCACAGAGGAGTGGCGCCCGAGTCACACCACAGAGGAGTGGCGCCCGACTCACACCACAGAGGAGTGGCGCCCGAGTCACACCACAGAGGAGTGGCGCCCGACTCACACCACAGAGGAGTGGCGCCCGAGTCACACCACAGAGGAGTGGCGCCCGACTCACACCACAGAGGAGTGGCGCCCGACTCACACCACAGAGGAGTGGCGCCCGAGTCACACCACAGAGGAGTGGCGCCCGAGTCACACCACAGAGGAGTGGCGCCCGAGTCACACCACAGAGGAGTGGCGCCCGACTCACACCACAGAGGAGTGGCGCCCGAGTCACACCACAGAGGAGTGGCGCCCGAGTCACACCACAGAGGAGTGGCGCCCGAGTCACACCCGCCCGAGTCACACCACAGAGGAGTGGCGCCCGAGTCACACCACAGAGGAGTGGCGCCCGAGTCACACCACAGAGGAGTGGCGCCCGAGTCACACCACAGAGGAGTGGCGCCCGAGTCACACCACAGAGGAGTGGCGCCCGAGTCACACCACAGAGGGTGGCGCCCGACTCACACCACAGAGGAGTGGCGCCCGAGTCACACCACAGAGGAGTGGCGCCCGAGTCACACCACAGAGGAGTGGCGCCCGAGTCACACCACAGAGGAGTGGCGCCCGAGTCACACCACAGAGGAGTGGCGCCCGAGTCACACCACAGAGGAGTGGCGCCCGAGTCACACCACAGAGGAGTGGCGCCCGAGTCACACCACAGAGGAGTGGCGCCCGAGTCACACCACAGAGGAGTGGCGCCCAAGTCACACCACAGAGGAGTGGCGCCCGAGTCACACCACAGAGGAGTGGCGCCCGAGTCACACCACAGAGGAGTGGCGCCCGAGTCACACCACAGAGGAGTGGCGCCCGAGTCACACCACAGAGGAGTGGCGCCCGAGTCACACCACAGAGGAGTGGCGCCCGAGTCACACCACAGAGGAGTGGCGCCCGAGTCACACCACAGAGGAGTGGCGCCCGAGTCACACCACAGAGGAGTGGCGCCCGAGTCACACCACAGAGGAGTGGCGCCCGAGTCACACCACAGAGGAGTGGCGCCCGACTCACACCACAGAGGAGTGGCGCCCGAGTCACACCACAGAGGAGTGGCGCCCGAGTCACACCACAGAGGAGTCACACCCGAGTCACACCACAGAGGAGTGGCGCCCGAGTCACACCACAGAGGAGTGGCGCCCGAGTCACACCACAGAGGAGTGGCGCCCGAGTCACACCACAGAGGAGTGGCGCCCGAGTCACACCACAGGAGAACACCGCCCGAGTCACACCACAGAGGAGTGGCGCCCGAGTCACACCACAGAGGAGTGGCGCCCGAGTCACACCACAGAGGAGTGGCGCCCGAGTCACACCACAGAGGAGTGGCGCCCGAGTCACACCACAGAGGAGTGGCGCCCGAGTCACACCACAGAGGAGTGGCGCCCGAGTCACACCACAGAGGAGTGGCGCCCGAGTCACACCACAGAGGAGTGGCGCCCGAGTCACACCACAGAGGAGTGGCGCCCGAGTCACACCACAGAGGAGTGGCGCCCGAGTCACACCACAGAGGAGTGGCGCCCGAGTCACACCACAGAGGAGTGGCGCCCGAGTCACACCACAGAGGAGTGGCGCCCGAGTCACACCACAGAGGAGTGGCGCCCGAGTCACACCACAGAGGAGTGGCGCCCGAGTCACACCACAGAGGAGTGGCGCCCGAGTCACACCACAGAGGAGTGGCGCCCGAGTCACACCACAGAGGAGTGGCGCCCGAGTCACACCACAGAGGAGTGGCGCCCGAGTCACACCACAGAGGAGTGGCGCCCGAGTCACACCACAGAGGAGTGGCGCCCGAGTCACACCACAGAGGAGTGGCGCCCGACTCACACCACAGAGGAGTGGCGCCCGAGTCACACCACAGAGGAGTGGCGCCCGAGTCACACCACAGAGGAGTGGCGCCCGAGTCACACCACAGAGGAGTGGCGCCCGAGTCACACCACAGAGGAGTGGCGCCCGAGTCACACCACAGAGGAGTGGCGCCCGAGTCACACCACAGAGGAGTGGCGCCCGAGTCACACCACAGAGGAGTGGCGCCCGAGTCACACCACAGAGGAGTGGCGCCCGACTCACACCACAGAGGAGTGGCGCCCGAGTCACACCACAGAGGAGTGGCGCCCGAGTCACACCACAGAGGAGTGGCGCCCGAGTCACACCACAGAGGAGTGGCGCCCGAGTCACACCACAGAGGAGTGGCGCCCGAGTCACACCACAGAGGAGTGGCGCCCGACTCACACCACAGAGGAGTGGCGCCCGAGTCACACCACAGAGGAGTGGCGCCCGAGTCACACCACAGAGGAGTGGCGCCCGAGTCACACCACAGAGGAGTGGCGCCCGAGTCACACCACAGAGGAGTGGCGCCCGAGTCACACCACAGAGGAGTGGCGCCCGAGTCACACCACAGAGGAGTGGCGCCCGAGTCACACCACAGAGGAGTGGCGCCCGAGTCACACCACAGAGGAGTGGCGCCCGAGTCACACCACAGAGGAGTGGCGCCCGAGTCACACCACAGAGGAGTGGCGCCCGAGTCACACCACAGAGGAGTGGCGCCCGAGTCACACCACAGAGGAGTGGCGCCCGAGTCACACCACAGAGGAGTGGCGCCCGAGTCACACCACAGAGGAGTGGCGCCCGAGTCACACCACAGAGGAGTGGCGCCCGAGTCACACCACAGAGGAGTGGCGCCCGAGTCACACCACAGAGGAGTGGCGCCCGAGTCACACCACAGAGGAGTGGCGCCCGAGTCACACCACAGAGGAGTGGCGCCCGAGTCACACCACAGAGGAGTGGCGCCCGACTCACACCACAGAGGAGTGGCGCCCGAGTCACACCACAGAGGAGTGGCGCCCGACTCACACCACAGAGGAGTGGCGCCCGAGTCACACCACAGAGGAGTGGCGCCCGAGTCACACCACAGAGGAGTGGCGCCCGAGTCACACCACAGAGGAGTGGCGCCCGACTCACACCACAGAGGAGTGGCGCCCGAGTCACACCACAGAGGAGTGGCGCCCGAGTCACACCACAGAGGAGTGGCGCCCGAGTCACACCACAGAGGAGTGGCGCCCGAGTCACACCACAGAGGAGTGGCGCCCGAGTCACACCACAGAGGAGTGGCGCCCGAGTCACACCACAGAGGAGTGGCGCCCAAGTCACACCCGCCCGAGTCACACCACAGAGGAGTGGCGCCCGAGTCACACCACAGAGGAGTGGCGCCCGAGTCACACCACAGAGGAGTGGCGCCCGAGTCACACCACAGAGGAGTGGCGCCCGACTCACACCACAGAGGAGTGGCGCCCGAGTCACACCACAGAGGAGTGGCGCCCGAGTCACACCACAGAGGAGTGGCGCCCGAGTCACACCACAGAGGAGTGGCGCCCGAGTCACACCACAGAGGAGTGGCGCCCGAGTCACACCACAGAGGAGTGGCGCCCGAGTCACACCACAGAGGAGTGGCGCCCGAGTCACACCACAGAGGAGTGGCGCCCGAGTCACACCACAGAGGAGTGGCGCCCGAGTCACACCACAGAGGAGTGGCGCCCGAGTCACACCACAGAGGAGTGGCGCCCGAGTCACACCACAGAGGAGTGGCGCCCGAGTCACACCACAGAGGAGTGGCGCCCGAGTCACACCACAGAGGAGTGGCGCCCGAGTCACACCACAGAGGAGTGGCGCCCGAGTCACACCACAGAGGAGTGGCGCCCGACTCACACCACAGAGGAGTGGCGCCCGAGTCACACCACAGAGGAGTGGCGCCCGACTCACACCACAGAGGAGTGGCGCCCGAGTCACACCACAGAGGAGTGGCGCCCGAGTCACACCACAGAGGAGTGGCGCCCGAGTCACACCACAGAGGAGTGGCGCCCGAGTCACACCACAGAGGAGTGGCGCCCGAGTCACACCACAGAGGAGTGGCGCCCGAGTCACACCACAGAGGAGTGGCGCCCGAGTCACACCACAGAGGAGTGGCGCCCGAGTCACACCACAGAGGAGTGGCGCCCGAGTCACACCACAGAGGAGTGGCGCCCGACTCACACCACAGAGGAGTGGCGCCCGAGGCAGAGGCGCCCGAGTCACACCACAGAGGAGTGGCGCCCGAGTCACACACAGAGGAGTGGCGCCCGACTCACACCACAGAGGAGTGGCGCCCGAGTCACACCACAGAGGAGTGGCGCCCGAGTCACACCACAGAGGAGTGGCGCCCGAGTCACACCACAGAGGAGTGGCGCCCGAGTCACACCACAGAGGAGTGGCGCCCGAGTCACACCACAGAGGAGTGGCGCCCGAGTCACACCACAGAGGAGTGGCGCCCGAGTCACACCACAGAGGAGTGGCGCCCGAGTCACACCACAGAGGAGTGGCGCCCGAGTCACACCACAGAGGAGTGGCGCCCGAGTCACACCACAGAGGAGTGGCGCCCGAGTCACACCACAGAGGAGTGGCGCCCGAGTCACACCACAGAGGAGTGGCGCCCGAGTCACACCACAGAGGAGTGGCGCCCGAGTCACACCACAGAGGAGTGGCGCCCGAGTCACACCACAGAGGAGTGGCGCCCGAGTCACACCACAGAGGAGTGGCGCCCGAGTCACACCACAGAGGAGTGGCGCCCGAGTCACACCACAGAGGAGTGGCGCCCGAGTCACACCACAGAGGAGTGGCGCCCGAGTCACACCACAGAGGAGTGGCGCCCGAGTCACACCACAGAGGAGTGGCGCCCGAGTCACACCACAGAGGAGTGGCGCCCGAGTCACACCACAGAGGAGTGGCGCCCGAGTCACACCACAGAGGAGTGGCGCCCGAGTCACACCACAGAGGAGTGGCGCCCGAGTCACACCACAGAGGAGTGGCGCCCGAGTCACACCACAGAGGAGTGGCGCCCGAGTCACACCACAGAGGAGTGGCGCCCGAGTCACACCACAGAGGAGTGGCGCCCGAGTCACACCACAGAGGAGTGGCGCCCGAGTCACACCACAGAGGAGTGGCGCCCGAGTCACACCACAGAGGAGTGGCGCCCGAGTCACACCACAGAGGAGTGGCGCCCGAGTCACACCACAGAGGAGTGGCGCCCGAGTCACACCACAGAGGAGTGGCGCCCGAGTCACACCACAGAGGAGTGGCGCCCGAGTCACACCACAGAGGAGTGGCGCCCGAGTCACACCACAGAGGAGTGGCGCCCGAGTCACACCACAGAGGAGTGGCGCCCGAGTCACACCACAGAGGAGTGGCGCCCGAGTCACACCACAGAGGAGTGGCGCCCGAGTCACACCACAGAGGAGTGGCGCCCGAGTCACACCACAGAGGAGTGGCGCCCGAGTCACACCACAGAGGAGTGGCGCCCGAGTCACACCACAGAGGAGTGGCGCCCGAGTCACACCACAGAGGAGTGGCGCCCGAGTCACACCACAGAGGAGTGGCGCCCGAGTCACACCACAGAGGAGTGGCGCCCGAGTCACACCACAGAGGAGTGGCGCCCGAGTCACACCACAGAGGAGTGGCGCCCGAGTCACACCACAGAGGAGTGGCGCCCGAGTCACACCACAGAGGAGTGGCGCCCGAGTCACACCACAGAGGAGTGGCGCCCGAGTCACACCACAGAGGAGTGGCGCCCGAGTCACACCACAGAGGAGTGGCGCCCGAGTCACACCACAGAGGAGTGGCGCCCGAGTCACACCACAGAGGAGTGGCGCCCGAGTCACACCACAGAGGAGTGGCGCCCGAGTCACACCACAGAGGAGTGGCGCCCGAGTCACACCACAGAGGAGTGGCGCCCGAGTCACACCACAGAGGAGTGGCGCCCGAGTCACACCACAGAGGAGTGGCGCCCGAGTCACACCACAGAGGAGTGGCGCCCGAGTCACACCACAGAGGAGTGGCGCCCGAGTCACACCACAGAGGAGTGGCGCCCGAGTCACACCACAGAGGAGTGGCGCCCGAGTCACACCACAGAGGAGTGGCGCCCGAGTCACACCACAGAGGAGTGGCGCCCGAGTCACACCACAGAGGAGTGGCGCCCGAGTCACACCACAGAGGAGTGGCGCCCGAGTCACACCACAGAGGAGTGGCGCCCGAGTCACACCACAGAGGAGTGGCGCCCGAGTCACACCACAGAGGAGTGGCGCCCGAGTCACACCACAGAGGAGTGGCGCCCGAGTCACACCACAGAGGAGTGGCGCCCGAGTCACACCACAGAGGAGTGGCGCCCGAGTCACACCACAGAGGAGTGGCGCCCGAGTCACACCACAGAGGAGTGGCGCCCGAGTCACACCACAGAGGAGTGGCGCCCGAGTCACACCACAGAGGAGTGGCGCCCGAGTCACACCACAGAGGAGTGGCGCCCGAGTCACACCACAGAGGAGTGGCGCCCGAGTCACACCACAGAGGAGTGGCGCCCGAGTCACACCACAGAGGAGTGGCGCCCGAGTCACACCACAGAGGAGTGGCGCCCGAGTCACACCACAGAGGAGTGGCGCCCGAGTCACACCACAGAGGAGTGGCGCCCGAGTCACACCACAGAGGAGTGGCGCCCGAGTCACACCACAGAGGAGTGGCGCCCGAGTCACACCACAGAGGAGTGGCGCCCGAGTCACACCACAGAGGAGTGGCGCCCGAGTCACACCACAGAGGAGTGGCGCCCGAGTCACACCACAGAGGAGTGGCGCCCGAGTCACACCACAGAGGAGTGGCGCCCGAGTCACACCACAGAGGAGTGGCGCCCGAGTCACACCACAGAGGAGTGGCGCCCGAGTCACACCACAGAGGAGTGGCGCCCGAGTCACACCACAGAGGAGTGGCGCCCGAGTCACACCACAGAGGAGTGGCGCCCGAGTCACACCACAGAGGAGTGGCGCCCGAGTCACACCACAGAGGAGTGGCGCCCGAGTCACACCACAGAGGAGTGGCGCCCGAGTCACACCACAGAGGAGTGGCGCCCGAGTCACACCACAGAGGAGTGGCGCCCGAGTCACACCACAGAGGAGTGGCGCCCGAGTCACACCACAGAGGAGTGGCGCCCGAGTCACACCACAGAGGAGTGGCGCCCGAGTCACACCACAGAGGAGTGGCGCCCGAGTCACACCACAGGAGTGGCGCCCGAGTCACACCACAGAGGAGTGGCGCCCGAGTCACACCACAGAGGAGTGGCGCCCGAGTCACACCACAGAGGAGTGGCGCCCGAGTCACACCACAGAGGAGTGGCGCCCGAGTCACACCACAGAGGAGTGGCGCCCGAGTCACACCACAGAGGAGTGGCGCCCGAGTCACACCACAGAGGAGTGGCGCCCGAGTCACACCACAGAGGAGTGGCGCCCGAGTCACACCACAGAGGAGTGGCGCCCGAGTCACACCACAGAGGAGTGGCGCCCGAGTCACACCACAGAGGAGTGGCGCCCGAGTCACACCACAGAGGAGTGGCGCCCGAGTCACACCACAGAGGAGTGGCGCCCGAGTCACACCACAGAGGAGTGGCGCCCGAGTCACACCACAGAGGAGTGGCGCCCGAGTCACACCACAGGAGTGGCGCCCGAGTCACACCACAGAGGAGTGGCGCCCGAGTCACACCACAGAGGAGTGGCGCCCGAGTCACACCACAGAGGAGTGGCGCCCGAGTCACACCACAGAGGAGTGGCGCCCGAGTCACACCACAGAGGAGTGGCGCCCGAGTCACACCACAGAGGAGTGGCGCCCGAGTCACACCACAGAGGAGTGGCGCCCGAGTCACACCACAGAGGAGTGGCGCCCGAGTCACACCACAGAGGAGTGGCGCCCGAGTCACACCACAGAGGAGTGGCGCCCGAGTCACACCACAGAGGAGTGGCGCCCGAGTCACACCACAGAGGAGTGGCGCCCGAGTCACACCACAGAGGAGTGGCGCCCGAGTCACACCACAGAGGAGTGGCGCCCGAGTCACACCACAGAGGAGTGGCGCCCGAGTCACACCACAGAGGAGTGGCGCCCGAGTCACACCACAGAGGAGTGGCGCCCGAGTCACACCACAGAGGAGTGGCGCCCGAGTCACACCACAGAGGAGTGGCGCCCGAGTCACACCACAGAGGAGTGGCGCCCGAGTCACACCACAGAGGAGTGGCGCCCGAGTCACACCACAGAGTGGCGCCCGAGTCACACCACAGAGGAGTGGCGCCCGAGTCACACCACAGAGGAGTGGCGCCCGAGTCACACCACAGAGGAGTGGCGCCCGAGTCACACCACAGAGGAGTGGCGCCCGAGTCACACCACAGAGGAGTGGCGCCCGAGTCACACCACAGAGGAGTGGCGCCCGAGTCACACCACAGAGGAGTGGCGCCCGAGTCACACCACAGAGGAGTGGCGCCCGAGTCACACCACAGAGGAGTGGCGCCCGAGTCACACCACAGAGGAGTGGCGCCCGAGTCACACCACAGAGGAGTGGCGCCCGAGTCACACCACAGAGGAGTGGCGCCCGAGTCACACCACAGAGTGGCGCCCGAGTCACACCACAGAGTGGCGCCCGAGTCACACCACAGAGGAGTGGCGCCCGAGTCACACCACAGAGGAGTGGCGCCCGAGTCACACCACAGAGGAGTGGCGCCCGAGTCACACCACAGAGGAGTGGCGCCCGAGTCACACCACAGAGGAGTGGCGCCCGAGTCACACCACAGAGGAGTGGCGCCCGAGTCACACCACAGAGGAGTGGCGCCCGAGTCACACCACAGAGTGGCGCCCGAGTCACACCACAGAGGAGTGGCGCCCGAGTCACACCACAGAGGAGTGGCGCCCGAGTCACACCACAGAGGAGTGGCGCCCGAGTCACACCACAGAGGAGTGGCGCCCGAGTCACACCACAGAGGAGTGGCGCCCGAGTCACACCACAGAGGAGTGGCGCCCGAGTCACACCACAGAGGAGTGGCGCCCGAGTCACACCACAGAGGAGTGGCGCCCGAGTCACACCACAGAGGAGTGGCGCCCGAGTCACACCACAGAGGAGTGGCGCCCGAGTCACACCACAGAGGAGTGGCGCCCGAGTCACACCACAGAGGAGTGGCGCCCGAGTCACACCACAGAGGAGTGGCGCCCGAGTCACACCACAGAGGAGTGGCGCCCGAGTCACACCACAGAGGAGTGGCGCCCGAGTCACACCACAGAGGAGTGGCGCCCGAGTCACACCACAGAGGAGTGGCGCCCGAGTCACACCACAGAGGAGTGGCGCCCGAGTCACACCACAGAGGAGTGGCGCCCGAGTCACACCACAGAGGAGTGGCGCCCGAGTCACACCACAGAGGAGTGGCGCCCGAGTCACACCACAGAGGAGTGGCGCCCGAGTCACACCACAGAGGAGTGGCGCCCGAGTCACACCACAGAGGAGTGGCGCCCGAGTCACACCACAGAGGAGTGGCGCCCGAGTCACACCACAGAGGAGTGGCGCCCGAGTCACACCACAGAGGAGTGGCGCCCGAGTCACACCACAGAGGAGTGGCGCCCGAGTCACACCACAGAGGAGTGGCGCCCGAGTCACACCACAGAGGAGTGGCGCCCGAGTCACACCACAGAGGAGTGGCGCCCGAGTCACACCACAGAGGAGTGGCGCCCGAGTCACACCACAGAGGAGTGGCGCCCGAGTCACACCACAGAGGAGTGGCGCCCGAGTCACACCACAGAGGAGTGGCGCCCGAGTCACACCACAGAGGAGTGGCGCCCGAGTCACACCACAGAGTGGCGCCCGAGTCACACCACAGAGTGGCGCCCGAGTCACACCACAGAGGAGTGGCGCCCGAGTCACACCACAGAGGAGTGGCGCCCGAGTCACACCACAGAGGAGTGGCGCCCGAGTCACACCACAGAGGAGTGGCGCCCGAGTCACACACAGAGGAGTGGCGCCCGAGTCACACCACAGAGGAGTGGCGCCGAGTCACACAACTAACAAGAGGAGTGGCGCCCGAGTCACACCACAGAGGAGTGGCGCCCGAGTCACACCACAGAGAAGTGGCGCCCGAAGTCACACCACAGAGGAGTGGCGCCCGAGTCACACCACAGAGGAGTGGCGCCCCGAGTCACACCACAGAGGAGTGGCGCCGAGTCACCCACCACAGAGGAGTGGCGCCCGAGTCACACCACAGATGAGTGGCGCCCGGAGTCACACCACAGAGGAGTGGCGCCCGAGTCACACCACAGAGGAGTGGCGCCCGAGTCACACCACAGATGGAGTGGCGCCCGACTCACACCACAGAGGAGTGGCGCCCGAGTCACACCACAGAGGAGTGGCGCCCGAGTCACACCACAGAGGAGTGGCGCCCCGACGTCACACCACAGAGGAGTGGCGCCCGAGTCACACCACAGAGGAGGTGCGCCCGACTCACACCACAGGAGTGGCGCCCGAGTCACACCACAGAGGAGTGGCGCCCGAGTCACACCACAGAGGAGTGGCGCCCGAGTCACACCACAGAGGAGTGGCCGCCGAGTCACACACAGAGGAGGGCGCCGACTCACACCACAGAGGAGTGAGGCGCCCGACTCACACCACAGAGGAGTGGCGCCCGAGTCAACTACCACAGAGGAGTGGCGCCCGAGTCACACCACAGAGGAGTGCGCTCGATCACCCACCACAGAGCGAGTGACGCCCGACTCAACACCACAGAGGAGTGGCGCCCGAGTCACACCACAGAGGAGTGGCGCCCGAGTCACACCACAGAGGAGTGGCGCCCGAGTCACACCACAGAGGAGTGGCGCCCGAGTCACACCACAGCGGAGTGGCGCCCGAGTCACACCACAGAGGAGTGGCGCCCGAGTCACACACAGAGGAGTGGCGCCCGACTCACACCACAGAGGAGTGGCGCCCCGAGTCACACCCACAGAGGAGTGGCGCCGACTTCACACCCACAGAGGAGTGGCGCCGAGTCACACCACAGAGGAAGTGGCGCCCCGAGTCACACCACAGAGGAGTGGCGCCGAGTCACACACAGAGGAGTGGCGCCCGAGTCACACCACAGAGGAGTGGCGCCCGAGTCCACAACCACAGAGGAGTGGCGCCCGAGTCACACCACAGAGGAGTGGCGCCCGAGTCACACCACCAGAGGAGTGGCGCCCGAGTCACACCACAGAGGAGTGGCGCCCGAGTCACACCACAGAGGAGTGGCGCCCGAGTCACACCACAGAGGAGTGGCGCCCGAGTCACACCACAGAGGAGTGGCGCCCGAGTCACACCACAGAGGAGTGGCGCCCGAGTCACACCACAGAGGAGTGGCGCCCGAGTCACACCACAGAGGAGTGGCGCCCGAGTCACACCACAGAGGAGTGGCGCCCGAGTCACACCACAGAGGAGTGGCGCCCGAGTCACACCACAGAGGAGTGGCGCCCGAGTCACACCACAGAGGAGTGGCGCCCGAGCTCACACCACAGAGGAGTGGCGCCCGAGTCACACCACAGAGGATGGCGCCGAGTCACACCACAGATGTGGCGCCCGAGTCACACCACAGAGGAGTGGCGCCCGAGTCACACCACAGAGGGAGTGGCGCCCGAGTCACACCACAGAGGAGTGGCGCCCGAGACTCACACCCACAGAGGAGTGGCGCCCGAGTCACACCACAGAGGAGTGGCGCCCGAGTCACACCACAGAGGAGTGGCGCACGAGTCACACCACAGGAGTGGCGCCCGAGTCACACCACAGAGGAGTGGCGCCCGAGTCACACCACAGAGGAGTGGCGCCCGAGTCACACCACAGAGGAGTGGCGCCCGAGTCACACCACAGAGGAGTGGCGCCCGAGTCACACCACAGAGGAGTGGCCGCCCGACGTCACACCACAGAGGAGTGGCGCCCGAGTCACACCACAGAGGAGTGGCGCCCAAGTCACACCACAGAGGAGTGGCGCCCGAGTCACACCACAGAGGAGTGGCGCCCGAGTCACACCACAGAGGAGTGGCGCCGAGTCACACCACAGAGGAGTGGCGCCCGAGTCACACCACAGAGGAGTGGCGCCCGACGTCACACCACAGAGGAGTGGCGCCCGAGCTCACACCACAGAGGAGTGGCGCCCGAGTCACACCACAGAGGAGTGGCGCCCGAAGTCACACCACAGAGGAGTGGTCGCCCGAGTCACACCACAGAGGAGTGGCGCCCGAGTCACACCACAGAGGAGTGGCGCCCGAGTCACACCACAGAGGAGTGGCGCCCGAGTCACACCACAGAGGAGTGGCGCCCGAGTCACACCACAGAGGAGTGGCGCCCGAGTCACACCACAGAGGAGTGGCGCCCGAGTCACACCACAGAGGAGTGGCGCCCGAGTCACACCACAGAGGAGTGGCGCCCGAGTCACACCACAGAGTGGCGCCCGAGTCACACCACAGAGGAGTGGCGCCCGAGTCACACCACAGAGGAGTGGCGCCCGAGTCACACCACAGAGGAGTGGCGCCCGAGTCACACCACAGAGGAGTGGCGCCCGAGTCACACCACAGAGGAGTGGCGCCCGAGTCACACCACAGAGGAGTGGCGCCCGAGTCACACCACAGAGGAGTGGCGCCCGAGTCACACCACAGAGGAGTGGCGCCCGAGTCACACCACAGAGGAGTGGCGCCCGAGTCACACCACAGAGGAGTGGCGCCCGAGTCACACCACAGAGGAGTGGCGCCCGAGTCACACCACAGAGGAGTGGCGCCCGAGTCACACCACAGAGGAGTGGCGCCCGAGTCACACCACAGAGGAGTGGCGCCCGAGTCACACCACAGAGGAGTGGCGCCCGAGTCACACCACAGAGGAGTGGCCGCCCGACGTCACACCACAGAGGAAGTGGCGCCCGAGTCACACCACAGAGGAGTGGCGCCCGAGTCACACCACAGAGGAGTGGCGCCCGAGTCACACCACAGAGGAGTGGCGCCCGAGTCACACCACAGAGGAGTGGCGCCGAGTCACACCACAGAGTGGGCCCGAGTCACCCACAGAGGAGTGGCGCCCGAGTCACACCACAGAGGAGTGGCGCCCGAGTCACACCACAGAGGAGTGGCGCCCGAGTCACACCACAGAGGAGTGGCGCCCGAGTCACACCACAGAGGAGTGGCGCCCGAGTCACACCACAGAGGAGTGGCGCCCGACGTCACACCCACAGAGGAGTGGCGCCCGACTCACACCACAGAGGAGTGGCGCCCGAGTCACACCACAGAGGAGTGGCGCCCGAGTCACACCACAGAGGAGTGACGCCCGACGTCACACCACAGAGGAGTGGCGCCCGAGTCACACTCACAGAGGGAGTGGCGCCCGAGTCACACCACAGAGTGGCGCCCGAGTCACACCACAGAGAGTGGCGCCCGAGTCACACCACAGAGGAGTGGCGCCCGAGTCCACACCACAGAGGAGTGGCGCCCGAAGTCACACCACAGAGGCGTGGCGCCCGAGTCACACCACAGAGAGTGGCGCCCAAGTCACCACCACAGAGGAGTGCGCCCGAGTCCCCACAGAGGAGTGCGCTCCGAGTCACACCACAGAGGAGTGGCGCCCGAGTCACACCACAGAGAGGGCGCCCGACTCACACCACGAGGAGTGGCGCCCGAGTCACACCACAGAGAGTGGGCGCCCCAGTCACCCACAGAGGAGTGGACGCTCCGAGTCACACCACAGAGGAGTGGCGCCCGAGTCACACCACAGAGGAGTGGCGCCCGAGTCACACCACAGAGGGTGGCGCCCGAGTCACACCACAGAGGAGTGGCGCCCGAGTCACACCACAGAGGAGTGGCGCCCTAGTCACACCACAGAGGAGTGGCGCCCGAGTCACACCACAGAGGAGTGGCGCCCCGAGTCACACCACAGAGGAGTGAGCGCCCGAGTCACACCACATAGGAGTGGCGCCCCGAGTCACACCACAGAGGAGTGGCGCCCGATCACACCACAGAGGAGTGGCGCCGAGTCACACCACAGGAGTGGCGCCCGAGTCACACCACAGAGAGTGGCGCCCGAGTCACACCACAGAGGAGTGGCGCCCGACGTCACACCACAGAGGAGTGGCGCCCGAGTCACACCACAGAGGAGTGGCGCCCGACTCACACCACAGAGGAGTGTGGGGTGGCGCCCGAGTCACACCACAGAGGCGTGGCGCCCGAGTCACACCACAGAGAGTGGCGCCCGAGTCACACCACAGAGGAGTGGCGCCCGAGTCACACCACAGAGGAGTGGCGCCCGAGTCACACCACAGAGGAGTGGCGCCCGAGTCACACCACAGAGGAGTGGACGCCCGAGTCACACCACAGAGGCGTGGCGCCCCGAGTCACACCACAGAGGAGTGGCGCCGAGTCACACCACAGAGGAGTGGCGCCCGAGTCACACCACAGAGGAGTGAGCGCCCGACTCACACCCACAGAGGAGTGGCGCCCGAGTCACACCACAGAGGAGTGGCGCCCGACAGTCACACCACAGAGGAGTGGCGCCCGAGTCACACCACAGAGGAGTGGCGCCCGAGTCACACCACAGAGGAGTGGCGCCCGAGTCACACCACAGAGAGTGGCGCCCGAGTCACACCACAGAGAGTGGCGCCCGAGTCACACCACAGAGGAGTGGCGCCCGAGTCACACCACAGAGGAGTGGCGCCCGAGTCACACCACAGAGGAGTGGCGCCCCGAGTCACACCACAGAGGAGTGGCGCCCGAGTCACACCACAGAGGAGTGGCGCCCGAGTCACCACCACAGAGGAGTGGCGCCCGAGTCACACCACAGAGGAGTGGCGCCCGAGTCACACCACAGAGGAGTGGCGCCCGAGTCACACCACAGAGGAGTGGCGCCCGAGTCACACCACAGAGGAGTGGCGCCCGAAGTCACACCACAGAGGAGTGGCGCCCGAGTCACACCACAGAGGAGTGGCGCCCGAGTCACACCACAGAGGAGTGGCGCCCGAGTCACACCACAGAGGAGTGGCGCCCCGAGTCACACCACAGAGGAGTGGCGCCCGAGTCACACACAGAGGAGTGGCGCCCGACTCACACCACAGGAGTGGCGCCCGAGTCACACCACAGAGGAGGGCGCCCGAGTCACACCACAGAGGAGTGGCGCCGACGTCACACCACAGAGGAGGGCGCCCGAGTCACACCACAGAGGAGTGGCGCCCGAGTCACACCACAGAGGAGTGGCGCCCGAGTCACACCACAGAGGAGTGGCGCCCGAGTCACACCACAGAGGAGTGGCGCCCGAGTCACACCACAGAGGAGTGGCGCCCCGAGTCACACCACAGAGGAGTGGCGCCCGAGTCACACCACAGAGGAGTGGCGCCCGAGTCACACCACAGAGGAGTGGCGCCCGACGTCACACCACAGAGGAGTGGCGCCCGACTCACACCACAGAGGAGTGGCGCCCGAGCTCACACCACAGAGGAGTGACGCCCGACTCACACCACAGAGGAGTGGCGCCCGAGTCACACCACAGAGGAGTGGCTGCCCGAGTCACACCACAGAGGAGTGGCGCCCGAGTCACACCACAGAGGAGTGGCGCCCGACTCACACCACAGAGAAGTGGCCGCCTCGACTCCACAACCACAGAGGAGTGAGCGCCGAGTCACACCACAGAGGAGTGGCGCCCGAGTCACACCACAGAGGAGTGGCGCCCGAGTCACACCACAGAGGAGTGGCGCCCGACTCACACCACAGAGGATGTGGCGCCCGAGTCACACCACAGAGGAGTGGCGCCCGAGTCACACCGCAGAGGAGTGGCGCCCGAGTCACACCCGCAGAGTGGGCCCGAGTCACACCACAGAGGAGTGGCGCCCGAGTCACACCACAGAGGAGTGGCCGCCCGAGTCCACACCCACAGAGGAGTGGCGCCCGAGTCACACCACAGAGGAGTGGCGCCCGAGTCACACCACAGAGGAGTGGCCGCCCGAGTCACACCCACAGAGGAGTGGCGCCCGAGTCACACCACAGAGGAGTGGCGCCCGAAGTCACACCACAGAGGAGTGGCGCCCGAGTCACACCACAGAGGAGTGGCGCCCGAGTCACACCACAAGGAGTGGACGCCCGACGTCACACCACAGAGGAGGACGACAGACCTCCCAAGGGAGTGCGCCCGACTCACACCACAGAGGAGTGGCGCCCGAGTCACACACAGAGGAGTGGCGCCCGAGTCACACCACAGAGGAGTGGCGCCCGAGTCACACCACAGAGGAGTGGCGCCCGAGTCACACCACAGAGGAGTGGCGCCCGAGTCACACCACAGAGGAGTGGCGCCCGACTCACACCACAGAGGAGTGGCGCCCGACTACACCACAGAGGAGTGGCGCCCGACCGGACTCACACCACAGAGGAGTGGCGCCCGAGTCACACCACAGAGGGAGTGGCTGCCCGAGTCACACCACAGAGGAGTGGCGCCCGACTCACACCACAGAGGAGTGGCGCCCGACTCACACCACAGAGGAGTGGCGCCCGACTCACACCACAGAGGAGTGGCGCTCGAGTCACACCACAGAGGAGTGACGCCCGACTCACACCACAGAGGAGTGGCGCCCGAGTCACACCACAGAGGAGTGGCGCCCCGAGTCCACAACCACAGAGGAGTGGCGCCCGAGTCACACCACAGAGGAGTGCGCGCCCGAGTCACACCACAGAGGAGTGGCGCCCGAGTCACACCACAGAGGAGTGGCGCCCGACTCACACCACAGAGGAGTGGCGCCCGAGTCACACCACAGAGGAGTGGCGCCCGAGTCACACCACAGAGGAGTGGCGCCCGAGTCACACCACAGAGGAGTGGCGCCCGAGTCACACCACAGAGGAGTGGCGCCCGAGTCACACCACAGAGGAGTGGCGCCCGAGTCACACCACAGAGGAGTGGCGCCCGAGTCACACCACAGAGGAGTGGCGCCCGAGTCACACCACAGAGGAGTGGCGCCCGAGTCACACCACAGAGGAGTGGCGCCCGAGTCACACCACAGAGGAGTGGCGCCCGACTCACACCACAGAGGAGTGGCGCCCGAGTCACACCACAGAGGAGTGGCGCCCGACGCACACCACAGAGGAGTGGCGCCCGAGTCACACCACAGAGGAGTGGCGCCCGAGTCACACCACAGAGGAGTGGCGCCCGAGTCACACCACAGAGGAGTGGCGCCCGAGTCACACCACAGAGGAGTGGCGCCCCGAGTCACACCACAGAGGAGTGGCGCCCGAGTCACACCACAGAGGAGTGGCGCCCGAGTCACACCACAGAGGAGTGGCGCCCGAGTCACACCACAGAGGAGTGGCGCCCGAGTCACACCACAGAGGAGTGGCGCCCGAGTCACACCACAGAGGAGTGGCGCCCGAGTCACACCACAGAGGAGTGGCGCCCGAGTCACACCACAGGAGGAGTGGCGCCCGAGTCACACCACAGAGGAGTGGCGCCCGAGTCACACCACAGAGGAGTGGCGCCCGAGTCACACCACAGAGGAGTGGCGCCCGAGTCACACCACAGAGGAGTGGCGCCCGAGTCACACCACAGAGGAGTGGCGCCCGAGTCACACCACAGAGGAGTGGCGCCCGAGTCACACCACAGAGGAGTGGCGCCCGAGTCACACCACAGAGGAGTGGCGCCCGAGTCACACCACAGAGGAGTGGCGCCCGAGTCACACCACAGAGGAGTGGCGCCCGAGTCACAGCACAGAGGAGTGGCGCCCGAGTCACACCGCAGAGGAGTGGCGCCCGAGTCACACCACAGAGGAGTGGCGCCCGAGTCACACCACAGAGGAGTGGCGCCCGAGTCACACCACAGAGGAGTGGCGCCCGAGTCACACACAGAGGAGTGGCGCCCGAGTCACACCACAGAGGAGTGGCGCCGAGTCACACCACAGAGGAGTGGCGCCCGAGTCACACCACAGAGGAGTGGCGCCCGAGTCACACCACAGAGGAGTGGCGCCCGAGTCACACCACAGAGGAGTGGCGCCTGAGTCACACCCACAGAGGAGTGGCGCCCGAGTCACACCACAGAGGAGTGGCGCCCGAGTCACACCACAGAGGAGTGGCGCCCGAGTCCACACCACAGAGGAGTGGCGCCCGAGTCACACCACAGAGGAGTGGCGCCCGAGTCACACCACAGAGGAGTGGCGCCCGAGTCACACCACAGAGGAGTGGCGCCCGAGTCACACCACAGAGGAGTGGCGCCCGAGTCACACCACAGAGGAGTGGCGCCCGACTCACACCACAGAGGAGTGGCGCCCGAGTCACACCACAGAGGAGTGGCGCCCGAGTCACACCACAGAGGAGTAGCGCCCGAGTCCCGAGTCACACCACAGAGGAGTGGCGCCCGACTTCACACCACAGAGGAGTGGCGCCCGACTCCACACCACAGAGGAGTGGCGCCCGACTCAACACAAGAGGAGTGGCGCCCGACTCACACCACAGAGGAGTGGCGCCCGACTCACACCATCTAGAGGATGGCGCCCGAGTCACACCACAGAGGAGTGGCGCCCGAGTCACACCACAGAGGCAGTGGCGGCCCGAGTCACACCACAGAGGAGTGGCGCCCGACTCACACCACAGTAGGAGTGGCGCCCGAGTCACACCACAGAGGAGTGGCGCCCGACTCACACCACAGAGGAGTGGCGTCCCTGAAGTCACACCCGCCGAGTCACACCACAGAGAGTGGCGCCCAAGTCACACCACAGAGGAGTGCGCCACGAGCTCACACCACAGAGGAGTGGCGCCGAGTCACACCACAGAGGAGTGGAGCCCGACGTCACACCACAGAGGAGTGGCGCCCGAAGGCTCACCACCACAGAGGAGTGGGCCCGACTCACACCACAGAGGAGTGGCGCCCGAGTCACACCACAGAGGAGTGGCGCCCGAGTTCACACCCACAGAGGAGTGGCGCCCGAGTCACACCACAGAGGAGTGGCGCCCGAGTCACACCACAGAGGAGTGGCGCCCGACTCACACCGCAGAGGAGTGGCGCCGAGTCACACCACAGAGGAGTGGCCGCCCCGAGCTCACACCACAGAGGAGTGGCGCCCGAGTCACACCACAGAGGAGTGGCGCCCGACTCACACCACAGAGGAGTGGCGCCCGAGTCACACCACAGAGGAGTGGCGCCCGAGTCACACCACAGAGAGTGCGCCCGAGTCACACCACAGAGGAGTGGCGCCCGAGTCACACCACAGAGGAGTGGCGCCCGAGTCACACCACAGAGGAGTGGCGCCCGAGTCACACCACAGAGGAGTGGCGCCCGAGTCACACCACAGAGGAGTGGCGCCCGAGTCACACCACAGAGGAGTGGCGCCCGAGTCACACCACAGAGGAGTGGCGCCCGAGTCACACCACAGAGGAGTGGCGCCCGAGTCACACCACAGAGGAGTGGCGCCCGAGTCACACCACAGAGGAGTGGCGCCCGAGTCACACCACAGAGGAGTGGCGCCCGAGTCACACCACAGAGGAGTGGCGCCCGAGTCACACCACAGAGGAGTGGCGCCCGAGTCACACCACAGAGGAGTGGCGCCCGAGTCACACCACAGAGGAGTGGCGCCCGAGTCACACCACAGAGGAGTGGCGCCCGAGTCACACCACAGAGGAGTGGCGCCCGAGCTCACACCACAGAGGAGTGGCGCCCGAGTCACAACACAGAGGAGTGGGCCCGAGTCACACCACAGAGGAGTGGCGCCCGAGTCACACCAGCAGGGAGTGAGCGCCCGAGTCCAGCCATGAGGAGTGCACACCGCAGAGGCAGGGCGCCCGAAGTCAGAGGAGTGGGCGCGCGAGTCACCCACAGGGAGTGGCGCCCGAGTCACACCACAGAGGAGTGGCGCCCAGAGTTCTACACCACAGAGGGAGTGACGATGGCCCGAGCTACACACACAGAGGGGAGTGGCCGGCCCGAGTCACACCCAGAGGAGTGGCGCCCGAGTCACACCCTCTCAGAGGAGTGGCGCCCGAGTCACAACCACAGGAGGAGTGGCGCCCGAGTCACACCACAGAGGAGTGGCGCCACCGAGTCACACCACAGAGGAGTGGCGCCCGAGTCACACCACAGAGGAGTGGCGCCCGAGTCACACCACAGAGGAGTGGCGCCCGAGTCACACCACAGAGGAGTGGCGCCCGAGTCACACACACAGAGGAGTGGCGCCCGAGTCACACCACAGAGGAGTGGCGCCCGAGTCAGCACCACAGAGGAGTGGCGCCCGAGTCACAACCACAGAGGAGTGGCGCCCGAGTCCACCCACAGAGGAGTGGGCGCCCGAGTCAGAGGAGTGGCGCCCGAGTCACACCACAGAGGAGTGGCGCCCGAGTCACACCACAGAGGAGTGGCGCCCGAGTCACACCACAGAGGAGTGGCGCCCGAGTCACACCACAGAGGAGTGGCGCCCGAGTCACACCACAGAGGAGTGGCGCCCGAGTCACACCACAGAGGAGTGGCGCCCGAGTCACACCACAGAGGAGTGGCGCCCGAGTCACACCACAGAGGAGTGGCGCCCGAGTCACACCACAGAGGAGTGGCGCCCGAGTCACACCACAGAGGAGTGGCGCCCGAGTCACACCACAGAGGAGTGGCGCCCGAGTCACACCACAGAGGAGTGGCGCCCGAGTCACACCACAGAGGAGTGGCGCCCGAGTCACACCACAGAGGAGTGGCGCCCGAGTCACACCACAGAGGAGTGGCGCCCGAGTCACACCACAGAGGAGTGGCGCCCGAGTCACACCACAGAGGAGTGGCGCCCGAGTCACACCACAGAGGAGTGGCGCCCGAGTCACACCACAGAGGAGTGGCGCCCGAGTCACACCACAGAGGAGTGGCGCCCGAGTCACACCACAGAGGAGTGGCGCCCGAGTCACACCACAGAGGAGTGGCGCCCGAGTCACACCACAGAGGAGTGGCGCCCGAGTCACACCACAGAGGAGTGGCGCCCGAGTCACACCACAGAGGAGTGGCGCCCGAGTCACACCACAGAGGAGTGGCGCCCGAGTCACACCACAGAGGAGTGGCGCCCGAGTCACACCACAGAGGAGTGGCGCCCGAGTCACACCACAGAGGAGTGGCGCCCGAGTCACACCACAGAGGAGTGGCGCCCGAGTCACACCACAGAGGAGTGGCGCCCGAGTCACACCACAGAGGAGTGGCGCCCGAGTCACACCACAGAGGAGTGGCGCCCGAGTCACACCACAGAGGAGTGGCGCCCGAGTCACACCACAGAGGAGTGGCGCCCGAGTCACACCACAGAGGAGTGGCGCCCGAGTCACACCACAGAGGAGTGGCCCGTCCACAGAGGAGTGGCGCCCGAGTCACACCACAGAGGAGTGGCGCCCGAGTCACACCACAGAGGAGTGGCGCCCGAGTCACACCACAGAGGAGTGGCGCCCGAGTCACACCACAGAGGAGTGGCGCCCGAGTCACACCACAGAGGAGTGGCGCCCGAGTCACACCACAGAGGAGTGGCGCCGAGTCACACCAGCAGAGGAGTGGCGCCCGAGTCACACCACAGAGGAGTGGCGCCCGAGTCACACCACAGAGGAGTGGCGCCCGAGTCACACCACAGAGGAGTGGCGCCCGAGTCACACCACAGAGGAGTGGCGCCCGAGTCACACCACAGAGGAGTGGCGCCCGAGTCACACCACAGAGGAGTGGCGCCCGAGTCACACCACAGAGGAGTGGCGCCCGAGTCACACCACAGAGGAGTGGCGCCCGAGTCACACCACAGAGGAGTGGCGCCCGAGTCACACCACAGAGGAGTGGCGCCCGAGTCACACCACAGAGGAGTGGCGCCCGAGTCACACCGCAGAGGAGTGGCGCCCGAGTCACACCACAGAGGAGTGGCGCCCGAGTCACACCACAGAGGAGTGGCGCCCGACTCACACCACAGAGGAGTGGCGCCGAGTCACACCACAGAGGAGTGGCGCCCGAGTCACACCAGCAGAGGAGTGGCGCCCGACTCACACCACAGAGGAGTGGCGCCCGAGTCACACCACAGAGGAGTGGCGCCCGAGTCACACCACAGAGGAGTGGCGCCCGAGTCACACCACAGAGGAGTGGCGCCCGAGTCACACACAGAGGAGTGGCGCCCGAGTCACACCACAGAGGAGTGGCGCCCGAGTCACACCGCAGAGGAGTGGCGCCCGAGTCACACCGCAGAGGAGTGGCGCCCGAGTCACACCGCAGAGGAGTGGCGCCCGAGTCACACCACAGAGGAGTGGCGCCCGAGTCACACCACAGAGGAGTGGCGCCCGAGTCACACCGAGGAGTGGCGCCCGAGTCACACCACAGAGGAGTGGCGCCCGAGTCACACCACAGAGGAGTGGCGCCCGAGTCACACCGAGGAGTGGCGCCCGAGTCACACCGCAGAGTGGCGCCCGAGTCACACCGCAGAGGAGTGGTGCCCGAGTCACACCGCAGAGGAGTGGCGCCCGAGTCACACCGCAGAGGAGTGGCGCCCGAGTCACACCACAGAGGAGTGGCGCCCGACTCACACCACAGAGGAGTGGCGCCCGAGTCACACCACAGAGGAGTGGCGCCCGAGTCACACCACAGAGGAGTGGCGCCCGAGTCACACCACAGAGGAGTGGCGCCCGAGTCACACCACAGAGGAGTGGCGCCCGAGTCACACCACAGAAGGAGTGGCGCCCGAGTCACACCACAGAGGAGTGGCGCCCGAGTCACACCACAGAGGAGTGGCGCCCGAGTCACACCACAGAGGAGTGGCGCCCGAGTCACACAACAGAGGAGTGGCGCCCGAGTCACACCACAGAGGAGTGGCGCCCGAGTCACACCACAGAGGAGTGGCGCCCGAGTCACACCACAGAGGAGTGGCGCCCGAGTCACACCGACAGAGGAGTGGCGCCGAAGTCACACCACAGAGGAGTGGCGCCCGAGTCACAAGACCGGGGGGGACCAGCAGGGAGTGGCGCCCAGAGTCACACCACAGAGGAGTGGCGCCCGAGTCACACCACAGAGGAGTGGCGCCCGAGTCACACCACAGAGGAGTGGCGCCCGAGTCACACCACAGAGGAGTGGCGCCCGAGTCACACCACAGAGGAGTGGCGCCCGAGTCACACCACAGAGGAGTGGCGCCCGACTCACACCACAGTCACACCACAGAGGAGTGGCGCCCGACGTCACACCACAGAGGAGTGGCGCCCGAGTCACACCACAGAGGAGTGGCGCCCGAGTCACACCACAGAGGAGTGGCGCCCGAGTCACACCACAGAGGAGTGGCGCCCGAGTCACACCACAGAGGAGTGGCGCCCGAGTCACACCACAGAGGAGTGGCGCCCGAGTCACACCACAGAGGAGTGGCGCCCGAGTCACACCACAGAGGAGTGGCGCCCGAGTCACACCACAGAGGAGTGGCGCCCGAGTCACACCACAGAGGAGTGGCGCCCGAGCTCACACCACAGAGGAGTGGCGCCCGAGCTCACACCACAGAGGAGTGGCGCCCGAGTCACACCACAGAGGAGTGGCGCCCGAGTCACACCACAGAGGAGTGGCGCCCGAGTCACACCACAGAGGAGTGGCGCCCGAGTCACACCACAGAGGAGTGGCGCCCGAGTCACACCACAGAGGAGTGGCGCCCGAGTCACACCACAGAGGAGTGGCGCCCGAGCTCACACCACAGAGGAGTGGCGCCCGAGTCACACCACAGAGGAGTGGCGCCCGAGTCACACCACAGAGGAGTGGCGCCCGAGTCACACCACAGAGGAGTGGCGCCCGAGTCACACCACAGAGGAGTGGCGCCCGAGTCACACCACAGAGGTAGTGGCGCCCGAGTCACACCACAGAGGAGTGGCGCCCGAGTCACACCACAGAGGAGTGGCGCCCCGAGTCACACCACAGAGGAGTGGCGCCCGAGTCACACCACAGAGGAGTGGCGCCCGAGTCACACCACAGAGGAGTGGCGCCCGAGTCACACCACAGAGGAGTGGCGCCCGAGTCACACCACAGAGGAGTGGCGCCCGAGTCACACCACAGAGAGTGGCGCCGACTCACACACAGAAGAGTGGCGCCCGAGTCACACCACAGAGGAGTGGCGCCCGAGTCACACCACAGAGGAGTGGCGCCCGAGTCACACCACAGAGGAGTGGCGCCCGAGTCACACCACAGAGGAGTGGCGCCCGACTCACACCACAGAGGAGTGGCGCCCGAGTCACACCACAGAGGAGTGGCGCCCGAGTCACACCACAGAGGAGTGGCGCCCGAGTCACACCACAGAGGAGTGGCGCCCGAGTCACACCACAGAGGAGTGGCGCCCGACTCACACCACAGAGGAGTGGCGCCCGAGTCACACCACAGAGGAGTGGCGCCCGAGTCACACCACAGAGGAGTGGCGCCCGAGTCACACCACAGAGGAGTGGCGCCCGAGTCACACCACAGAGGAGTGGCGCCCGACTCACACCACAGAGGAGTGGCGCCCGAGTCACACCACAGAGGAGTGGCGCCCGAGTCACACCACAGAGGAGTGGCGCCCGAGTCACACCACAGAGGAGTGGCGCCCGAGTCACACCACAGAGGAGTGGCGCCCGACTCACACCACAGAGGAGTGGCGCCCGAGTCACACCACAGAGGAGTGGCGCCCGAGTCACACCACAGAGGAGTGGCGCCCGAGTCACACCACAGAGGAGTGGCGCCCGAGTCACACCACAGAGGAGTGGCGCCCGAGTCACACCACAGAAGGAGTGGCGCCCGAGTCACACCACAGAGGAGTGGCGCCCGAGTCACACCACAGAGGAGTGGCGCCCGACGTCACACCACAGAGGAGTGGCGCCCGAGTCACACCACAGAGGAGTGGCGCCCGACTCACACCACAGAGGAGTGGCGCCCGAGTCACACCACAGAGGAGTGGCGCCCGACTCACACCACAGAGGAGTGGCGCCCGAGTCACACCACAAGAGGAGTGGCGCCAGAGTCACACCACAGAGGAGTGGCGCCCGAGTCACACCACAGAGGAGTGGCCGCCCGAGTCACACCACAGAGGAGTGGCGCCCGAGTCACACCACAGAGGAGTGGCGCCCGACTCACACCACAGAGGAGTGGCGCCCGAGTCACACCACAGAGGAGTGGCGCCCGACTCACACCACAGAGGAGTGGCGCCCGAGTCACACCACAGAAGGAGTGGCGCCCGACTCACACCACAGAGGAGTGGCGGCCACACCACAGAGGAGTGGCGCCCGAAGTCACACCACAGAGGAGTGGCGCCCGAGTCACACCACAGAGGAGTGGCGCCCGACTCACACCACAGAGGAGTGGCGCCCGAGTCAACACCACAGAGGAGTGGCGCCCGACGTCACACCACAGAGGAGTGGCGCCCGAAGTCACACCACAGAGGAGTGGCGCCCGAGTCACACCACAGAGGAGTGGCGCCCGAGTCACACCACAGAGGAGTGGCGCCCGACTCACACCACAGAGGAGTGGCGCCCGAGTCACACCACAGAGGAGTGGCGCCCGACTCACACACAGAGGAGTGGGCGCCCGAAGGTCACACCACAGAGGAGTGGCGCCCGACTCACACCACAGAGGAGTGGCGCCCGAGTCACACCACAGAGGAGTGGCGCCCAAGTCACACCACAGAGGAGTGACGCCCGACTCACACCACAGAGGAGTGGCGCCCGAGTCACACCACAGAGGAGTGGCGCCCGAGTCACACCACAGAGGAGTGGCGCCCGAGTCACACCACAGAGGAGTGGCGCCCGAGTCACACCACAGAGGAGTGGCGCCCGAGTCACACCACAGAGGAGTGGCGCCAGACTCACACCACAGAGGAGTGGCGCCCGAGTCACACCACAGAGGAGTGGCGCCCGAGTCACACCACAGAGGAGTGGCGCCCGACTCACACCACAGAGGAGTGGCGTCACACAACAGAGGAGTGGCGCCCGAGTTACACCACAGAGGAGTGGCGCCCGAGTCACACCACAGAGGAGTGGCGCCCGAGTCACACCACAGAGGAGTGGCGCCCGACTCACACCACAGAGGAGTGGCGCCCGAGTCACACCACAGAGGAGTGGCGCCCGAGTCACACCACAGAGGAGTGGCGCCCGAGTCACACCACAGAGGAGTGGCGCCCGACTCACACCACAGAAGAGTGGCGCCCGAGTCACACCACAGAGGAGTGGCGCCCGACTCACACCACAGAGGAGTGACGCCCGAGTCACACCACAGAGGAGTGGCGCTCGAGTCACACCACAGAGGAGTGGCGCCCGACTCACACCACAGAGGAGTGGCGCCCGAGTCACACCACAGAAGAGTGGCGCCCGAGTCACACCACAGAGGAGTGGCGCCCGAGTCACACCACAGAAGAGTGGCGCCCGACTCACACCACAGAGGAGTGGCGCCCGAGTCACACCACAGAGGAGTGGCGCCCGAGTCACACCACAGAGGAGTGACGCCCGACTCACACCACAGAGGAGTGGCGCACGACTCACACCACAGAGGAGTGGCGCCCGAGTCACACCACAGAGGAGTGGCGCCCGAGTCACACCACAGAGGAGTGGCGCCCGAGTCACGCCACACAGGAGTAGCGCCCAAGTCACACCACAGAGGAGTGGCGCCCGAGTCACAACACAGAGGAGTGGCGCCCGAGTCACAACACAGAGGAGTGGCGCCCGACTCACACCACAGAGGAGTGGCGCCCGAGTCACACCACAGAGGAGTGGCGCCCAAGTCACACCACAGAGGAGTAGCGCCCAAGTCACACCACAGAGGAGTGGCGCCCGAGTCACACCACAGAGGAGTGGCGCCCGAGTTACAACACAGAGGAGTGGCGCCAGACTCAAACCACAGAGGAGTGGCGCCCGAGTCACAACACAGAGGAGTGGCGCCCGAGTCACACCACAAAGGAGTGGCGCCCGAGTCACACCACAGAGGAGTGGCGCCCGAGTCACACCACAGAGGAGTGGCGCCCGAGTCACACCACAGAGGAGTGGCGCCCGAGTCACACCACAGAGGAGTGGCGCCCGACTCACACCACAGAGGAGTGGCGCCCGAGTCACACCACAGAGGAGTGGCGCCCGACTCACACCACAGAGGAGTGGCGCCCGAGTCAAACCACAGAAGAGTGGCGCCCGACTCACACCACAGAGGAGTGGCGCCACACCACAGAGGAGTGGCGCCCGAGTCACACCACAGAGGAGTGGCGCCCGAGTCACACCACAGAGGAGTGGCGCCCGACTCACACCACAGAGGAGTGGCGCCCGAGTCACACCACAGAGGAGTGGCGCCCGAGTCACACCACAGAGGAGTGGCGCCCGACTCACACCACAGAGGAGTGGCGCCCGAGTCACACCACAGAGGAGTGGCGCCCGAGTCACACCACAGAGGAGTGGCGCCCGACTCACACCACAGAGGAGTGGCGCCCGAGTCACACCACAGAGGAGTGGCGCCCGACTCACACCACAGAGGAGTGGCTCCCGAGTCACACCACAGAGGAGTGGCGCCCAAGTCACACCACAGAGGAGTGACGCCCGACTCACACCACAGAGGAGTGGCGCCCGAGTCACACCACAGAGGAGTGGCGCCCGAGTCACACCACAGAGGAGTGGCGCCCGAGTCACACCACAGAGGAGTGGCGCCCGAGTCACACCACAGAGGAGTGGCGCCCGAGTCACACCACAGAGGAGTGGCGCCAGACTCACACCACAGAGGAGTGGCGCCCGAGTCACACCACAGAGGAGTGGCGCCCGAGTCACACCACAGAGGAGTGGCGCCCGACTCACACCACAGAGGAGTGGCGCCCGAGTCACACCACAGAGGAGTGGCGCCCGAGTCACACCACAGAGGAGTGGCGCCCGAGTCACACCACAGAGGAGTGGCGCCCGAGTCACACCACAGAGGAGTGGCGCCCGAGTCACACCACAGAAGAGTGGCGCCCGACTCACACCACAGAGGAGTGGCGCCCGAGTCACACCACAGAGGAGTGGCGCCCGAGTCACACCACAGAGGAGTGGCGCCCGAGTCACACCACAGAGGAGTGGCGCCCGAGTCACACCACAGAGGAGTGGCGCCCGACTCACACCACAGAGGAGTGGCGTCACACAACAGAGGAGTGGCGCCCGAGTTACACCACAGAGGAGTGGCACCCGAGTCACACCACAGAGGAGTGGCGCCCGAGTCACACCACAGAGGAGTGGCGCCCGACTCACACCACAGAGGAGTGGCGCCCGAGTCACACCACAGAGGAGTGGCGCCCGAGTCACACCACAGAGGAGTGGCGCCCGAGTCACACCACAGAGGAGTGGCGCCCGAGTCACACCACAGAGGAGTGGCGCCCGACTCACACCACAGAAGAGTGGCGCCCGAGTCACACCACAGAGGAGTGGCGCCCGACTCACACCACAGAGGAGTGACGCCCGAGTCACACCACAGAGGAGTGGCGCCCGAGTCACACCACAGAGGAGTGGCGCCCGACTCACACCACAGAGGAGTGGCGCCCGAGTCACACCACAGAAGAGTGGCGCCCGAGTCACACCACAGAGGAGTGGCGCCCGAGTCACACCACAGAAGAGTGGCGCCCGACTCACACCACAGAGGAGTGGCGCCCGAGTCACACCACAGAGGAGTGGCGCCCGAGTCACACCACAGAGGAGTGACGCCCGACTCACACCACAGAGGAGTGGCGCACGACTCACACCACAGAGGAGTGGCGCCCGAGTCACACCACAGAGGAGTGGCGCCCGAGTCACACCACAGAGGAGTGGCGCCCGAGTCACGCCACACAGGAGTAGCGCCCAAGTCACACCACAGAGGAGTGGCGCCCGAGTCACAACACAGAGGAGTGGCGCCCGAGTCACAACACAGAGGAGTGGCGCCCGACTCACACCACAGAGGAGTGGCGCCCGAGTCACACCACAGAGGAGTGGCGCCCAAGTCACACCACAGAGGAGTAGCGCCCAAGTCACACCACAGAGGAGTGGCGCCCGAGTCACACCACAGAGGAGTGGCGCCCGAGTTACAACACAGAGGAGTGGCGCCAGACTCACACCACAGAGGAGTGGCGCCCGAGTCACAAGACAGAGGAGTGGCGCCCGAGTCACACCACAAAGGAGTGGCGCCCGAGTCACACCACAGAGGAGTGGCGCCCGAGTCACACCACAGAGGAGTGGCGCCCGAGTCACACCACAGAGGAGTGGCGCCCGAGTCACACCACAGAGGAGTGGCGCCCGACTCACACCACAGAGGAGTGGCGCCCGAGTCACACCACAGAGGAGTGGCGCCCGACTCACACCACAGAGGAGTGGCGCCCGAGTCAAACCACAGAAGAGTGGCGCCCGACTCACACCACAGAGGAGTGGCGCCACACCACAGAGGAGTGGCGCCCGAGTCACACCACAGAGGAGTGGCGCCCGAGTCACACCACAGAGGAGTGGCGCCCGACTCACACCACAGAGGAGTGGCGCCCGAGTCACACCACAGAGGAGTGGCGCCCGAGTCACACCACAGAGGAGTGGCGCCCGACTCACACCACAGAGGAGTGGCGCCCGAGTCACACCACAGAGGAGTGGCGCCCGAGTCACACCACAGAGGAGTGGCGCCCGACTCACACCACAGAGGAGTGGCGCCCGAGTCACACCACAGAGGAGTGGCGCCCGACTCACACCACAGAGGAGTGGCGCCCGAGTCACACCACAGAGGAGTGGCGCCCGAGTCACACCACAGAGGAGTGACGCCCGACTCACACCACAGAGGAGTGGCGCCCGAGTCACACCACAGAGGAGTGGCGCCCGAGTCACACCACAGAGGAGTGGCGCCCGAGTCACACCACAGAGGAGTGGCGCCCGAGTCACACCACAGAGGAGTGGCGCCCGAGTCACACCACAGAGGAGTAGCGCCCGAGTCACACCACAGAGGAGTGGCGCCCGAGTCACACCACAGAGGAGTGGCGCCAGACTCACACCACAGAGGAGTGGCGCCCGAGTCACACCACAGAGGAGTGGCGCCCGAGTCACACCACAGAGGAGTGGCGCCCGAGTCACACCACAGAGGAGTAGCGCCCGAGTCACACCACAGAGGAGTGGCGCCCGAGTCACACCACAGAGGAGTGGCGCCCGAGTCACACCACAGAGGAGTGGCGCCCGAGTCACACCACAGAGGAGTGGCGCCCGACTCACACCACAGAGGAGTGGCGCCCGACTCACACCACAGAGGAGTGGCGCCCGACTCACACCACAGAAGAGTGGCGCCCGACTCACACCACAGAGGAGTGGCGCCCAAGTCACACCACAGAGGAGTGGCGCCCGAGTCACGCCACAGAGGAGTGGCGCCCGAGTCACACCACAGAGGAGTGGCGCCCAACTCACACCACAGAGGAGTGACGCCGGACTCACACCACAGAGGAGTGGCGCCCGAGTCACACCACAGAGGAGTGGCGCCCGACTCACACCACAGAGGAGTGGCGCCCGAGTCACACCACAGAGGAGTGGCGCCCGAGTCACACCACAGAGGAGTGGCGCCCGAGTCACACCACAGAGGAGTGGCGCCCGAGTCACACCACAGAGGAGTGGCGCCCGAGTCACACCACAGAAGAGTGGCGCCCGACTCACACCACAGAGGAGTGGCGCCCGAGTCACACCACAGAGGAGTGGCGCCCGAGTCACACCACAGAGGAGTGGCGCCCGAGTCACACCACAGAGGAGTGGCGCCCGAGTCACACCACAGAGGAGTGGCGCCCGACTCACACCACAGAGGAGTGGCGCCCGACTCACACCACAGAGGAGTGGCGCCCGAGTCACACCACAGAGGAGTGGCGCCCGAGTCACACCACAGAGGAGTGGCGCCCGAGTCACGCCACAGAGGAGTGGCGCCCGAGTCACACCACAGAGGAGTGGCGCCCGAGTTACACCACAGAGGAGTGGCGCCCGAGTCACACCACAGAGGAGTGGCGCCCGAGTCACACCACAGAGGAGTGGCGCCCGACTCACACCACAGAGGAGTGGCGCCCGAGTCACACCACAGAGGAGTGGCGCCCGAGTCACACCACAGAGGAGTGGCGCCCGAGTCACACCACAGAGGAGTGGCGCCCGAGTCACACCACAGAGGAGTGGCGCCCGACTCACACCACAGAAGAGTGGCGCCCGAGTCACACCACAGAGGAGTGGCGCCCGACTCACACCACAGAGGAGTGACGCCCGAGTCACACCACAGAGGAGTGGCGCCCGAGTCACACCACAGAGGAGTGGCGCCCGACTCACACCACAGAGGAGTGGCGCCCGAGTCACACCACAGAGGAGTGGCGCCCGAGTCACACCACAGAGGAGTGGCGCCCGAGTCACACCACAGAGGAGTGGCGCCCGAGTCACACCACAGAGGAGTGGCGCCCGACTCACACCACAGAAGAGTGGCGCCCGAGTCACACCACAGAGGAGTGGCGCCCGACTCACACCACAGAGGAGTGACGCCCGACTCACACCACAGAGGAGTGGCGCCCGAGTCACACCACAGAGCAGTGGCGCCCGAGTCACACCACAGAGGAGTGGCGCTCGAGTCACACCACAGAGGAGTGGCGCCCGAGTCACACCACAGAGGAGTAGCGCCCGAGTCACACCACAGAGCAGTGGCGCCCCATAGGCGTCTCTTAGAGGAGAGGAGTTATTTAGGGGAGAAGCACGACTTAGAGGAGAGGCGCCCCTTAGAGGAGGAAGCGCGGGGAGTGGAGGAAGCGAGGTGGGAGAGGAGGGCTGGATGGCCCTTGGGAGGAGGAAGCGTGGGGAGTGGAGGAAGCGAGGTGGGAGAGGAGGGCTGCATGGCCCTTGGGAGGAGGAAGCGTGGTGAGTGGAGGGAGCGAGGTGGGAGAGGAAGGCTGGATGGCCCTTGGGAGGAGGAAGCGTGGGGAGTGGAGGAGGCGAGGTGGGAGAGGAGGGCTGGATGGCCCTTGGGAGGAGAAAGCGAAGGGTGTGGAGGAAGCGAGGTGGGAGTGGCGGTCTGGGTCGGTCTGGGAGCACGTGCAGATCGCCACACGCTGTCGGCCAAGGGTGAAGGTGTCAACACTCGCATCCTGGAGGACAGCGTTGCTCACCAAGTTCGTAGAGAACGAGGGGAGGTGGAAACCAGACAGCTCACCAGACGGGACCGCCAGACACAGAAGCACAGTGGAAGACCGTGCAAGCACTAGGCCCCCAGAGGGGTCAGCCAGTGAGAGAGGAACAGGTGCAGGAAGGGGAGTGACTGTGGTACTGTCGTGAAAGAAACAGCAGGAAGCACCAGAGTCAATTGTAAAGGTGTGCAAGGCCTGTGCAGGCGCAGTACCAAGGGGAGAAGACTCACAAGCACCTAGTGCAGCAGGGGCTATACCAGGATCCGGCAGCACACACAAGTAGCACCCAATTTTTGGGGGGGGTAGACGTCTCTCAGCGACACAGCACCGCCGCTCGTAGTGCTCTCTCGTAAGCACGCACGGCCACGACCGAGGCTCTCGCTGAGCTCACCCGACACCCCCGCCATGGCCGAATTCACACTCGCCATATTGACGCAGGAGCAGCTCGACCGTCTGGTGCACCAACTTGAAGATTCGGCGCTCGAAATTGCGACGCTCACGGCGGAACGTGACTCCGCGCGTCAGCAATCAACGGTGAACACTCCAGCGCCACCGCACGCACCGACCAATGCATCTGCACAATCGGACGAGCCGATCGTCATCTCGTCCGGGACACCAACACAAAACAACTGCGTGGGACAGCACTCAGGCGCAGCCAGCGATGGCGCCGCCCAAGCGATGCCTGGCATGGGAGGAAACAGGGTCGCACCAAGCCCGTGGGAGCCTCGCGAAGCCCGTCGGCACGTGGAGTTCGCAGCGACAAGTGGCGAACAGGCCATTATGGCACCAATGCCACTCAAGCCGCAACGCCCGCCCTGCTTCGACCCAAGCCAGCGTGGAGGTCTGACGGTTCAATCGTGGGTCTTCACGATGAACGTCTTCTTCGACACGAATTACATCGAGTCGGACGCAGCGAAGATTCGGTATGCCGTTTCGCTGCTAACGGGCCCCGCCATGGACTGGTGGCAAGTCATCGTGACGTCGCCACGCGCCTACGAGCCACCGTTGCAAGAGGAAGGGCCCACAGGTCCAGCTGTCACCTGGAGTTCATTCTGCGAGACCGCCCAATACAGCACGAGGGATGCGTGGTGCGCAGGGCTTCGGGCGCGCTTCGAGCCGATCACGGCTTCTATTTCGGCGCGTCACAGATTGCGCACTTGGCAGCAGCTCGGATCGGTTCAAGACTATACGAGTGGTTTTCTTGCATTATGCGAGCAAGTCGGCTACATGAACGAAGCGGAGCGGGTGAACAGTTACGTCGGAGGGCTGAAGCCGGACATCTCGCACGAAATCATGCTACGCGGGCTCTCGAACTTCAACGAGATTCTCGCGCTCGCCGAGAAAATCGACATTTTACGCCATCCGAGACCGGGGTCCTACTATGGACATCGTCCTCGGGGACCGATCAAGCACGCCACTGTACACGCTGTTGCGACGAATGCAGCTGCCGTGCCGTTTAAGGGGCATTGCATTGCTTGCAACAGGCCGGGCCATCGCAAGTGCGAATGCCCAGAGGAGCTAAGGCGCCGCGGAGCAGAGCAGGGGAGGGAGTCTCCAAGGCAGGGAAACGCCAGCACTCAGTAGGAATCGGGCCAACTACTGACGAGACTGCCTGCTCGCCCAACCCCACCGACCCTCACCGAGTCACAGTACCGATTCATGCTATCGATCGGACTCGGACGAATAAGGAGGGTGATTGCCCAGTATTGATCCACGGGAAAATACAGGGAGCAGCAGTGAAGATTTTTATCGACGGAGGAGCAAGCCACAATTTAGTTAATACCGCAACCGCACAAAAACTGCAGCTGACACTTAGCCGTTGCTTACCGGAGATAGACGCACGCTTAGTCGACGGCACGCCACTGGCCATACGGGAAAAGGTAGAGAGAGTCAAAGTCCGCTGCGGGGGGAATTTCGGGTTTAGACAGGAAATGCTCGCAACGACACTGGATGGGCACGATATTTTACTGGGGCACGATTGGCTGCGACGGTATAACCCGCGAATTGACTGGACGACGGGTAGCTGCACCGTGCGAAGTAGTGGTAACTGGGTCGAACTACCTCGCTGGCAGTCGCCGGAGTCTTCAACGGTACACGTCAACGCCATCACAATGAAACGGGATGTCGCTGCTGGAGCCGATGTGTACGCAGTAGAAATCGCAGTAGTAGAGGAAGCAGAGCACCCGAGTGATTTCAAGAAACTGCTGGCAGCCGTATCGCCCGAATTACAGGAACTGTTGAAACGGTACCCCGGGATTTTCCCCGACGACTTACCGGAAGGACTGCCACCTTAGTGCGCACATGACCACCAAATCGAATTAGAACCGGGGGCACAGCCAACCATACAGCGCCAGTTCAGACTGACACAGCCCGAGCTCGACGAACTAAGGAGGCAGTTAGATTACCAGTTAGAGAAAAAATTCATCAGACCGAGCTCGTCACCGTTCGCCGCACCGATACTATTCACGCCAAAAAAAGACGGGGGTTTTCGCATGTGTATCGACTACAGAGCACTGAACAGGGTAACAGTCAAGTCGCGGTACCCAATTCCCCGCGCCGACGAACTGATCAACCAACTGCGAACACCACGGGTTTTTTCGAAAAGCGATTTTCAGGGAGGTTACCATCATATTAGAGTTGAACCATCAGACTGCGCCAAAACAGCCTTCAGGACTAGGTACGGGTCGTTCGAGTACACTGTGATGCCAATCGGGCTGACCAACGCACCGACGACTTTTCAGATGACCATGAACGAGGCATTTAGGCCGCTCTTAGATAAATGTGTCATAGTTTACCTCGACGACATCATAGTTTACAGTCGGGATAAGCAGCAACACTTAGCAGATCTGGAAGCAGTTTTTAAGGTTTTAGACGAGCACAGATTACTGACCAAGGGTTCCAGGTGCGAGTTCTTCCAGGATAGGTTAGAATTTTTAGGGCACGTCATTTCGGAGGCTGGAGTTGAAATCGACCCAAAGAAGCTGGGCATGAAGTACCTGCACCACAACTGCATCCCGGGCATCATTCACCGCGACATGAAGCCCGCTAACGTGCTCCTTTCACTACACGGTCACTTACAAAAAAGGGAGCCTCGAACATCGCCGACGCACTGACCCGTCCCACTGCCCAGATGTCAGAACATTATAGCTTATACTGTTGTGTAGGCTATAGTGGGGTATCTCATACGGGGTACAACCCAATTAGGGTTTCCTATATGTACTCACTTCATTCATAGTTCATTCATTCTCATTTCAGTTTTCTCATGGTATCGAGCAGGTTCCCTCGTGGGAACTGTTCCTAGGGCCCACCGTTTTTTTTTTTCCTGCCCGGAGCGCACTCTGCCCCTGCCCAAGTCGCGCTCCCCTCTCTCTCGGCCCCTAGTGGCCCCTTTAGCCGCCCGTCCCGGCCCTTCGACACCCGTGCGCCGCCCGTCCCGGCCCCACGCCGCCGTCCTGGCCCCACGCCGCATGTGCGCCGTCCGTCCCGGCCGCGCGCCGCTGCCCCGGCCCGTCGACGCCCGTGCGCCGCCCGTCCCGGCCCCACGCCGCCCGTGCGCCGCCCGTCCCGGCAGCGCGCCGCCGTCCCGGCCCTACGCCGCCCGTGCGCCGCCCGTCCCGGCCCCACGCCGCCTGTGCGCCGCCCGTCCCGGCCGCGCGCCGCTGCTCCGGCCCGTCGACGCCCGTGCGCCGCCCGTCCCGGCCCCACGCCGCCTGTGCGCCGCCTGTCCCGGCCGCGCGCCGCTGCTCCGGCCCGTCGACGCCCGTGCGCCGCCCGTCCCGGCCCCACGCCGCCTGTGCGCCGCCTGTCCCGGCCGCACGCCGCTGCCCCGGCCCGTCGACGCCCGTGCGCCGCCCGTCCCGGCCCCACGCCGCCCGTGCGCCGCCCGTCCCGGCCGCGCGCCGCCGTCCCGGCCCCACGCCGCCCGTGCGCCGCCCGTCCCGGCCCCGCGCCGCCATCCCGGCCCCACGCCGCCCGTGCGCCGCCCGTTCCGGCTGCGCGCCGCCGTCCCGGCCCCACGCCGCCCGTGCGCCGCCCGTCCCGGCCCCGCGCCGCCGTCCCGGCCCCACGCCGCCCGTGCGCCGCCCGTCCCGGCACCGCGCAGCTGCCCCGGCCCGTCGCCGCCCGTGCGGTACCCGCCCCGGCCCCACGCCGCCTGTCCCGGCTCTTCGCCGCCCGTGCGCCGCCTGTCCCGGCCCGCCACCTGCTGCATCGCCGAGCCGCCCACCCACCGAGCCGCCGAGCAGCCCAGCAGCCGAGCCGCAGCCGAGCCGCCGAGCAGCCCAGCAGCCGAGCCGCAGAGCAGCCGAGCCGCTGAGCAGCCCAGCAGCCGAGCCGCCGAGCGTCCGAGCCGCCCTTCTTCCGAGTCGCCCGACCTGCTCAGTCTGGTGAGCACAGCCCCTTTGTCACTGCACTGCCCCCCCCCCCCCCACCCTACTGTTTGCACTGCTGGTCGTCTAGGGTCATGGCTACTCCTAGTGTCCTCGCCTTTGACGCTGAGGGTAGGGCCATTGACTTTGAGGTCTGGGTAGATGACCTGCTGCTGTTCTTACAGTGCGATAGGGCGGGAGGCCTCTCTCTCTTTGACCTCACCTCTGGCGCTGCCCCTGCCTCTGCTGCTGATGCTGACGCCACTGTTCGCTCCCAGTGGGCCACGCGCGACGCTGCTGCACGTCTTGTTGTGCGTCGCCACCTCCCTACCTCTGAGCGTGCGCACTTTAGTCAGTACAAGAGTGCACAGCCCTTGTACGACGCTGTAATTGCGCGCTACTCCTCCCCTGCCACTGCTGCACTAAGCCGTCTCATGCTACCGTACCTCTTCCCTGACCTTGCTGCCTTTCGCACAGTCGCTGACCTCATTACGCACCTCCGCACTAGTGACGCTCGCTACCGCGCTGCACTACCTGCTGACTTCTGCGCCAAGAACCCCCCCCCCATGTACATCACCCTCTACTACATAGTCACTCGTCTCCCTGACTCCCTTCGCGTAGTCAGGGACCACTTCCTCTCAGTCTGTCCCACCACTCTCACTGTCGACCTCCTCAAAAAGTCCCTCCTAGCGGCCGAGAAGGGCATAGTCGCTGTAGAGGCCTCTCGTGGTGACCCGCGCACCCCCATCTTTGAGGGGTGTTCCCCCTCCCCCCTTCTCCTCCTACGTCCTCTGTTCCTACTCTTATCGACCCGGAGTCGGACTCTCTTCGTGCTGCCAGTCCTACTGTCACGCGTCTCCTTGCTACTGTCGTCATTGACCCCTCTTTTGAGTCCACTGCTGCGTCTGCTTTAGTCGCTGAGCTCGTCGACTTTGCTGCTCGCTGTCGCCTAGACTACGCTGCTAGTCTTGTCACTGAGTCTGAGTCTGTCTGTCCTCCGTCCGTCGGGGGTGAGTGTGCCCTTGGCACAGACGTCCTTGAGGACAGGCAGGAGGAGTTCCAGTGCTTGGCCGCTGTTTCACCTCATCTCGTGTCCGTACTGCTTACCCCTGAGGGAGACCCGGATGCACTTGACATCCCGACTCCGCGCTCTTACGCGGAGGCGATAGAGGGTCCCTACTCTTCTCAGTGGGAGGCAGCTATGGATGCAGAGATGGCGTCCTGGAAGTCCACACGCACCTACGTTGACGATGTCCCCCCTCCTGGGGCAAACATCGTCAGTGGCATGTGGATTTTCAGGGTGAAGCGGCCGCCGGGTTCTCCGCCTGTCTTCAAGGCACGGTACGTGGCTCGTGGCTTCAGTCTGCGGCAGGGAGTTGACTACTTTCAGACCTTCTCTCCCACCCCGAAGATGACCACTCTTCGGGTGCTACTACACGTTGCTGCTCACCGTGACTACGAGCTGCACTCCCTCGACTTCAGCACAGCTTTCTTGCAGGGCAGCCTGCACGAGGAGATCTGGCTGCGTCGCCCACCTGGCTTCACTGGGTCGTTCCCTCCTGGTACCCAGTGGAGCCTCCAGCGTCCAGTTTACGGTCTCCGCCAGGCGCCCCGTGAGTGGCACGACACACTGAGGACTACTCTTGCGGCTCTTGGGTTTGCTCCTTCTACGGCCGACCCGTCGCTGTTTCTGCGCACCGACACCTCTCTGCCACCTTTCTACATCCACGTGTACGTCGACGACTTGGTCTTTGCCACCGCTGACACTGCTGGACTCGCCTACGTGAAGTCCGAGCTGCAGAAGAGACACACGTGCACTGACCTGGGTGAACTGCGCAGCTACCTTGGCTTGCAGATCACCCGGGACAGAGCACGCCGCACCATTATCCTGACTCAGTCACACATGGTGCAGCAGGTCCTTCAGCGCTTCGGCTTCACGTACTCCTCGCCTCAGGCCACTCCTCTGCCTACTCGCCACTCACTCTCAGCTCTGCCTTCGGATGAGTCCGTAGAGTCGACTGGCCCGTATCCAGAGCTTGTTGGCTGCCTCATGTACCTGATGACGTGCACACGACCTGACCTTGCATACCCTCTTAGCATTCTCGCACGCTATGTTGCTCCTGGGAGACACCGACCAGAGCACATGGCTGCAGCGAAGAGGGTGTTGCGCTACTTGTGCAGCACATCGGGCATGGGGCTAGTGCTTGGAGGGCGCAGTCCAGTGGTCCTCACTGGGCACGCAGACGCTTCCTGGGCTGACCACCAGGCTACACAGCGGTCGTCACAGGGTTACACCTTCAGCCTTGGTTCCGGCACTGTCTCGTGGCGGGCTACTCGCTCGTCTTCTGTTCTCGGCTCCAGTTGTGAGGCTGAGATCTACGCTGGGGCCATGGCTGCACAGGAGCTTCGCTGGCTCACCTACCTGCTGACCGACCTTGGAGAGCCGCCTCGTTCTCCTCCAGCTCTGTACGTAGACAACAAGGCCATGCTGGCCTTGTGTCGAGAGTAGCGACTGGAGCACAGAACGAAGCACATTGCTCTCCGCTACTTCCTTGCTCGTGAGCTACAGCAGCATGGTCAGTTGCGGCTTGCGTACGTGGCCTCTGAGGCCAACACTGCTGATGTTTTCACCAAGGCACTTCCGCCTTGTGATCATCAGCGCTTCTGTACTCAGCTGGGTCTTATCCCTGTCTTGCCTCACTTGCTCACCTCTTGACCTTCTTTGTACTGTTACATATATATATACCTGCTCTTGCTTGTCTAGCCTTATATATATATGTACTCCTGCATGTGAACTGGCCTTGTGGCCTTGAACTTGTGCTCAGAATGTGTGGTGACTTTGTGATCCACCCTAAGCTTTGCTTTGCTTTGCTTGACTGGTCTTGTGACCCCCTGTTCTCCCCCACTTTGCCTATGGGGGTGTGTCAGAACATTATAGCTTATACTGTTGTGTAGGCTATAGTGGGGTATCCCATAGGGGGTACAACCCAATTAGGGTTTCCTTTTTGTACTCACTTCATTCACAGTTTATTCATTCTCGTTTCAGTTTTCTCACCAGATCCACGCAATACTACTCGCCCAGACAAGCCCGCTACTGACAGGCCTATTCAGCCACGGGTACCAAACAGATCCATTCTTCACAGTAGGAAATTCGCAGCAGTTTGCAACAACAAGGGGAGTCTATTACGTAAAAACCGGGACTGACCGCATTTGGGTACCTGGGTATACACTGCTACGGGAATTACTTTTACAGGAGGCACACGACGGAGTTACCTCGGGGCATTTTGGAGTAGAAAAAACACGGCAGCAGCTGCAGTAGTATTATTACTGGCCCGAAATGTTGACCGACGTACAACGACACGTGGCATCGTGTCCCACTTGCCAGCTCATGAAATCATCACGACAGCGGCCGGCGGGACAATTGCAGTCGATACCACCCCCAGAGCGTGCTTGGCAGCAGATGACGATGGACTTCGTCACGGGGTTACTGGCCGAGGCGAGTGGGAACGACGCGATCCTGGTCGTCGTCGATCGACTGACGAAAATGACACATTTCGCAGCGTGCAAAAACTCAATCACAGCCGTAGACAAATCACAGGATACCAGCCGCGATCATCAGCGACCGCGACACGAAATTCACCTGCAACTTCTGGCGGAACCTGTGGCAGCAGTTCGGCACGCGACTGCAATTCAGCTCATCATACCACCTCGAAACCGACGGATAGACAAAACGGACAAATCAGACCATGGAACAGCTCATTAGGGCCACGTGTGACGACCCGATCACGTGGGAACAGCAACTGCCACTAATCGAATTCGCGTACAACAACTCGCCATCCGCCACGACCCAACAGTCACCATTTTACCTAAACTACGGACAAGACCCGAGAGTACCCATGACCCCGAATCCCGACAACCCAGTATCACGAGCACAACAGTTCGCCGAAATATTACAAGCGGCACGGACGCGGGCCGCAGACGCAATAAAAAAATCGAACATCATCGCTAAACGCAACGCCGACCGCCACCGCAGACCTGTCACTTACCAGCCCGATGACTTTGTTTTACTTGACACCCAGAACCTCCGACTGCCCATCACCCCGAAACTCTGCCCCGATACTACGGGCCATTTCGCATAAGCCACATGATTACACCCGTCACCGCCCACCTCCTCCTCCCTGCTGACTGGTACGTCAGCCCCTCATTCCACGTCAGCCTACTTCGCCCTTACGTCCCGTCCACGAGCCAACTGCCACGCAATCGCCCAGCCAGCATGACAAGACCACCAACCGAACCAATCATCACCCCCGAAAAAATCCTGAGTCACAGAGTTCGCAACCCTTGAGGAGCCCGAAGGATCGAGTTCTTACTCCGCTGGAAGGACCGTACACCCACCGAAGACAATTGGGTTCCCCTAGACAGAATCGAAAACCACCCCGTCCATACCGAGTATCTGCGCAGCCGAAATTTCAGGGAAGTACACGCACTTTCATAAGGAGGACCTCCTTAAGGGGGGGGGGTAGTGTAAGGAAATTTCCTTTTCCTTACTTCGCATCCCTGCTCAACGCGTACATCACTGTAGCACCACAGTCAGCACCGTTACCACTCAGCCCTCGCATCGACAATCCACCCGCCACCTGTCAGAGGTCCACTGGTGATCGCCGATTGATCCTAGGGAAGGGTTACAGGCACGTTGGTCTGGGGGGTTATGGGCGCACTGACCCGCTACTTAAACAAGCCCTTTTATCCCAATGGTCTAGTGGTTGGGATTCTGACATGGTATCAGAGCGAAGGTCTCGGGTTCGAATCTCGGTGTATGCACTTCGGGCATCCCAGTGTGGGGGGGTGTCAGAGGTCCATTGGTGATCCCCGATTGATCCTAGGGAAGGGTTACAGGCACGTTGGCCTGGGGGGTTATGGGCGCACTGACCCGCTACTTAAACAAGCCCTTTTATCCCAATGGTCTAGTGGTTGGGATTCTGACACCACCTTCGCACATCGCACCCCGACCTCACGGCTCGGCGGGTAACCCGCGCTCTGGGCCTCCGCTTCGACACTTTTCCCAACCTCAGTCACAGGCCCGTCGCGCGACAACCACAGTCCATTACCGTTACCACTGTAGTTTCGCTATACCGTATGGCCCCGGATAGTAGCGCATATGCGCTTATAATAAAATCTTTTTTTTTAGGGGTGGCGTTAGTAATTGAGGAACGGCCATAAGCGCCGGCGCTTTTATAACGGCAAAAATGATTTTCGAATCCAATTGAACCAAATTGAAGCTCTCAATAAGGCGAATACAATGATGTGACGTGCGCATGGGATCGTGCATGGAATCACGGCGAAACTTGCCGCGATTCGAATTCCCACCACACAAAACCTGACTAGGAGCAACGCACCTGCCAGCGCTGACGCGTAACCTGTCGTGCGGCCCAATGAGGTCGTCATGCGCTGCCAGGCAGGAGCATCTCGACCGAACCCTCTAGAAAGCGGGTAGAAGATGCCCTGCCAGCGTAGCATGGATGGTTCCATGAACCCTCCTCTGCGGGTTCAGGCAGAGGGGCAACCCTCGTTCATTGACGAGGACCCCGAGGCGCCATGCCGAAGGGGTCCCCTTCATTCTTTCATTTCTTGCATCTTTCATCCAGTTTTCATTCAGTTTCTCGTTCTTTCCCGCCAGGCTGCGGAAGCCATGGCGGAATTCACCGGCACCCATTTCTTGTTTAAGAAGAAGCCTTCTGCTAGGCCCGCGTTTAGAGTTGACGCTGACCGGTGGTATTCCCGTATCCCACCAGAGCCACCACAACCTGCTACGCCTCCTGCGCCGCCTGCTCCTCCTGCGCCTCCTGCGCCTCCTGCGCCTCCTGCTCCTCCTGCTCCTCCCGTTCCTCCATCTCCTGCATATCCCATGCATCCTGTGTTCATGGGCAATCAGCCCATGCTCACGCTCCTTCTCCCTTCGGCGTTCGATGAGTACCTCTCTGAATCGGACTGCGACAAGCGCCAAAATGAGTATGTAGCAGCTCCGGCCCCGGCACCACGATGGGGACAGCCCGATGACTGCAACTGGGATGAATCTGCTGTCGGCGCAGACGACGAGATGGCTGACGCCAAAGAGGAGTGGCACGCTGAGCGCAACACCGGCAGCGAGGGTGGCACGGAGGGTGGCACCGAGGCCGGCACCGCTGAGGATGTGTTTCACGAGGGTGCTCCGGGCGGCGACGATGACGACGGCGTCGAGTATTGGTCACGCGACGGGCTTCCAGAGAAGCTCCCGATACCCTCTTTTCCTCCGCTTAATCGCAAGCGACCACACCCTGCTTCACAGAACCGTGATGCCTGCCCCCCCTCTCCCAGGCACAAGATGAACGAGCACAAGCGTCAGGCCTACACCGCCGCCGAGAAGTTGAAGTGGGTCGCGCTGCTTGATGTTGCAGTCTCGGTGCGCTCGTTGGCTCGCGAGAGCGGCATCCATCGCAAATGTCTCTCTAACTGGAAGCGCTCTACGGACTTCCTCAAAGAGGTACACTCTGCCCGTAAGCGCATGCATGGTCGAGGGCGAGCGTCGTGGTACCGGCCGATGGAGCTGAAGGTCTACAAGAGGCTCCTCGAGTGGCGTCGCCAAGGAACCGCTGTATCCGTCGGCCGCCTACAGGAATGGTCTCGTGAATTCATGAAGGAACTCTTCCCAACCGAGAAGTGGAAGGGGAGTCAACAATGGTCTGGGCGCTTTCGGCGCCGATGGAATCTCAGCGTGCGCATGAAGACGCGGGTGGCACAGAAAACCGCGGCCCGTAAGATGTCGTGTATTTCTATTATTTTGTACTGCGCCGTTTATTGTTACTAACACGTTCATGTTGTGTCGCCCCATGGTCTGCCTTGTCACTGATGTCGCGGAGCAGTGCAGGAACTTCTGGCGCTTTGTTCGTGAAAAGCGCCATGACCGCGGCATCGACACCGCGTGGATCATCAACGCTGACCAGACGCCGCTCTGGCTGGAGATGCCCGCGACCACCACCGTGGACCAAACCGGCGTTCGGTCGGTGCCGATCAGAAGTGCGGGGTACCAGAAGGAGAGAGTTATCGTGATGCTCGCGTGCACGGCGGACGGGGTGAAGCTCAAGCCCTGGGTGTTTTTCAAGCGGAAGACCGTGCCGAAGGGCGATTCCCCGGCGGGTAAGTCATGGTTTATATTACTGTGTCGTGTTCTTTATCTTCTCTTTAATCGACTAACATCTTGTTCATCTACGCCTGTGCATATGTGGTCGTGGCGTGCCACGAGAACAGGTGGATGGACGCGGAGGGCGTCATCCGATGGCTTGAGGAGTGTGTCAAGCCTTTCTTGAAGCCCCGGTTCGGCAGGTGTGCGAAGAGCTCCATGCTAGTGCTGGACAGCTACCGTGGTCACCTCACCAAGGGGGTGAAGGAGAAGTTCCGCGAGCTCAACTGCGTGCCGGCGGTCATCACGTCTGGGTGCACGGCGGAGGTGCAGCCCCTCGATGTCTCTATCAACAGAAGCTTCAAAGCTTCAATCCGCCAGCAGTATCAAAAGTGGTTTCAAGAAGAGGGGCAGGAGCAGCTGACAGCAGCAGGTACGTTGTAAGCTACGGTAGATGCATATGCTTGTTTATCCACTCCTCCCCTTTGCAACGCTAACTCTGTCCGTGGTGTTATTGTCCGTGCAGGGAATCTCAAGAAGCCCCCCCCAGCAGTGGTCCTGCGATGGGTCTCTCGGGCATGGAAGGCCGTGCCCGCCGACCTCATCAAGCGCGCCTTCCTCACTTGTGGCATTAGCAACGCGCTTGACGGCAGCGATGACGGCCTCGCAATGGCACACAGGCGGACCTAGCTGACCGCGTAAGTGGATGTCGACGACGACATCATCGCTGATGGCTTCTTTGGCAACAACTGCCAGGAGCCTGAGTCTGACGAGGAGTAGGAACGGTAGTTGGTTCATTGGTGGGAAGGCTTGTATAAAGGTCTGTTCATTGAGTTAGAAGTATCGTAGATGGATGTAATTGTTGGTGCTAGACTTATAATGATTTTTTTGTGATCTTAGTAGTTAGTTTCTTAAATTGAAAAAAAGAAATGTATTAAAGTAGGCGCTTATAATAAGTACGGGTACAAAATGGTATGCGCTTATAATCGAGGAACGGCCATAAGCTCCATGCTCCAGATAGAGGCGCCGGCGCCTTTAATCGGGCGGCGCCTATATCCGGGGCCATACGGTATATTCTTCGCTCACGCCTTCGCTCATTGTACTCTTGCTTCGATAGTGCAATTCTCGTTCGTTCACTCAATTGCACTCGTAACATCCAGCTTTATCTGATTATGAAAGCTTACTCACTGTAGTTCTTTAAAGACAAGTTCTTTGCTGGTTAGTAGTAGCCCTTTTCACAATCAGGGTAACAAGGATAATCTACAATAGATTGGGCAAGCCACTTGCATAGGTTAATGAACGTTAATCGTTTGGCATCATTGGCAGGGAACTGCAGGAGCATCCCCAGCAACCACCTGGGACTGACACCGCTGTGTTTGTTGCAGTTCCTTCTTCTGCTCCTTCTTGGCAGCCCACATTGCGTATAGATAGCGACCTGACCCCATGTCGACGATTGACATGAGCACGGCCCAGATGTGCGCCCAGATGGTCTTGCTCTGATGACGGAATGTCAGGGAAGGGTGTACGATACAGAACACATAAGTAAAGCTGATCTTGCTGAGAAAGCAGTGAACAAAGAATATTAGGGTTGAGAGTTAGGAGCACGACGTTTTGCATTTCAAGAAACGAAGTAGAACGCTCGGGAAGACGTGAGAGACAATTGGCGACGGTTGGAGCAATCAAACCATTCCGGGAAAAGATGAAGACGCTCACCTTCTTGCTTTTACCCCGGCCCGACCGGACAAGAGGCTCCGACAACATCGCTGCATCCGACTCCGAGCTTCCGTCGCCATACGCGACACAGCTCTCAGACGACTCGGATGAGCGAAGGCTGTCGACGTCATCGACGCTCTTCCATGACCGCCACGTCATGTAGCCCGCGATGAACGCTGAGATCACCACGAGCACGACCCTCATCGGACACACCATCTTGACAGTCTGTGCTCCTGATGTTATGCGCAGATGATTCTGTACCTCTAGTTAGCGTGCCCTGAGCTAAGACCGTGTGGAAGGCGAGAACAGCTGTTATATGTGGTAGCTTGTGAGCTGACGAAAAGAGTTTCAACAAATGGAGCGGAGCGTGCTCAAGCAGCCTTCGCTCTGGCCGCGTCCCAGAAACAAAAAGAAATAGCTGACTTGTCAAAGTGCGTTGTACTTAGGGGGACGCGACCAACCAATACTGTCCTAGCTTTTAGAGCAGTCGTCAATATTCCTTTCCAGCAATTGGCAAAATTACAGGAGGGGTGTTGCAAGAGGGGTGCCGCGGAGAGTGGATTGAGGTGAGGAGGAAGCAGACTCAGAAAGGAAAGGGTTGACGGTAACTTTGAAGGTGTGCGACGAGCAGCGAACGGTCGCCAGGGCATCGCACGAATCGAATGAGGCGAAGGTTCTGCTGAGGATGAGCGCAGGGTCTGGTTGGATGCAGGAGCTGACGGTGCCGCGGAAGCACAGAGAAGTCGGGAATCGCGCGGTGCGGCGGTGTGCGACGTGGACTGCCAGCAAGGAAGGAGGTTTTGGCAGACCAGCTTGGCCCAGAAGCAGGCTCTTGCTCATGGAAAACTGACGACTGGATTTGGGCAAGTTCAGCAGAGATAAACTGCCCGTATTGAAAGTTCAGGACGAACCCGAAGCCAATATGTGTGGCATCTGTGATCTGCAAAGCTTGACATGGGTCATCGAGATTCGTGATTCGTGATTTCAGCCCATTTTCCACACCGACATGGTGTGCGGTGCACACACAAAAGGCGCGTGGTCGGTCCCCCCAAGATGAGGTGACGTGGCAGTTCCGACTTATGGCGAGTACAACACTGTCGGGATTGACCAACAACCTTTCATCCCATTATCAGGCCGGCTGTTTGCCATCACAACTTTCGAGTTTTGTACAGCTTCAAGCAGTTCCGCTTGGAAGAGATGATGATTGCACCCTGAAAAATACTTCAAATATATTTCACCTTCAGATGTCAGAATCTTGTAAGTGCATAAAGAAAGATGATGTGTTTTTCTTTGCCAATGTGCTGCAGGCACGAGGGTGGGAACAGGACCGGATCAGAATCTGCAAAACAGGATGCAAATGCAGGATGAAATCGGGATTGTGTCCGCATTGACACAAAAACAAGTCTTCTCTACATAAAAAAGCAGCTGTAAAATGGCAAGTGCTTCTCCGCCTTTGAATGGCATCGCTCACATTCTCCCCTTATCCGTGGTTGGCCTGCTGCGCCTATGTTTCAGTTTGGGGTTCAGCAAGGACAAACGAGGCCATTTCTTCCAGCCCTGCTTCCGGTAAAGCCCTGCGAGCTGCTGACGCGTCTCGCCCCACGTGCCCTCTGATGCTGCCACGTCCCCTCTGCTGCTGCCACGTCCAGCAGAAAGGCTGCCTAGTCCAATGCCACCTGCAGGCGCATGGTAGGACCACCTGCTCACCGCTGCTGCGCCCACCACCTGGTACGAGCCCCCCAGCCCAGCACTCTCATCCTCTCGCCCCCCCCCTTTCCCCGCCACATGTGCGGAATGCATGGTTATGCCCCCCCGTGCATGGCTGCACTCTGGCTGTGAACTGGGGCCAGTTCACAGGGGGTTGTGATCTGGGGCCAACTCGTCCCTGCCATGCAGTCACATTGCCGACAGGCACATGTCAGGCAGGCAGAGTGCAGAGAAGCACGATGCACAGACGCACAGGATCACGTGTGCCTAGAGACAGTCTGCTCTTTGTCTGCTTCACGCCTGAAAACAAATACTTTGAATCCACCAACCAACTCGTCCCTGCAATACACGCACAGAGCAAATAAGCACAATGGAAAGAGGCACAGGACAGGACAGAGTGTGCTTAAAATGTGATCCTGCTGGGTTCACGTCTGAGAGCAAACACTCCTCGTCCACCCACTCGTGCCTGCCATGCAGGCATGTCGCAGACGAGCACATTGCATGCAGGCACATGATTGTGTGTGGAAAGAGTTGTCATCAGGCGATGGGGAAGAAAGAAGGAGTAAATTCGTGAAAACAAACAAGCAAACAAACTTATTAACACATCCCTGCGAACCATCAACACATCGGCGCGAGGGCGCATCGGCGTGAGGGCGCGTCACCCCCTCCCCCAGAGTCCCCCCCTGCTTGCACCTTTTTCAGTCTTGTTGGAGGCGAGGGTGAGCAGGGCCTCGCTGCACCGCAGGTGGCACAGCACGCGCCCCTTGGCCTGCGCTGACGCCAGTGAGCGGGTGGATGCTGCCTCTTCTGCTAATGCCACCTCCGCGTCCTGTGGGTGCGTGCGCGGCGGCGAACGGGGCGCAATGGCGAGGAATGGTGTGAAGGGCAGGAAAGGGAGGAGAGGGAGGATTCAGAGAAGCAGGCGGGTGAGCACACAACCCCAGCCAACCTGGGTAGACCCAGCGTGGGGAAGGGCGTGGCTCACCTTTTCGAGGTCCAGCAGGGGGCGCATCCGCTTGACAAACTCATACACATCGCTGCAGTCACTTACATCAGCTGCCACGCCCCCACGCGCCCTCCCCACCCCCGCCGCCCCATACCACATGACTGCACCCCCTTCCCCCCTCCGGCTCCTTCTCCCCCTTTTCCGCCTCATCTTCCCCCCACCCCCTTCCCCTCAGCGCCGCTTCCCCCCTGTCGTCCCCCCAAATGCTGCTTCAGAGCGTCTCCGAGCTGGCGCGCTCCCATTGGCTGCTACTGCTGCTGCTGTGACTGCCCATCACCCGCCTCTAAATGCAGCGTCCTGCCTTCCCCCTCAGACGCCCCCCTTTCCCGCCACAGCACTAGCTGCCGATGCGAGCCGCCCGGCATGTCCCGGCTCTCGTGTAGCCACCCATGAGTCTCCGCAAGATCTGATTGGATGGGAACGGATGGGTGAAGAGCGCGGCAGCATATGAGTGAGTGAGATGAGATGTACACTGGAAATCAGTGAGTAGAACCAGGGAGCATATGAACGGCAGACAGGGAGGAGTCAGCTCGGCATGCAGACGGCTCCCACACCATCATGCTGCCTCCCTCTCTTACACCGGTACCACCACCCCTCCCAGCAGCATCCCTTCCCCCCAGCAGCACCCTTCACTGCCTCTCAACATGTCACACCGTGCGCCTCCCACTGTGCATCTCTCACCGTGCAATGCGTGAGGGAGGGCGGGAAGACAACTCGTGTCACTGGTAGCTGGCAGGACACGTGGCAGCAGGTGGAGGGAGAACAAGGCGGGAGAATGCACCGAGAACAATGAAGGCCAGACATGCAGGATATCAATGCATGATGAGAGAGGCGTCATGTCCTGTACCATATCCGAGGTGACTTTTGAGTCACCTCATGATGAGAGAGGCGTCATGTCCTGCACCATATCCTAACGCATACATGTCTGTAGAGCATGCATCGATCCTCACGCATCACACCAGAGTCACATTTCCGTTGAAAGCCCTCAACCCTCTATTCAAAGCCCGCCTGACACTGTATCCCTAGTAACGATACAAACTCCTTGGCACGAGTTCGTGCTTACTCTAGCCGTCGCTCCTTCTTCCGCGGATGCTGCCGGGTTGCCATTTTCTCCACGACCTGCGCTTCCCCCGTCACCCGCGGAAGCTGCTACCTCCGCGGGTGCATAGGCGGAAGCGGCGGGGGGGTTTGCGGGTTCGGCGGAAGTGTCCGCGCAAGGCGCGGAGACCTTCTGCGCGCTGCGGTTGAGATGCGCGGCCTTTTTGGCTGCCGCCTTGCGCTTAGCCGCATCCGACACCATTCCGCGGGAAAGAAGGCGGAAGAAAGGCGGAGGAAAGGCGGAAGAAAGGCGGAGGAAAGGCAGAAGCACGCGCGAAGACGCATATGGGAGACGTGGAGGATATAAACATCGCCGCGCCGACACGTCTCTTTCTCTACGGCTTGCTATCCGTCCGGAAACTCGCGTTCGTTGCCTGACGCTGGCAAACTGAAACGTCGCTACCGGTTAATACTTATTAATGACATGCAGCATATCGGCAATTCCGTGAGGAAATCGAAGGCTTAGCCTGAAATTTGCTCTGCTGGTGGTGATTGGAGAAGCTCGGAAGTGAATAAGAGATATCACAGTTGACCAGTACTAATTCGTTGAACCGCAGCTGCCCCTATCAGCTCAGGGTGCTCAAGTCAGCTAAAAGCGCCTCAACTTCTTCCGTGCTTCTTGTAGAATTGCGGTGTGTGTCAAACTTGTTTCGAGGTGAATCCGTGAAATCTATTTCTGGGGGTTCGCGGTTCGCGTACAAGTTGCGGTGCGTCAGAAAAACTGATTGTCAGGCCCAGGTGTTCGAAACTGACACCACTTTTGGCTGCAGAGTACAGGTGTAAGGAAAATCCCTTTTCCTTACTTCGCATCCCTGCTCATCGCGTACATCACTGTAGCACCTCAGTCAGCACCGTTACCACTCGCGACCATCGCATCGACACTCATCCCGCCATTTTCGCACATCGCACCCCGACCTCACGGCTCGGCGGGTAACCCGCGCTCCGGGCCTACGCTTCGACATATTTCCCAACCTCAGTCCCAGGCTCGACGCACGACAACCACAGTCCATTACCGTTACCACTGTAGTTTCGCTATATATTCTTCGCTCATGCCTTCGCTCATTGTATTCTTTGCTTCGATAGTGCAATTCTCGTTCGCTCACTCAATTGCACTCGTAACACTTGGTTATCAGAGCCTACGATCTCATCTCGGACCGCATCCACACCTTCGCTTCCCCACTATCTCAATTTTTTGGGGGGGTTAGACGTCTCTCAGCGACACAGCACCGCCGCTCGTAGTGCTCTCTCGTAAGCACGCACGGCCACGGCAGAGGCTCTCGCTGAGCTTGCCCGACACCCCCGCCATGGCCGATTTCACGATCGCCACGTTGACGCAGGAACAACTTGATCGTCTTGTGCGTCAGCTGGAAGAATCGGCGCTCGAAATCGCGACGCTCACGGCGGAACGTGACTCCGCCCGACAACAGTCCACGGTGAACATTCCGGCGACATCACACGCACCAACAAATGCATCTGCAAAATCGGACGAGCCGATCATCATCTCGTCCGGCACACCAACACAACACGACAGCATGGGACAACGCTCAGGCGCAGCCAGTGATGGCGTCACCCAGCCGATGCCTGGCATGGGAGGAGGCAGGATCGCACCAAGCCCGCGGGAGCCCCGGGAAGCCCGTCGGCACGTGGAATTTGCGACGACAAGTGGCGAACAAGCCATCATGGCACCAATGCCGCTCAAGCCGCAACGCCCGCCCTGCTTCGACCCAAGCCAACGCGGGGGTCCGACGGTTCAATCGTGGGTCTTCACGATGAATGTCTTCTTCGACGCAAACTACGTCGAGTCGGATGCCGCGAAGATTCGGTATGCAGTTTCACTGCTCAGGGGCCCCGCCATGGATTGGTGGCGAGTCATCGTGACGTCGCCACGCGCCTACGAGCCACCGTCGCACGAGGAAGGGCCCACGGGTCCAGCTGTCACCTGGAGTTCGTTCTGCGAGACCGCCCAAATACAGCACATGGGATGCGTGGTGCGCAGGACTTCGGGCGCGCTTCGAGCCGATCGCGGCTTCGATTTCGGCGCGTCAGAGATTGCGCACTTGGCGCCAGCTCGGGTCGGTTCAAGATTACACAAGCGGCTTTCTCGCACTTTGCGAGCAGGTCGGCTACATGCACGAAGCGGAGCGGGTGGACCGTTACGTCGGAGGGCTGAAGCCGGATATCTCGCACGAAATAATGCTGCGCGGACTCTCGAACTTCAACGAGATTCTCGCGCTCGCCGAGAAAATCGACATCCTACGCCGACCGAGACCGGGGTCCTACTACGGACATCGTCCTCGGGGACCGACCGAGCACGCCACTGTACACGCCGTTTCGACGAATGCAGCTGCCGCACCGTTTAAGGGGCGCTGCTTTGCTTGCAACAGGCCGGGCCACCGCAAGAGCGAGTGCCCAGAGGAGCTGAGGCGCCGCGGAGCAGAGCAGGGGAGGGAGTCTCAGAGGCAGGGAAACGCCAGCAGTCAGTAGAAGTTGGGCCAACTACTGACGAGACTGCCTGCTCGCCCAACCACACCGACCCTCACCGAGTCACAGTACCGATTCACGCCATCGATCGGGCTCGGATGAATAAGGAGGGTACAGCGACGGATTGCCCGGTACTGATCTACAGGAAAATACAGGGAGCAGCAGTGAAGATCTTTATTGACGGAGGAGCAAGTCACAGCTTAGTTAATACCGCAACCGCACGAAAATTACAGTTAACACTTAACCGGTGCTTACCGGAGATAGACGCCCGCTTAGTCGACGGAACACCACTGGCCATACGGGAAAAGGTGGAGCGCGTAAAAGTCCGCTGCGGAGGGAACTTCGGGGTTACACAGGAAATGCTCGCAACGACACTGGATGGGCACGACATTTTACTAGGACGTGATTGGCTGCGACGGTATAACCCACGAATTGACTGGACAACGGGTAGCTGCACAGTGCGAAGTAGTGGTAACTGGGTCGTCCTACCTCGCTGGCAGCCACCTGAATCTTCGATGGTCCAGGTCAACGCCATCACGATGAAACGGGTTGTCGCTGCTGGAGCTGACGTGTACGCAGTGGATATCGCATTAGTTGAAAAAGAGGAGCAGCCGAGTGATTTTCAGAAACTGTTGGCAGCCGTACCGCCCGAACTACAGGCACTACTGAAACGGTTCCCGGGTATCTTCCCGGATGACTTACCGCAAGGACTGCCACCTCAGCGGGCACATGACCATAGGATCGAGTTAGAGCCGGGGGCACAGCCAACTGTACAGCGCCAATTTCGACTGACACAGCCCGAGCTCGACGAACTAAGGAAGCAGTTAGATTATTTGTTAGAGAAGCAGTTTATCCGACCGAGCTCGTCACCGTTCGCCGCACCGATACTATTCACACCGAAAAAAGACGGAGGGTTTCGAATGTGTATCGACTACCGACCGCTTAACAGGGTAACAGTCAAATCACGATACCCCATCCCCCGCGCCGACGAACTGATCGACCAACTGCGAACCGCACGAGTATTTTCGAAAATAGACTTACGGGGAGGTTACCATCAAATTCGGGTCGAACCATCGGACTGCGCCAAGACAGCATTTAGGACTAGGTACGGGTCATTCGAATACACGGTGATGCCTTTCGGGCTGACCAACGCGCCCGCAACATTTCAGATGACCATGAACGAGGCGTTTAGGCCACTTTTAGATAAATGCGTCATAGTTTACCTCGACGACATCCTCGTTTACAGTCGGGACCAGCAGCAGCACTTAGTAGATATCGAAGCAGTTTTTAAAATTTTAGAGGAACATCGGTTACTCACCAAGGGCTCCAAGTGCGAGTTTTTTCGGGACAGACTAGAGTTTTTAGGTCACGTCATTTCGAAGGCTGGGGTTGAGATTGACCCTAGGAAGCTGGATACGGTAAAAGCGTGGCGTCCCCCGACGAACATCACGGAACTGCAGAGTTTTTTAGGATTTGTTGATTACGTTCGTCGGTTCGTCCCCGACATGGCACGCTTAACAGCCCCGCTCACGGATTTACTGCGTAAGGGGGTCCCGTTTACGTGGGGGGAG